GGAATGACTTATCTTTTGTTGCAAAATAATTAGAGAGAAATAAAGTAATCACTTTTTAAAATAGTTTTCAAATTTAAAGGGATATTTTACTATATAAGAAGCTGAAATGTGGGCTTTACAAATTAAATTTCATTATAGTAAGAATTATAAAGTAGTAGAATTGTCAATTTTCGTTCTTATAATATTGTATATCAATGGAGGAATCTATGCTCTAAAGTAACAGTTTAATGTAAATTGAGGCTATTTTGGCTATATAACTAGTTGATCCCTAGTAAGAAGTTAAGCTGATATTTGCGCGTCTCTCAACACTCAACAGAATTGCAATTCAATTTAGTCCTTTATTAAAATACTATAATCAGATTCAGAAGGATATCAAACAAACTGAATTAGATATAATGCATATAGACCAATTACTTCTATTCAAATTTACTTGGGCAAAATGCCCTATACATAATTTTAGGAGCAATCTTATAAACACATACTAACAAATTACAGAATTGTTATCCAAGCTAAAAAAAAGGGGTTCAAAATGATATGGAAAAAGCGCAAGTATGAATGTTTGTCTAGGATACATAAATAAATGGCAACAAAAACAGAAGTAACAATAAACTTAAAATTTGAAACCAAAATTAGCCAATGAAATTCAATTAACCAAAACATATGATTAAATAATGATACACTTATTCAAAAGAGTTAATCATCATCATAGCATTATGAAAATCGGTTATTTTGACAGTAGCAATCCGTTATAACAAAGGATTTATGCACAAGTGGATAGTTTTCTGTGAGTTTTTCAACTTTTAACTAGAAAATATCATTGAATATTAAAACAGGACGATAATTTAGGAGAACTTTTAATTATAAATTTTAAGCAATTATGAAAATGGAAAACAATAGTTAAAAATGTTTAATTTAAGCAAACTCATATTTATTTAATTGTAATATTTAAATTGAAACTAAGGCACAAGAGATTCTGAGGCAAAATATTAGGCTTATTGTAATCCATATAAATTGTCTTCTAGATTGTAAGTTGTGCTCAAACATATTGTCAAGTATTTAATGACTGATTAGTTTGGCTTAATTTAATTAGACTTATGGAACTGTAAATCTATGATAGTAAATAGACTTCTAGGGTAAAGATTATTCTTTGGATGATCAATTATGAATTTTAATTTAAGAGATTTTCAAGCTTCTTTAGGGTGATTAAACTGGTGATTAAATTAATTTATTATAAGATTTCTTTTTTTTGGAATCAGCAACATTTACAGATATATCATAAAAAGAATAGGTAGCATACTCTCTCCTTTCAATTTCTATTATTCTCATGAAATGATTTTTTTTTTTTTGATCAAATTACGATTTTGTTTTACTTAAATATCCTTTAATTTTACAATTATTTTGAGCATTCAAATAATTTTTTTAAAGCTTCTTAATCAAATTTTATAAGAATTTATTACCAATTTTTGGCAATATCTATGTAAAAGTGACTCGGGCAGAAATTTGAAATCAACACAAATTTGTTTTCTTTTTCTAATATCTCACTTATTTTGTTAAAGAAGTAGATTTATATATTCAGAATGAATTACCACAACCTATTATTGGGGTTTTCAAATAGAAGAGAAAATGAAAATACTTTTAAAGTAAACGTATCTGTATGTAGAAATATCCAAAATGAGTTTTAGATATCTAAATAAAAATTTTAGTTTCAATAGATACAGATTATTCTTACTCATGGCAAGATAGTACTATCTATTTCAATTGGAAAAGGATTGTGACAGATTATTTGTGTAAAATATGTATATGATAATCAAGTCGTAAGAGGCAAATAATCAACTTTTCAAAAGCTTATCTCTTACACTTTATTTATAATTTAAGTAATAGTCTTTCAACTAGTTAAATTTTAAGGTGAGTTCGCTTAATTAGATATCCAAAGTTGATTGAAATTATGAAACTAACAGTCTTAGTTAACTAATTTATTAAACATTTATATTGCAATCAGAATGTATTCAAATCTCTGATATTATTATTTAATTAAGTGCAAGATGTACACCTTAATGTAATAATTATATTATTAATTTTCGGTTCTCTTTTAAACTTTGTGGGATAGCTTTACTTTAGGGGAAAAGAATAAAAAAATAGAGCCTTTTATATAGTTAAACAGACTTATGAATATCTGCTACCAAAATTATTGAAAATTTAAATTCCTTCATCCCTCAAAGATTTATTCTATTTCAATTAAATACAATTCTTGGATGAAATATTCAACTTTGAAGATGAAAATAGGTTAATTATTGAGACCATCTCCTTAAATCTAATAAGGACTGTATATTTTTTTTAAAAACTAGTTTATATATTGTTTCAGAAAAATCATCAATTTAGCTAAAAAAGAATCTTCTGCTAAAAAGGACTAAGGATATTATTTATGGTCATGGTCAGAGTATAATTAGATCTTATTATATTTAATTTTTAAAGGAACGAGGATTACTATTTCTTAAATAAATAAACCAAGAAGTTTTTAGAATAAAATTTATATATTTTTTATTCTTTCTATATTGTTATTATTTGTGAATACTGCATTATAATGCCATAACAAAATAAAATTTATAAGATTATCTGAAAAGGTACTTTTATGAATAGCAATTCAACAAAAGCTATGTTAATAAATGCTAATTATGTTTGATTATGCTATTTTTTCCATATCTTCTTGAGAGAATCATTATTTTCTCGTTTGAAAATAGGAGAATAGTAAGAATATCCAATAACAATAAGTGTGATTATATAATGCTTAGAATTTGGGCAACTCTTCCTATACATATTTGCTAGTTTCAAAATTTTGTTTGATATTTAATCTATTTAAAGTTATCACCTTAAAATATATAGTTTACCTCGAAATACCAAAGATTGTATTGTTATAACCTGAATAAGAATAGGCAACTTTCGGGATCTTTTTTTTATATTTTGATTGAACTCTAATATATGAGCTGTTTATTGAATTAGACATTTATTCTCTTAAACCTAAGATTATTATTTTAAAGACTGCTTTAATCTCAATCTTATAGTATTCCTCGCCAAAAAATCATATTATAAGTTTAAAAATGAACTTTAAAGTTTAAGGAAATAACTCCTGAGCAATATCTACTTAGATAATGTTCTAGTATTTCTCACTATCTAAAACAAAAAATATTAAAATGTTTTTTTTTAGTTCAACATTTAAGAAAACAGTATCATATCGCTTAACTTGTAGATTTAATTACAGATTAATGGCGAATGCTTACATGACTAAATTAATTGAATTTTTTCACTCTTTAATATTCCCCATAATTTTTGTAAAACATAATTGCAATCTATTTCTTTGAAATTTGTCTTCAAATATATATTTTAATAGTGATTAAACAGCAACGTTATTCAGATTGCATTTTATTAATCGCTGTAAATATGCTCCAAAAGCAAAAGAGTCGTCTTATCAAAGAACAGACTTTAAGTAAATATGCAACCCATAATCTTACATTAACTCATTGTTTCAATTAATTACAGAAGAAATCAGAGTCATCTATTTTGAAAGAAGTCAAAAATAATGAAGTTATCAAAAATTGATGCTTCCTCATAATCATTGGGAGATTTTTCATAAATTATCTTTTCAAATAAAAATTCTTGAAATTAATTAAAAAAAAGAATTATAATTTAAGGAAAAAACGTGCAGAAAACTGCAAATATAAATAACTATAAGATTTAACATCCAATGCTCCTTTGTATTCTTCAAAACTAATATTTCTTTTGTATCATTAACATTAAGGTCTATAGAATATTATTCCTTCTTCTTAGTTCATAATTAAATTTAATAGGTGATGTTTTCTTCTGATTTTCATGAGTTTTTCTTCAACATTTCAACTAAATTCTTAAATCAAATAGATGTTACAAATAAAATTCCAATAGTTAAAAAAAAAATAATTCAGGTATGAAAAATAAAACTTTGAAACTACATACAAATTTAAGGGAATAAGAGATAAAAAGAATGAGAATCCTTACTATATTTAGTTATATGGCTGTAGTCTTATCCCTTTTTGGTAAAAGCAACCGTTTTAAATTTATTCATCATTTCAATTTAAATTCTGTTTACTTCATTTATATAAAAACAGGACTATTTTCAAATTTTAGTAGTATTCATCAGAATATTGTTAGACAGAAACAGCTCCTTTCCTTGAGACTGTTTCACTTAGGGCACCTCAAACACATTAGGACATTTTGCACTACTGACCTAATCAATTAGGTCATGGGAAGCCTTCATCTTTCAAAAGAAATAACATTATAATAACAAAACTACAAATAATAATTAGTTTTCTTTGTCATAAGCTTATGATAAACAACAGGCTAGTATGAATTTTTATCGTCTTAATGTCATATAGAATCTGAAAAATATTTTAACTTTAGAAGACAGCAAAGAATTTGAAGATTTATGAGAGTCATTTAATAATAACTCTAATTAAGTCTTAAATGTCTCTAATTCTTTTTTGAAGAGCTCAAAAAAATTTCACTACTGCTACTGCTGCTTTGGTTTGCTTATAACCTTTAGCATTCATTTCTCTGTTAACTTTTAAAATTAGCTAAATGAAAAAAATAAACTAAGCTAACCTTATAAGGTTAAATTCTTCTTGTTATCCAAATATCACCCCTATGCTAAAAACCTACTATTTCCTTGATAATGAGAATATAATTAATGCTCTCTTTTTGATTAGAAATCTGAGGGATAATCTTCATATTAATATATAGATTCTATAAAAAATCTTATGTATCAACAAGAAGATTGTTAAGGTTTCAACCAAAAATGAAAGAATGTTTGCAATCAGTGTAAAATCAGGTTAAAGTAATCTTGTTTATTAATAAATCAATTAGTCAGCATCAAACAATATCGTGCCTGACTAGATTAAATTCTTAATAATACTTCCGATGCTATTATTGTTAATTATTATAAACTCTTCAAAAATTAATTGTTTGATATTCTGATGATTTTCCTTTACTCAAAGTTGAAATTCAAATAACTCTATCAGCATAAATAATCATCAATCTAATTTAATAACAAATTGTAAGAATGGATGAATACACAATAAATAAAATAACAAAAAAACAACCTGCAAAGATAAAATTAATAGAAGGCAAGGTTTAAGAAATTGAAAAATGTGAACATTGATATTTTGATATTAATGGAATCAAAATTATTAAATGATAACTAGGGCTCATTAGCATTCGTTGGCAATAGTGATGCAAAAGTTATTTGTATAAAACCAAGGATACATTCATATACATATCCATAAAAAACGATCACATCCTGTTATGGATTAATAGAAGATTATTAATTTAAATAAAATGAGATTTGCTTCGCAATCCCTCTTGATAAAAGTTTTTTAGCATTTAGATGATAACTTTTAGTGTATTAAACCATTAAAGCCACAAAAGACAAAAAATGAAATTAAAAAAATAAGAAAATAAAGGTAAATGTGAAAATTTATATTTTAAAATCAATGTTGTAATGGTACCTGATAGCAAATTCAACTAAACTCTAAATAGATAAATATCATTATAAACGATTGCATATTGTAAAAATGATTTTCTATTAGTTTATGATAAATCTTAAATATTCACTTTTGTTCAAGAGCAAAAAAAATTAAAATGACATTTTTACTAATTTCTGTCTGTAATAATTGTATTGATAATAGAATATTCAACTGATTTAAATGGACTATCTTTTTGAATTACTATTTTTGGATTTTCTTTTTTTTAGCATATTACATAGAGAAATTGAACAATTAGGTTTTTATGATACACTATACTCTGCAGCTTACCAAAAGGAGTTTGAAAGACTAGGGTAACAGCTAGAGGTTTTCGAGAAATTGGAGAAAAAGATTAACGCTAGCTTAGCAGAAACAACAGAGAGACGAATATAACCTAAGACTATTCGCTGCATCCAAAGATATGAGTTCTTTGGGGCATTTAAGCACGAATGGAGGAAATGTCAGGCTGATAAGATTATAGTACAATCAGATAATGGACTGTTTGTTTCGTGAAGCGGGGGCTTGAAATATTAAAAACGTGAAGGTAAAATCTATAGTTCAGTCCAAAAATCCATAGGGAATAAATGATAAAAATTTCTTTCTCAAATATAAAGTTGCTTACACCTTTCTTAACAATTAAATTTATCAAGCTTCCATGATCAAATCAAAAGGATAATAACATTTACAATCAAATTATTTCAAATAAATAATAAGATCCTATCAATACCTATTATAATCTGCAAAATTTACAGAATAATTTTCTGCACAGGAATATTAGTATTAAATCTGGAATATACTTGCAGAATTAATTTGGAAAAAATAAAAATATATTATATTTCAACAATCTAAATAAAAAATCATAAATACCAAATGAAACTTATCATTCCAGAAAAAAAAAATTTTGAATTAATTTTATAAAATCTATCAATAACAAATTAATTTCTTGATACTTAAAATGATTAGCAGTATAATAAAGAAATGAGTTTTCCTTAAGATTAAGATCCTTTCTTATAAAAATTCCTTAATTATAATAGGGTTTAAAAACGCAATAACTTGCAGAAAGTATGTTTGTCTATTATGATTCTGTGCAAATTTTTTTGTTTTGCATATAATCCTTTCTCTATAGGGATAATCTTCTTAAATCTAACTTCCTAGAATATTATAGTTTCGATTTTTCCTATATATTCCTATATATTCCTAAGATTAAAAGAGCTTTAATTAAGTTACACTTCTTACTGTATAATTTTTGAAGTCACATTTTCTAATCCAAGCATTCAACCTCAAAAACTATATTATTGATTATTAGCGGTTGACTAGTAATTTACAGGGACATTAATTAAATATTATAGATTGATATTAAATAAACTTCAAATTATTGTAATTGTAAAACCAAGTTGACAATTTCCTTTTAAGAATGTCTTATATTTGAAGCAATCTGCTGTTGATGACTGGGGTTCAATAGCGATTCGCTTCCTATCTGGAGGAGTATAAATTTAACAATATTTCATGGTGTCTGATTCAATAATTAAAGTATATTTGCTACTTACCAACTTAATAAAAATTTTATCCTTATTGCTTGTAAAGCAAGTATCGAATTATTGATTCCTTAAAGATATTACTGCCAAGTCTACATCTTCCCATTATAACTAATCACCAATTGGGATTAAATCTTAGTTAACAACTAACCTTTTAGTTAAATTTGTAATCATGGTTACATCATCAATATTTTCAAAATTAAAATAAGGATGATAACCTATTCCATACTCAAGACCTTATTTATCGAAAATATTAAATTATAAAGATAACTAATTCTCTTTCGTAAATGTGTATGTTTCTGTAAAATGACTTTGTTATTAATCATGGTCTTTTGGTGTTAAGCAAGTCTAATTCTCTTTTCCTTCTAATATTTATCTCTCGGCATTAACATATAACCCGTGTAATGGATAACCATTTGAATCCCGAAATTAACATTAAACATTTTTATCACTTAGTCGATTAACCCAAGGATACATTAAATAACAACCATTTCCTAATATATCATCAGATTCATTCCCTTCAATTATTAAATGACCGGATAGCCATAATTCTAATATTTTCCCATTCTTCTATACTATACTATTTTTTTTTTGCATTATAATTTTAATTATGAAATGATTAAATTTTTCTTTAATTACACCTTAGATTGTATGAAAAGTTATGAATCAATAAATTCTATATAAATGGGATAGATTACTATGTTTTAATTTATTTATTTCTAATTCCCATTTTTGTTGGATAATAATGTTTCTTTGATATAAGACTTCAATAAATCAAAAATAACAGTAGTTTTTCTAAGAATTTATGGGATTTTAAAAGTAAATATCAAAACAAAATTAATTTAAATGTATCAAGTATCAAACAGCTTATTAGCGAATAGAGAACTCTTAGAAAAATAGTAATGGGTTAAAAAGTTACAAGAGGAAAATATTTAGGACTTTTAGATCAATTTATTTAGAGTTTGGTGTATGGATATAAGCAATGATTTAAGTTTAATGGCTATTGGTGGTATTAGTTCGAATCACACTGTTTTTATTTATAATCAACCTAACATGACCTTATGTAATCAAATGTAAGCCACTTCTCATTAAGTTTACCTGTTATAATTCTCTTAACGTGATAAATATTTATGTGCTGGTTGTTACGGGTAATAAATACTTTTATGGAATGTAGATGATATTAAGCAAATTTAAAACGCATAATATAGACGGGTTATTAAAACAGAATTTGGGGTAATTGCAAGAATCTTATTTTTCAATAATGAGAAGTAACTATGTTTTTAGGGATTATCTCACTTATTTACAATTAATTTGGAGGCAAACAATTAAGCAAAGATTATAAAAATAAATCATAAGCCATCATCATTTGATATTACTCAATCCAAACTCTATGAGGTTGGAAAAAGCAGCATCATTTATATAAGAGATATCTTTAGAGAGAAAATTTTAAGATTTATATGTTGTAACCATTCTTAGTTTGATGAAATTGTTGTATCAAGAAAAAGCCATTTTATAGTTGTATCCAGCTAGCAGAATATATATTACTTTAACACTATAAATGGAAAACTTATTCGAAAAGGCAGAACTAATGGAAGAGTTCAATCGATGAAGCTAGCTTCGGATAACAAATTGTTGATATTTTTTAGCACTTAGCCGTCTGAACAGTTTGACAAATTATACTTTTTTAATTTGGAGACAGGCCAGCTGTTATTAATTTATGCAACTTAAATTTCTCAACCCACGTTTATATATAAGATGATGCCAAAAAAATTTATTTTTGGTAAAATTAATTCAATTGAAATATGGAACTTATGATTTGAACCACTAATCTTGATTTATATTGCTTATAATATATTCAAAAATCTAAATTATAAATAAGTATGGTAATTGTATTCAATTATCTATATATTAAATATAAATTATAATGATTTATTAATACATAAAAATTTCATTTCATTATAAGTTTAAAATTAAAATGTCCTTTTTCAGTTCTTTTTACATATATGCTAAAATTGCTCTTAATCTTCATATCCATCCTACTAGTTATTCTTATTGAAATATCATAATTTTCTTTCGTTTTAACATTTATAACCCAATCATTTAACATTAGTATTCTATAAATCTTTTAATTTATATTTACTTCAATCAAGTCGATTTAATGCGTAATAAAGTAATTAGTCTTAGGGGTTTATTTTTAGTTATATGATGACATATTTATGGTTAATTTTGCTTTATAAGCGAAATCTATGAGGACAATTATAAGATAATAAAATATACAATAAAAATAATTACCCAGATGCTATTTTTAGTAATTGCATTATAAAGTTCATTAGCCTAATAGGTTTATGAATAAAATACGCACATCGCATTCTTGGAAAATTCGAATTTCAAATAATTGAATCAACATGAAAGTAATTTTGAGGAAGAAGAACCCTCAGGCAGTAATGTCTTATTTTACTATCATTAATATGCCAACTTCATTACTTGGGCTATATTGGTTGATTTAGGCATAATAGCAAACAGATATGGAATACTATTATAATATAAAATTGAAGTGCATGCCATAATCATGACATTAGTAATTGTACCTTCAGTCTTAGCTGAATTATTCATGATTTTTGGTGATGCAGAACCAGAACTGTATGGTTAAGAAGGTTTGGAGGATATACATGGGCTGGTAGGATTCTTTTTCTTAGGGGTGCTAATACTGTAGGCAATAGGGGGCATAGTATTAAAGTTTTGTAAACAATCTTTACAGATATAGAATTATCTAAAAATATAATCACTTTTTCATATTTATTTAGGTTATGCGATATATATCTTAGGTAAAATTGAATTAGGGTTTGGATATTATTTATCTTATACTAATGCTCCAAATGAAGGTGAAGGCAGTTTAATTTCATTTTGGTGTGTGTATTCTATTATGTTTTTTTGGAGAATTATATTTGAATTTTTTTATCAAAATGGAAAAATTTACTAAATGTTCAAAAAAGAAGAGGAGAGACCCAGACAACATTCAGGTTCCCTTTAAGATTCGTTATTAATTTAATACATTACACAAAATGGTATTTCATTATTTATATTACTTAGAGCAATCTCAACTTTAAAATGAATTTTAAAATAAATTTTGGGTCATTTTTAATAACGAAATTATAGATTTAACAGAATTTGTCCATCCAGGAGGTTAATATATTTGGAAAAAAGTGAAAGGAAGGGAAATTTCTCGATTTATTTATGGTGGTTGTGGACTAGAAGATGACACTGCCAAATAATTTCAACATTCTCACAATGCAACAGTATTATTGAAAAACAATGTTATTGGAACATTAAATTAAATTGCATTTATAACTCCTATAGATGAAAGTGCAAAGAGTACTTAATGGAGATTAGAAACAATAAAAGTATTAAATGATAAAACGAGTTATTTCGGATTCTAAAATCCACAATACAGAATATTATCTCAATTCACTTCTATTCACTCATTTGGAAAATATTTCTAAATATAATCATTTGAATCTAAAAATGTTCCTATAAGGCAGTATACATGCGTTTCTTCTATGGCTCCAGAGAATGCCGATTATAGAAGGGAACTTGTAAAATATATCGAGTTCATTGTTAACAATAATTAACAAACTAAATAACCTCTCTAACCTAAATATTTGAATGAGCTACCTATGATAATAAAATGTTATGATTCTTAGAATGGATTCTCGAAATATGTCCATAATCATAAAGGCGAGTTTTATGATATCCAAGGACCATTTGGACCACCTCATGGAATCCCAAATCGAGGAAAAATTGTAATTATTTGTGGAGGCACTGGAATATTTCCATTTTTAGATCTTTTGGACTTTCTCTTGAAAACCATCACTTACTCAATAACTTTGAATAAATTTGGAAAGTAAGTTGCTGATAATTTGAATCCGCATGAATGTTAATTTAATACTAATATTCATATTACTCTATTTTTTGCAGTTGCTAATAGAGCTGAATTAATTGGATCTGATATTCTTTTCCCAATAATATAATTATAAAAGCATTTAGAATCAGAAGTTTTGAGATTGATTATAAAAATTAGAGGAGAAAGATATGAAGGAGTAGAGACTATTGATGAAAGATTCAGCAAAGTGATGTTTGATAGAGTACTAGGCAAAAATTTGGATTATTAGCGATATTTGATTTGTGGGCCTCCTCAAATGCAAGCCAGTGTTCCACCAATCCTTCAAGAAATGGGAGTATAAGACCATCTCATTCATTTTATTTGAGATATTAATATTATAATATGTAACATCTTAAATTATCAATTCCCTCTTTGAACTAATCATTTTTATACTCTGGAAATTTCAAAGAGATGTCGTATTAACAGCTAATATCATATGCAGAAGGTCGATTAGGCCGAGTTCTCCCTCCTGAGTTCTAATTTTTCTATTTAAATTCTGAGGGCATTTAATTTGTTGTTAATAGTGAGGAATAAATACAGAAGGTAAAAAGTGAGAATCAGCAAGTAATCAAAATCATTCTTAAAGAAAAAGATAAAGAGAAGGTTATTCACCCAAACACAATTTGCAGTCAATGTCACTCCTCCCCAATCATGAATGCTAGATACAAATGTATTGTCTGTGAAAATAGGGAGTTTTGTGAAAATTGTTTAGACCATGGTTAAGTTCACCCTTTGTTAATTATATCCAATCCAGAACAAGAGTAATTTTTCGATGGTTTTTTTAAAACATCAATGAATAAAGTGAAGAACCTGTTCAATTGTTAATATAGTAAAACTAAAAAATAGTGTCATAGATTTAAAAGAGGCGTTTTTGAAGAAGAAATCAGAGCTATTTGGAACAAAGCAGAAGGATCATTAATTATAATAGATTAATTTGGAACATAAATAATTATAATAAAAATAGGGGAATCAGCAATAAAGTGAGGAAGAGCTTAATAATAAAATATTAAACTTAAGTGAGATCTTTGAAGGTTCTCCAGAATAATTTGAATAGATTGTTAAATAAAATTAGCACTTATCATTAGAAGAATTAGTTGATTTGATATCAGATTAAACTTAATGATTGCATATTATTTATTTCAATATATATAATTTAAATGCACATTTGCATAATATGTACTTCAGAAATTGATTTTCAAACAAAATGTGACTGTCACTTTTGTTTATTATGCTTGCTAAATTGGTTTGAGGAGAAAAATAGAGATAAGCCAATATAAATTCTTAATTGCCCAAATTAAGATTGTAAATTCACCTATACTAGAGACGAAATATTAAGTTATTGTTCTCGATAACCTTATGAAGGTAAGATTCAAGAAATCTTGCTCAAAGAATATCTAAAAAATTAAGATATACGTCCATGTCCAAGTGGAAAATGCAAATATTTTGGATACATAGAACTCGAAAATAAATGCGATAACGAACTTGAGTGTTTAGAATGCAAAACAACATGGAGAGACTTTGCCTTGTCTACATACACGTTTTAAACAGAATATTTGATAAAAAATATTTTTGGAATCATTAGAGAATTTTGCTATTGTTTTATTACTGCAAATGAATGTCCTAATTGTGGGGTTTTAATCCAAAGAAATGGAGGTTGTAAACACATGACGTGTAAAGCTTGTACTCATCCATTTTGCTGGCATTGTAAATAATAATGGGGAAGGCATAAAGAATCCTAATGTTTTGGTTCAGGAGCAATATCAGTTGTGTTACTACTAACTATGGGCATCAATATTTTATATCAGCTTGGGGTATTCTACTATTTCCTCTATGTATTTTATCCTTTGTTTTATCTATTGGAGTTGTTAGTTATGAATGTTTTAGTAGTTGGAACTGGCTTTGGAATGTTCCTCTTAATTAAAACAATGCGTGAACTGTATTATAGAAGACGCATTTGTGATAATCTAATTGCATTTGGAGGATCGATTTTAATGTTGACCTTTGAATATTTTGTCCTATGGTTTTCTATGGCATATTTAGATATAACATTTTTCAAAGCAGTAGTATGGTTTGTTGTAGAGATTTCAATTATCATTCTAATGATTTGTTACTTCAACAGAGTGGGCTTTGCATGGATATTCCTTCCGGCCCTATGTATAGTTTTATTTTACTTTTTGGGATTCAATGGTTTGATCATGATTATTTGGTAAATCCCGCTAATGATAAGTCACAACCATTATCTATCATAGGCGAGATTTAATTTTTTAGCCCTTGGTATTCTGCTAATACTCAACATTTTTAGTTTATCAGAATTATTTAGCTCATAACTAGTATATTTAATATTGGGATCTATAGTATTCTAATATCGCAGAAATTCCCATTTAATCAATTTAATGTTTGTAGGCATCGGAGCGTTATCTTACCTTTATGGATTAATATTTGGTTGATTTATATTTTTCATAATTATTAATTAAATGTAATAAAAGTCTACTTCTTATGCAAGATAGGCCCTTTAGCAAATTGCATTTGAGATGGGAAAGCCAACCTCTTTGGTAGAACCATACATTGCAATGTATATAACTTAGCCTATTTTAGTCTAGAGGAAAATTGGTATGATACAAAGGACTCAATCAAACAAATGAAGTAAGAAAATTTCGATGAATTCAAAATTCCAAAGCGAATTGGCTAATTGCTAATGGAATACGTTCAAAGACCAGACGATTAGAAATAAAACTGGCAATTAGAATTGGCTAAAATATTTTCAGAAATTTCAGATTAGGATTAACTTTATAAAACATTAGAAATACTTTTTAAAATAATTTCCAATGTAGTGATGAATCCACTTAGTCTAGATAAATAGAGGATAAACATCTCCTCTAAAACTCTTTAAAATAACATATTAAAATACCAATCTGCATTAAATTATCTAGCGAATTTGGGTTGGAAATTAGAAGCTGAATTTTTACTAGTTGAATATAAAATGGAACAACAAGCTATTTGGAAAGAGGCTGCAGAAGAATTAGTGAATTATACATAAAAGGACTCTGGATTCAATCCAAAAGCAGCAATCATTCACACTTCAGCTTAGAATGTATCCATCACTTCAGAATTAGCCAAACACGAAGGCTATGATGTTTATTCATTCTCTTAGAAGCTTGAACAATTGCATCAGAAAAGATTTGTAATATAAATTAGTAATTTTAGCAAATTATGAGCTAACCCATAACTAATAGAGAAATTAAAGTGTTTATAGGTAGAAAACAACAATCGCCAGTGCAATTGCAATAGCAAATCCAAGGATAAGACGATTATGAGGAAGTACAACCTTAAAAAGATTAACAGCTTTTGCAGTTTCTTTAATAAGTTGCATAGGTATAATTTAAATGATAAATCTTTAATAGTCATTAGAAGAATAGTAATTTGCATCTAAAAGAAAGAAGGAATATTTGGACCTTCTTAGCAAGCCAATATTTGCCAAAACAGATATTAGAATTTAATTTCCAAATAGTGTAATCGTTTAGGCCATCTTTGGTCCATTAGAAACATTGAAAGCCTTATATGATTTGATATAGGATGTAAGAGTATTGAAATTATAGATTATGCGCAGATGTTAGAAAATAGAAACCTTGATTTCTACTTGTATACTTCCCCTCCTCCAATTAGAATGACATAAAAGTATTTGAATCAAACTTTTGATGAATTAAATTCTGTTCCAAATGGATTATTCTATTTTGGAGTTGAATAGCAGACTTCAAACTGTTATTTAAAAGAATCATGGATGTAAAGTGCTAGGGAGTTATGATTATTTTGTTAGAAAATCATTTATGTAATTATTATTCGAATAATATAAATGAATTGAAATTCCATTTTCAGTATTATAAGATCATATTTTTTTCTAAATTTAAGCTGACATAAGTCCTGTAGTTGTTTGATACATCTAAAAATTAAGTTCATTCTATACATTTGATTGTGATTTTTAATCTGTAGCCCAAGGAGCTTAAGATTTTATCTACTACTATGTTTGATTCTTTGATTTTGTTGAGGAAATTGTCATTTATTACATCAAAGATCCTAATTATTCCATTTTCGAAGGCGTTACTATAGTTTGATAGTACGAGGTCTAGGAGGCCAATTTTTAATTGGAATTCTACTATCTATTCTCGAAATATTATGAGAAGATAACAAAATTGTTATTCTAAGATATATAATTTGAGAGATGATAATGCTTTTTTAAGAAGCCAAGTAATTTTGGAGATGGTCTGTCATATGCTAATTTCTCTGGCATAATAGTTTCACATCTCAGCATTTCTTCAAATAGTTCTTTGCCAATTCCTCTTCTCTAGACTGATTCATGCACATAGAAATCCAACACACACAATGGCTATATTTCTCTAACTAATCCACTCAAATCTCTATGAAATAGGTTTTTCTTCCCAATTTTTAAAATTCCTAAGCATTACTAATAAGTTTATTTTGTATTCATACTTTTCCTTCTGATTTGATATACAATTTTTAATCAGTTTAATAAAATCTGGATGGACTAGTTATAACTTATTTCAAATTTTATGCCTTGTATAGATTAATATCAATTACTTTTGCAGATGCATCCCCCATTGTTGTGATCAATTCATCAAGGCATGGATTGCGTTATGGTGTTCCATTTAAAATGGTCATGCCATTTTCATTAACTGACATGCATTTTGAGATTAAAAAGTTAAATTGCATTTTAATAATTAAAATTTCTACACCGAAATCTGAATTGAACTAATTATTATGATATAATAGCTTGTGCTTTAAATATATTAAGTTTAGAATTACCAAAGTATTTGATTCAAAATATGAATGTAAAAATGAACACATATGATTCAATAACTAAAGTATTTTTGTAGGAACTATTTATAATAAACTATTTTACTTAGATAGTGGATAAATCAACCTCTTCAATTTATTAAAATGTACAGTTTAAGCGGATAACCAACCTATTCATTTTTGTCTGCAATAGTTATTTAATACAAGCCTATTTATGTTTTAATAGTACTATTTACACCTTTATTTTGGCTCATCCTTTTTTATAATATCAGCATAAGTATAAGTGTGCTAATACAAACGATTAATTGAACATTTTTAACCCCTTTAGTTGATTATCATAATTCTCAATGTTTTATGGCAATGTATTGATGAAATTCACAGAAAGATTGTTCAATAATATGTTTTTCAGGATATGTTTTAATATTTGAAATGAATTTTTAATAGTCTTGATAAAATCACACTAAATATAAATATCACTCTTGAGGTTCTGGTCTTAGCAGTCTAGGAATAAAGCCTTTGACTAATTCAACAATTGGTATTTTTCTTCCTCCCTTAGGTTCATCATCATCATCAGATTCGCTTTCACTCTCCTATAAATCTTCATTTGCTTTGGTTTCTTTCTTATTCTCTTATTCGTTTTTTTCATCATCTTAATCAGATGTATTATCATTTTTTTGCTTTGCCAAATTAATCCATTCTAATTATACTTTTTCTAGATCATCAATTTTGGAGATGGTTTCTAATTGAGTTCTTGTTTAATTCTTAAATTTAATAGAACAGATACTTGAACACAGTAAGTTTATCGAATTCTCTTGATTATGTTTGTGGATAACCTAATAAGCATGAATATAATAAAATTTAATTATAAAGCCAATTAAGAAGGAAATAGTATGCAAATAACTAACAAATTGTTATTACAAACGTATTCTATAAATAGATGAATCTAATATGATAAATGTAAAAAAGTGATATAGATTCAAGTATGAGTATTCAGATTTTGATTATATTGATATATGATTAAACTCAAAATTACATTTATTATAAGAGTAATAATCTAATTGTATAAAATAAGATGAAATTTATCAATCGATGTTTATATAAGTTTTCTGTAAATGTTATTAGAGACTAAATCTATGAGTTCGACAAGAGTGCGATTAGTTTAAGTGTTCGGATTAATAGCTTAAAAGATTTCAACGATTTTCAGAAGTTAAGAGACTTAAAAATACATCGAATTATCTATAATCTAAATGATCAAGCCGAACTTATGGAATTCTTGGCTGAGCATAATGATGAATGTATTAAGAAAATTTTCGATCCCTCCTTTTTCATATGTATGTCTGAGAATAAATGAAAAACTTAGTTCGTGGTGTCAGTGTAAATGTTCCTACAATACTGAGGGATGGCAATTTTAGAAAGTTAGAGCAAAAGGCATTACTACAGATTTGCTAACATCTATTCAAATTGAAGACTGATCAAAATAAGACACAATTCTAAGTTTTTATGGTATATAAGATTATGTTATTTTTATGCCTTAAAACATGATGGAAACATCGATAAAGAGTAAGAGTTTTTGAGTTTAGTGAAGGAAGAGTTAGATGATTTACAAAGCGTGATTGAGAATTCATTTAACTTTGAAGTGAATCATGTACTTAGTTATAATCCAAAATTCACATATGATTTATTATTTAAATTGGCAAATTAACAGAAAACTTTGAAGAGTGTCAACTTTAACATTTACAGATATGCAAATCCTCAATAAAGTGAATTAGATTAGAATAGAGAAATATTGGCAACCCTTTATTAACATGTTGATGAACAATATAACACAATATTTTTGAAAAACTTTATATTTGAAGAGAAATACATAAAACAATAGAATTTGTCTGAAGGCATTGTTAGTTACTCACATGTAATAATCTAAATATGAATGTAATTTAGTTGGTAGACATGTTAAAATTGATGCATTTCCGAGGTTCTTTGGTCTTTGAGTATAATAAAAATTTGGAAAGGAATGTTGAATTCATAGACCAATTGTTATAATCTAGCAAATACATATTGTCTGACAAATATAAATTGGGAGAAGAGCATGAGTCTCACATTGTGGAAGGAGATACAATGCCACCTATAGATGTTTGAGTTATATTTAGATATATAGATATGAAATTCATTTATGATTGATTAAAAATCCAACTTAAAACTGTTCTAATAAATAATGGGCATTGACCCAAGGATGATTTTACATGAATAAGGCAGTTCCATCAGTTCCTACACCTTTCATGAGTTCCTCTTGACCTCCAGGATGTTTATTCAAGTATTTAGTAACATCATAAACTTTGGAGTTGATAACAATCCATGCCGAATTGATGGTGTTATGTTTGGCTACCTACTCTCATTTGCAATATCATACCTCATCGATTGTAAGCTACTTTAAATCATTTTTCTTGCTGCTATCACTAAGTTATTTCCTTTAGATCCAACTAGGAGAGAGGCTTTCTTTAGGAGATTATCCAAATTTTGGAGATTCAGGTTCTTTTTGAAATTGAATTGGCTTTACTGCTTCGTTCTTAATAGAGTTTCTTTTTTTTGGTTGGATAACTAAATCATCAAAAATGCCTATTAAGGTATCCACATATTTTTGATTCGCCTTTTTTATGGCACTCAATTGGTAATCGACGCATTCTACTTTACGTGCCCCTTTATACTTCTCCAATAGTATACTGCCATTTTTGATTGTGTAAATATTACGATTTAATCTCACTTCATTCTTAGCTTAGTCCACTTAATACCTTTGCTAAAGTCTTCACATCTTGTCTCTATGGTATTGTGATGTATGTATGAGGTCTTTTGAATTCAACTATCTGGTCAATCTCATAATATTGATTCTCATGATCTCTCAAAGTAAGGAGATCAGTTTGATATTTTTGCTTTATGTCATTTAGAATGAATGTCACCACTTCATCAAGAGTCTCTATTTCAACCTCATCTCCCATCCATTCTAAGGTATCCTATCTGTCTTCTATGTACAAATTGATTACCTCCTTATTATTCATAAATTATTAAAATCGCAAATTATGTTACAAATGATAAAATTGATGAACCTTAAACAAAATACTGCTTACAAACCAAATACCATCGTTAGTAAATTGCATATCACAAACAATCGAAATATAGACAAAGGAGAAAATATGCATTTGTAGTAATACTTAAAATTGACTTTTACTCATTATAAAGAAGTAATATTTAAAGCTATAGATTTATAAACCTGGAATAGTGGAAGATGAATAGATGGAGAATAATTGTTAAATGGCTATTGTGAAAAAAAAATAAATATCAAAGTGTGAAATATATTATTCATCCTTCTTTAGATGAATTAACAGAAGATCAGGATTGTGGATAATTGAAAATAATTGATGAATTCATGAAAAATGATCCATAATAAAGAGGGATAGAAGAGGTTTTCTAATTCAAGATGGGTAGCAAAAGATTTTACATAATAGTTTTTATTTTTGAATATAAAATCTATATGGAAATATTGTAATAATTATAATTATATTAATAATTCAAACCAAAATTTAATAGTGCATTGAATTATTCATGTGTATAGGTTAAAATTGTTTTGAAATTAATTTAGACCAAAGAAATAAATAATACTTTTAAATTCTAGAGATGCTCAATTAGGATTTTCTTTTCATGAATTGAAGAAATGGTTATATAATTCTTTGATATATCTATTGCTAATTATCTGTTTAATAATAATTAAATAAGTAAAGAGGAGGTGATTATACAAATTTTATGGCGTAAATATTATCAAAAATTTGAGAATTTTTTTTGGAATTAAGAATAATATTGTCTTATAAAAATCAATTGCAATGATCAGATAGATTAATTCTTATAAATTTCATTGATATTTAGAATCAAACTATCTAGGTAATTGAGTTCACCAAAGTTTCCAAATTTTCAAATAAAATTAATCCATACTCAACATTTATTCTAATTTAACAATTTATGTTTGAATTCAATAGAAATGTGTTAGTCTATTTATATAAGCATTCTTAAACTAATTCTAAGTTTACAATTATCAAAATACGTATGAAATAAAAGTTAATTTTCTTGTTATTAATTAATTATCATAATATATTCATTCATATTTTTAATGACATATTTGTTTAAATAATTCTCATTTTGAAATTGCACATCTTTAGTTATACAATTGTTTATTTTCTGCTTTTTTAATGATAAAATGTATGACATAATCAACATATTCATACTAGAAGCCAAAAATGCTAAATTTACATTTATTTTTGATTGATGTCCATTCTACTTTTAGTCTTTATCCTCATGTCCCTTTTCCTTTAGACTAACTGTAAAAATGACTTTGAATAATCAAACAAATTTTTACAGTCTTAAAATGAAGAAGAGTTTGGTTTTGTGGATCTCAGAAATGATTCAGAAGAAAAACACACTGCTTTTTATTATCACAAGTGGGCTAACTTTATTGTTTGGGGAATTTTAGCTGATTTAGGCATTTTAGCTAACAGATATGGATCATTGAGCAAACATAGATTAAATTTGCATAGTATCATCATGGGTCTATGCGTAGTGCCTACTGTAATCGCAGAAATACTCATGATAGCTATTTGGAATCCGCCTGAATTCTATGGTAATTAGAATTTAGGTTCCATTCATGCTCCCATAGGATTTGCATATTTGGGACTGATGATATTATAGAGTGCAGGAGGAGTAATATTAAAATTATGTATTGAATCAAGCAATCCTCAAAAATATACCAAAATCATGTCCTTGGGTCACATCTATCTTGGATACAGCATGTATTTTCTTGGTAAAATCTAATGCGGATTCGGATTCTATATAGTTTATAGTAATATGAAAGGTGAAGGCAAAGGAAACTTAATTATGTTTTGGATAGTTTATGCTTTGTTATTTTTTTGGAGAATCATATTCGAATGGCTATATTAGAAGGGAACTCTCTTCGAGTACTTTTATTCTGCAAATCAACCTACTGATAGAACTGGGAGCATATAAGATTCCTTATTTGTGTAATATTTAATATAAAATGGTATTATCAATCATTTAATTGTATAGATTAGCTGAATATTGAAAAGGAATATAGTAACAAAATGTGGTTTATTTTTAATAACAGCATTGTCGATTTGACAGGTTTTGTACATCCTGGAGGACAATACTTTTGGGAGAAGACAAAGGGAAGAGAAATCTCAAGATTCATCTATGGGGGGTAAAGTTTAGAGGATGGAAATACGGCAGCCTATACTCATTCTAATAGAGTGATAACTTTGATTTAAAGATAAACGATCGGACATTTAAATGCAAATTCCAATGAAAATGTAACTTAATAAAATATTAACAAATGGACTTTGGTAAATCACTTAATGATATCTGAAAAAATAAGTCTATTTGGATTTAAGAATTCATCAAAATAGATAGAGTCTAAGTTGACTAATCTTCATTAATTTGGAAAATACTATCAAATTAAATCTTCAGTGAACAAAAATATTTCTGTAAGGCAATATACTTCTGTAGTAAGTATGGCTCCTGAAAATATTTAATACAGAGAAAAGTTAATAAATCTGATTTAGTAATTGAATAAGATCAAATCGGAAGATATTGTATCAATGGATTAGCAAGCAAGGTATTTAAACGAACTGCCATTAATTATAAAGAAGTACGAGTCAAATTTTGGTTTTTCATAATATATCCATTCTCATTTAAATGAGGATTATGAAATTGAAGGGCCATATGGACCTTCCTTGGGATTGCCAAATAAGGGTAGGGTTGTAATAGTTTGTGGAGGAACAGGAATTTTGCCCTTTTTGGATTTGTTAGATTTTTAGTTGTAATCTGCAACTTACCAAATTGTAAAGAAAAAATTCGGTCAGAAAGTAGCGGAGAGGTTGAATCCATTTGAATGCTAATTCAGCAATGGTCTGCATATTACATTAGTTTTAGCAATTGCTCATAAATCAGAATTAATTGGGTTAGAAATATTTAAAAGTTTAATGTCTTTATAAAATGAATTAGAGGAGCAAAGCTTTAGGATGATTTTGAAAATAACAGAATAAATTGAGGGTTTTACTTGTGTCAATGAGAGATTTGATAAGGAGTTTATGAGATAGTAATTGGGACAGTTGTCTTAATATGACAAGTTTTATGTTTGTGGACCTCCTGTAATGAATTAAGCAGTTCCTCAAGCATTGACGAGTTTGGGAGTTTAAGAGAAGTATATCCATTATGTTTGAGATGAAAGTGATTACTAATTGTTTAAGATAAAATTTATATATATTATTAATTTAATGTTCCTATTTTTATTATTATATTTGATAGAGAGTAGGCAGATTGAGAGCTGTAAGCAAAACATGGACTCCTTTCAGATTAAAGGTTTGAAAATGCACCTTCATAAGTGTAGGGATTCATTTTTGTGTGAGTGACCATCATTAAGCCAAAGAGGCTCGCAATTAGGTGTTGTAGGATTCTGTGAGCTAGAATAAAGTAAAAGCAATAGTGCAAGAGATAGAAGGTCTAGAGAATCAGAATCCGTTTTGGTATTCAGACTTGGCGATATATTTGAACATCGATGAAATTCATATAACAGGGGGTTTGATTGATCATTCATAGAATGTATAATAGATTATCTAAACTTTCAGGTTAGCATTGTGAATCAATAGGTACGAATTACCAAACATGTTTATTTTAAGAATCTTATAAACAAAGAACTTATGATTACAAATATATTCACTTCATCTCCTCTTTTAAAGGTAGATTTTGAAAAGATAGTTTTACCATCCAATTCAACCACATAAAAAACTAAGGTTTGCACCATGATTTACGAGCAGCCACTTTCAGAAATTCGATCAAAGACATTTGAAATTTGGTTGGCAGTAGAGATAGCCTATTTTTTAAGAGTGCCGGTTAAGTTGATAGTCTATGATAAACACCTAATGTGCTAGACAAAGTAATTAGGTCAATGTAGTATCTAAGGATAGCATTCAACAATTGAATTCAATAATTTAGGCATTTATTAACAATACACAAAAATATTCTCGTTTTATAATCCGAATCCAGTCAAAATTGATGTTTCTTATAAATAAAATGAAAGGAAAAAGAATCAAATAAGAGTGTTATTGGCAAATCGTAATGATATCAAATCAGCTTCAAAGCGTAAATTTTCATTTGAAATGTAACCTTATACAAGAACTGAATTGAAAGTCATAATCAATACAAATTACTATGAAATATTGGCCAACAGCAAATTGACTTTTAGAACTTAATATGAAATCATAGAAGTCGATGTGACTTATTCAGTTTAGAAGGGATCAGTCAATTACTACCCTTCTGTAATTACATTGGATCCAGGGATGACAACAAAGGTCTAGCAATTTGATATCTATGTAAGAAGCACTTTCAGCCAGAAAATTCAATTGCTCTAAGTTGAGAATCAATAAATAAAGCATCAGAATATATCTTTACTAACGATGGCAACTAATATCGCTACTAATTCCAGATCAGACATTCTTCATGTGGATTACATGGGTAAATAAAATTTCTACTCTGATTCTAAATATCACAAGTAGCAAGCAAAAGAATTACTGAACTCTTTTGGACGCAACAAAATAAAGATTTAAACTGATGTGCTGTAGGATTCTGAGATTCTCATCAATTATAAGTCAAATCAAAAATTTAATGAATAAATCTTAAAGAAAATTATTAAACAAGATCCAAAGATACTGATCTCTTAATAAACAGTTGTTATGTCAGAATAGCCTAACATTTTCTTTATTGTAGTCTCAATCCTCAATATGTTGTACATCGCCACTTTGTTAAGAAACAATGTCGTAAAATCGAAGGAGTTAAAAATTACCATCGATAGTAATTTTTCATAGGAATAGATTGATTTTCAATCTATTTTTAAGACTCCTGAATGTATTTAATTGCAAAGCAAATCTGAGACGAATGAGGTGGTTTCTGACAAAGCAGATGAGATCTAAGACATGATTATAGCTGAAGAAATTATGAGTAAGGAGAACATCATTTACACTAACATCTAATCCCAGGTCGATGAAAGTTCTTCTCATTTCAGTCAAGGAGAAAGTTTGGATGATGATTAAATTTCAGAATATCAGGAGAAGGTAGTGGAGTTGAAGAAGGTTCCAAATCAAAAGAATTTCAATTTATTTTAGAGAGTGGAATTCACTATACCAACATAGTTGACTTTGAATACTCAATCCTCTTAGGAATGTTGGGACACCAAAGATCCAATATTTTTACCATAAGATTCTGATGAAGAAATGACGGACAAGAATAGTGTTCAGAGGTTGGAATCAATGTTGAATCAGATTCAACATAAATTGCCTTAATTTGAGCAAAGTACACTTAAATTACCATTAAAATGGAATGAAAATAATTAGATAAATCCATACTTTCCAAAACCCCCTCCAGGAATTTGAATGTAATTATTTTAAATAAAATCAATAAATAAAATTTTCATGAAATTTGTAATCGATGATCTCGAAGTCATCTTCCCATACAAATTTCTATATAAAGAATAGTTAGAGTATATGCAGGCCCTCAAATAAACTCTAGATGAAAAGGGACATGGAATCTTGGAGATGCCTACAGGAACAGGGAAAACAGTCTCATTGCTAGCATTGATTATTGCCTATTTGGCATAAAGACCCAACAGTGTTAAAAAGTTGATCTATTGCACTCGTACAGTTGTAGAAATGGAGAAAACATTAGAAGAAGTCAGATTGGTTTTGAAAGCCAGAAAAGCTGAAGGTCTTAACGATAATTTTACCGCTGTCGGATTGAGTTCAAGAAAAAACCTATGTATCAATCCAGATGTTGTCAATTAAAAAGACAGAGTTGATGCTGAATGCAGGAGACGAACAGCTGAATGGGTGAAAAGGGGATAAAGTGAAACATGCATCTTTTATGAGAATTATGAAAAATCCGCCAAAGAAACCATTGCCAATCTCCCTAATGATGTTTACAGCTTAAATGATTTACGTAAGAACGGTGCTTATTCTGTTCAATGTCCCTATTTTACTGCTAGAGAGATGATCAAAAAGGCTAATATTGTTGTTTATAACTATCTCTACTTGATTGATCCTGCAGTTTCTTCATAATTGTCAAAAGACTAAATCAAAGAGAGCATTGTTGTGTTCGATGAGGCTCACAATATTGATGATGTCTGCATTGAAGCCTATACAGTGAGATTGAATAAACCCATTTTAGCTGAAGCAATCAACAATCTCAAAGTTGTGGAGACTCAAATTTAGAGTGAAACTAATGAGATCTAAAATAGGTTGAATGAAGAATATAAGAAATTGATCAAAAATTTGGAAAATAAACCATAGGGAGAATTGAATCAAATGGTTATACCTGGACAAATTAGGAAAGCAAGAAACTTCATTGATTTCATGAAAAGAGTTATCAATTCACTTAGGAAGAAACTAAAGGACAATTCTGAGGCTTTAAAGACATCACATGCAATATTGCATAACACTAAAGGGTTTACTGAAGAAATTTAGAAGGAAGGAAATTTAGATATTGATTCTCTCAAATAATGTGGAGAACGATTAAATCTATTGTTGAATACTTTACAAATTGCAGAAACTGATAAATTTAGACCGCTTAGTTCTGTTGCGCAATTTGTTATGTATTTAGTATAATATCAGGAAGGGTTCAAAGTAATATTTCAATCTAATAACTATGAAGGGACATTGAATGAAAAATTAATGACTCTGGCTTGTTTTGATAGTTCATTAGCTATGAAAAATATCTTTGCACAATTTCAATCTGTCATTCTCACATCAGGTACAATGTCACCAATTGAAATTTATCCCAAAATCTTAGACTTTAAACCAGTTGTTGCTAAATCTATTGATATTGAGTTGACTCGTAATTCCATTCAACCTATCATTGTAAGTATGTCTGAGGATGGAACTGAGTTGACATCAGAATTTACCTTAAGAAACAATGAAGATGTGTCTCGGAACTATGGTAATTTTTTGCTGGAATTATCTGAAAATGTTCCTGATGGACTCATCGTATTTATGCCTTCATATAGTCGAATGGAGGAATGGGCAAGACAATGGCAAAAGGATAAGTATTTGGAATAAATTTCAAAAAATAAAGTATTATTTATAGAGTCGAAGGATGTAACTGAGACATCATAGAAATTATAATAATATCGTAAATGTTGTGATGTTGGTAGAGGAGCTGCTTTATTTTCAATTGCAAGAGGTAAGATTGCAGAAGGTATAGATTTTGAGGGTCATTATGGAAGATGTGTTGCTGTAATTGGATTTCCAGCCTTGAACAGTAAAGACACTTTGATTTTAGAGAGATGTAAATTCTTGGAAGAGAAATTTAAAATAACAAAAAATGATTTTATTGAATTTGATGCAATGAGATAAACATGCTAATGTTTGGGTAGAGTTCTAAGAGGTAAGCAAGATTATGGAATTATGATTATGGCTGATAAGAGATTTGCTTAGAAAAGTAAATTGCAAAAAATGCCCAGATGGATTTATAAATAATTAGACTAATCTAGATGTTTAAATATTACTAGTGAGACTGCTATCACAGTAGTTCGAGATTTCTTTAGATAAATGGCCTAACCTTTTAAAATAGCTGATAATAGTTATTTTACACAAGACACATTATGATTATATTAATAAAAAAAATTTAAATTTAATGATTGCGTTAAAAAGGTAGCAATTTCGAGCTAAGCAACGATAAATTGTACTTAATAAACTGTTTCAACAAAATAGAATGTCCTCTCTATTAGTTTTCAAATTGGATAAATTAGAACAAATACTTACTCAACAACACTATGATTCTCTAGAATATTAAGTAATATCTAGTCATTTGACTTATTTAAGGAATCAATCCAATAAATTATAATGATGAGTCACAATGTCAACTTATCCCAGTTATATCATTTATTGATTCAGAATTTTATCGATACGATCTAATATTAAATGGATGTGGGCTATTATGTTTTAAGTGTTTAAGTATATTTCATGTGTTATTTTGATTTTAATAGTTTTAATTCATTAGATGGAAATGGCCTAACAGCCTATGCTGGTGCAATTAGTTAAAGAGACAGGTATACAATAATTTTTAGCTTTCAATGATCCAATGACACTATAATTTCTAGAATTATTTCTAATTTAAATGCCCGCATTAAATGATATGGAAATAGATACCATTTACAATGAGCTCTTAAAATGGTCGCAATCTATCAATCTAAATTATGTGATTTCTGCACTTACTTGTCTACATTTGCTCATAAGACTAAAATAGGAATTGCTATCACCCGATCTCTCCATTTCCATCCTGCAATTACTCAATACAGAATATAGTTAGTTGGCTTTTGAAATTCTTCAATTATCAAATTGGCAGCATTTCAAAGAAGAATAACTAATATTGGTCTGGGATGAAATGTGTAAACAATTACTGAATCTAAACAATGAAGAAACTTGCATAATAATATTAAAGTCCATAGTTCAATTCCACACTCCCTACTAATTGAAAGAGATTTGTCGGTATCTGTAAGTGGCCAACGATTACTACGGCATTAAAGTAATTGAGATGTTGTCTATAACATAAATTAATAGAAATTATGACCAGATAACATCGGAATTACTAGATCAGATATGTTACAGAGTCATCAGAAATCACAACCTAATACCCCTGTTGAAATAATTTCTATTAAAAAATGTAATAAACTCCTTTATTTTTATAGAAACTAATTTATGAGTCCTATAACTTCCCCGTGCAAATTGAATATTTATTATAATGAAATTAATATATATCTCCTTATTGATTTCTATTTTATGGCATCCAGTCTGCTATTTGATAGATTAAATGATAGAGGATTACGATAAATCAACTGAATTAGTGACAGATAGTCATTTTTTCAAACATGCTATTAGATGGGATAGTTTGTTTTACATGGAAATTATGGAAAATGATTATCGATACTTTAAAAATCATGCCTTTGGATATGGAATAGTGTTATTAGGCAAATTGTTTTCAAACTCTTTAATCTGCCTATTGATTTTATAGAAAATTTGCAATGCGATTTCCACAGAATTGATTTACAAGATAAGTATGCATTACTCAAACAATAATCACAAATTCTCTTAATTATCAGCATTGTTATTTATCTTTACTCCTGCTTCAGTATTTTTTAATTCACTCTATACAGAATCCTTTTTTGCATTTCTAGTGTTAGTTGCAATATATTTACAAATAAAGCAAAAGACCTATCTAAGTTCGATAGTGTTTGCATTATCAATTCATTTAAGATCTAATGGGATGTTTTTCATTCTCTTTTCAGGATATCCATATCTAGTCAAAGCCATAATTTAGATAAAGGATAGGAAATTCAAATAAGTTGTCTCAACTGTTTTGGAGGCTATTCCTATTGCACTGATCTACCTCGTCAGTATTGGAGTTATGCTATATTTGCCATATAAGAATTACTGTTAATAAAATGAGATGGAATGGTGCAAAGGCATAATTCCATATGCGTATGGATACATATAGGTAAACATAGGATTAATCATTAGAAAAACTTCTGGGATGTGAGTTTTCTCTCATCATACAAGTTAAGAAAGCTATTCTTTATATATTGGGGAATACAGGGTATTTTGATTTAAGGATTTTGGTTATACAAATGGATGACTAAATCATGTACAATTAAGAATAATATTTAAGGAATTTCAATAATATTACCAACAATCATTTTATTCATAATTACAACATTTATAGCACATGTAAATTGCAGTACCAGATTCTTTAGCACTCAAATTCCATTTTATTGGTGTTTAGCAGATCTTTTTTACAAAAAGGATGGTAAAATAAATAAGTGGGTATTATTTTATATATTGGAATTCAATTTGGGAGGCTTGATTCTGTTTACAAATTATCTGTTGTGGGCTTGATTTATAATATATGTTATTGTTTTAAATTATAAATTTTTTTCATATAAATTGTTATTTAATTGTAGATTTCTATTATTTTTCTCGGAAATCCATTCCCAATCTTGAGATAGTAAAACTTGATGTGAAGATCAATAGAACCCTTAAATTATTTTGGAGTAGCATTTTATGCAATATAGAACTGTCTTGGGCATTATGTCGACAGTTTTATGCCTACTAATTTATGACGAGTGGTTTTATGTGTAATACTATGTTAAAATTCGTAAAATAGAGGAATCCTCATAGAAACCAAAGTATAATAGTGTACTTATTATGAATAAAGAGGACCTTTACAATTTGAAGTTGTAATTAATTTAATTTAATAGAAATTTAGTATTCAGGAATTGTAATTCAATTAAGATAGCAAAATATTTTTAGATGGATAAGGAGGGCATAAATGAATGATAGATTATTGAATTTGAGCACATTAAAAAAAATAATATTATAAGAGAAACTAATTGATCAAAATTTGATAAATCTCTAGAGTCTACTTTATAGTAAACTCAATTTTAACATTCTGATCCTGGCACTGCCTTTAAGATAGCAATGATAAAATACAAAAATAAGTTTAGGAAAGAAAAATCAGATTGGAGAAACAGGTTCTATCAAACAAATTTCAATTACTCTAAGGAGTACAATGTATACACGCTTAGGCAACAGAGCATTAAGAAGCTCAAATTTAATTGATAGGTATTCAAAGTAGCATTGATAAATAGAGAGCATAGTATAAGGAGTAAGATAAGATAGAGAAAAATACTAAGCAAATCTTTTCTTATATATAATTTGTTATATATTTATAAATATAATTAAATAATTATAATTAAAGATGGGATAAACTTAGGGCTCTAAGTATTATAATAATGCTGACCAAATTTTGATTTGCACTCTTTGTCGTGAAGAAAAGCCATAACATCATTTTCATTGTGGAAAGTGCAGAAAAAAAGCACTGATATGTTTTGGTGCTACATTTGGTTTTGGAATTTTAGCTATTGTAACATCAGTAGCATAATTAAGCGATGGATGGAGAATTATTCTGTCTATCCTTATGGCACTTTCATTTTTTGGTGGCTGTTATTTTTGTTAAAGTAAACTCACCACAGGAACAATCAGATAATATGTAGAAATATATGATTGATATTATTTGTTTAACATTGAATTGCCATTTATAAAATTGAAAGTTAATCAAATAATAAGTTATTTTTTGAAAACACTTGTCTCATCTGCAAGTTATTAGATTTAAAAATTGCAATTATATTCATTTAAATTATCAAATATAAATAATAGATAATTCATAATATTATTATGATATGGCCTAAATAATAATAAAACTATTAAAGGAAAAAATATTTATTAATCAAATATCAGCTCCACAAAACATGCATAGTAAATCCGAGTCTTCTTTTTATTACAAGATAGCATCTTTGATGGCTGAAAATGGAATCTCTTCATGTGGTTCTTTCTCTACAACTTTAAAGATTAGTCTAGTGTAGTATTCGCATAGCATATCCAAGAAATCATCACTATTTTAGATATACTTGGATAAACAAACTTTGGACAATTCAAAAATCTCGTCCCAACATAATTATCCATTGCCATCCTTATCTGAAATTTAAATAAATAGGTCTAATTTTTAAACCAAAGTTTTTGCTCTAATACTTACCATCAATTTCAGGAATTCATTCCAATTCAAAAAACCACTATAATTAAAATCGATCTTATTGAAGATTTCCTAGGCCAAATATTCACTCTGCATAAATATCTAATAAATCCCCATTCTATAAGTGTTATAATCCACTCCATCATCTACATTATAGTATCTATATCGTTGAGAAGTAATTTATTGTAAGGCGCAATAAAGTATATAAGTGTTGTGTAGTTCATATCTGGAGAAGTTTGTTTCAGACAGTATCTTTGGGATCCCCTAGATAAAGAGTTCCTTGTTGATTTTTAATAATTTGTGGAGACTTCCTTTGTTGGTGATTAATTCCCTAATATTCTATTCGATATGGTTAATGGATAAAGGTTTTTCCTCTTCCTCATCGTTGTTAAAGTTGACTTCAGGTCCATCTTCTTGTGAGTAGCCACTATTTTGATTCAAGAATTTCTTCAAGAGGGGTTCCAACAACTAGGCCGCTTAAGTTATTTAACTAATTGATGTAAATCAAATTAAATACTTTTCAATAGTCTATTGACTTGAGACACTGTCAATATGAACAGCCATCAAATCCTCATTTGAGTTCTCCTCCTCTGGTTTGAACTTAATCTTTTTCAATTGTTATTCGTACCATCCCTCTATTTTCTCCAATTTCTCTATTTTGGGATTTTTGATTATGTATTCATCATTCATATATTATTGGATGTAATTCTTCTGTTTGACAGCATTGCAAGGTTAGAACATTTTGTTGATGATTGGTTTAAAGTTTTTATTTCTTTTGATTTCTTTATAAGAGTGCTTGAGTTCTTTTGAGTTCATAAATTATTGATTGATTTCAATTTCTTCTGGGACCTTATCCACTTGATATTCGTCATCGATTGATTGGTAATTTTAATGCACTAATGTATGAATGATGCTATCGATCTATTGAGTATAATCTGGCTCATTTTTCTTTGTGCTTTCTTCGCAATTGTAAAGGGAACAGCAATTTTCGAGATAGAGCAATTATGGATTAAATATCTACTTGTAGACGGTAGAGGTTGAGTAAATTAGAACACTTTATTTGGGGGGAATATCTAGATGAGAGTAAACAGGAGTCCCGTCTTTCAAATAGAAGTATATTTTTTTGGAATTAATTTTGAGTCTATTCATAAAATTGATAAAAACCTATTCTTGACAACTGAAGTGAATTCCTCGAAAACGGACTTGTCTTTAATTGAATGATCAGGGACATACATGAAAATATATTGCAACGAACTTGTGTTGAGATATAACTGATTAACAATTACAATTTGTCGCATTCTTAAAATAGAGATAACAACTACCCTGCTGATTTTGTAAAAAAGCGATCTCTGGTTGGTATCTGTTCCATCGTAATGGACGACCGTTTGGCTCTTTGTGAAGTCACAATGGATCTCTGACAGACATTTTCTTGTAATCGAAAGCGTTAGAAACTTTTCATGAGGTTGTTTTCAATAGAATCCTGATTTAACTTCAATCGTTTGCCGTGAAACTCAATCTTTTCTTAGTACTTGGTTTCTTCAATTGTTAGCGGCTTCATTTCTTATCTACTTTCGAAATGCTTTGTAATTAGAAATGAGGGAGGAGTATCTCTGGAGGAGCTTTCGCGATTCCTGAAAAAGAGTTTTTGCACTTAGATTTCTTCTTATTGATTGTTCTATTTTCGATAATGTTGATAGGAGGATTTGCATTATTTATTAATGATATCAGATGAAGACTTATTGGATTTGATTGTGCTTTCTAATTGGGATTTCATGATTTTTCTAACTAAGGGCTATGATTGAAATTCTTTTATAGGCGTTACAGAGGGTAGCATATAATTATTTTATTAATATTTTTGTTACATACAGAAAACCAAACATTCAATGACGTTTTATGAAGAATTTGATATTCTAATATATGCCTAGTTATTGTTGGTCAGATTTGGTTTCATTTCGATTTCTATCGAATAAATAGACCTAAGAAAAGCTAGTATTTGGTATTTCCATTCTATTTATCTGCTTATAGTTGTAAATGATCAGTTTGGCTAATTCCTCATCGGAGACAGCGTTGTCATTCTTTCTAGCCATTGCAACGAAATCCATAGCCAATTGTTACGAATATGTGATGTGTTAGACATCGTGGGTAGCTTTGGTTATCCATTCAAATTGATGCTTCTCTGGATGGAACTGATATCCATAGATGGGGACTTCTCTGCCTTCACAAATGGCTATGTATTTCAAATTCGCGCCGTCTCTGCTATATGCTATGATTTTGAAGAATGCTCCCAAAGAGTAAGCTTTTTCATAGGTTTGTTACACAACTCCCCAATTATGAGAATAGTATGGTCCATCTATTAAATCGAAAAAGTAGGATTACCAACATTCTTCAGATATTCCAAGGTGACGGAGTCGATGGATTTCAAGACAAATGAATCTTCTTCTGAATTGATCTCTAGCAACCTTTACTTACCCAAATCATCAGTCATTCTGGTCAGTACTTCATAGTAGGATGAGGCAATGTAATTGATCAATTGAAAACCTTAGCATATTCCAAGTAGAGGATAGAATTTGCCAGCCTTGTTAAATTGAATTACCTTTTGAAATATAAAGGATGCTGTGTCAGTAAATTTATTAAAAGTGAAACCCGGTTGAGTATTATTTAAATAGAGGTCCACATCTCCCCCAGTGAATAGAACTCCATTAATCTAATTTAATGTGGAGGTAATCTCATCATAAGAACTATCCCAATGAATTGGAATCACTCTGGCTCCAGCTTACTCGATCCATTTCACATAACTAGAAGGAAAATAAGAGTAGAGGGATTTGTCGTAATCTTTCAAATCAGAGGGGTTCGTTAAGATGCCTATGGTGGGTTTAGTAGTGGCAGAGATCACTGAGGAGAGGAACAATGACGCAATGATTATTCTTAACATTCTTTTATTTATTTAATATTTATGATTTAAATCAAATGTTGTATACGTCGTAGCCGTGCAAGAAGCGTGATCCTGGAATATCGAAATAAGGGTAGGGATCCTTGGTTGCTCTGGTGTATTGATGAGCAGCTCTCTTCTTGAATGGAACCCTATGTTCTTAATTCATTTATCATACCACACATCCTTCTGGTGATAGATGTCAGTGATCTACTTGATGTAATCGGATCCGTGTTCAGCAAACAATTCCTCTATCAATATATTCCTCTTGTCTTCTGCAGCCAGATATCTGATATCTTGCATTGCTTAGTAAAATGGCAATGATTTCCTCTGCATCTTTTTCAACTCTAATTCTTTGCGTCTAATTTATTTAACCATTCAACTATACTTGAATTGTCTTCTCACTTCCACTATATGCATTATGCCCCACACTTAGAATAAAACACCAAATGCTAAGATTATTTTGCCTTTTCTCCCTGGGATTCTCCTCTTCTCTGGGAATAGCTTTGTTCTCAACTCAGAGGTGTCCCCAATGGCTATATGCAGAGGAGAATTGGCCTGATCATATCTTCTCATGAACTAAGGCTTAAATAAATTTGCCTATCTGAAAATTTTGAGCATAATATTAATAATAATCAAAATCACAATTATGCAGGTTTTTTAGAGAAATTCGATCTTTGAAAATGGCCAATCGTAGTAGCCAAAGGCGAATTAGGGATCTTATTTAAACTATCTGTGTTTGATCTTTGACTCGATGCCTCAGTCACCAACTTTTGATTGCTTTTATGGAAATTAGAGATTATTCTTCTATTCTTCAACTGAGGAGCCTCCTAAAAATATACTCTATCATATGAATTACCTTCTGATGTGCCTTCTAAGCATTGATCATTTTCAATTTGTTCATCATCTCCTAAGGATTCATTGAATTACTTTTTCTCAATTGCTTTTTCGCAAAAGTTGTTCTATTCGTCTGCACAATCGTTTCTGGAATCATATCTGTTGTATTCCTACTGCTATCTCCAACAAAAGAATTACTGCTGCTATCATTATTCCACATCTTATTTAATTTGGTCTAGGATTTCATCATTAAAGGACGAATCCTAAAATTATTTGATGCTATTGATAATTCTGATCCTATTATTGATACATTATCATGAGGTGAATTAGTTTCATTGATTTCGTCAGTTCTACCAAGTGCATCTTTTGATTTAATCATCACATATTTCAAAAACACAAACATCTTAATGTACTTGGCTATTCTCTATTCTTTCTTAACTTAACATTAAATTATTTCATTCAATGTGAAAGGCACAGAGATATCTCCCTTCCCTGTAATCCAAGGGTGTTCCAAACATTAATTAGCCGTTAAACGATGTTCTGGTAAATACGCAATCGTTCTTTCCAAAAAGTTTCTTGTATCCTAATCCTCATTGATTTTAAAGTTCAGTGTAAATCCCTTAATTTTTTCACAATATGTTAGTTTGGTATCCCCATTTCGATAGAAGGGATGTTCTCCTTTGTATAGCATATTATACACCACTATTCCCAAAGCCCAAATATCTACCGACTAACTGTTATCTATCAATATATACTCTTGTATAATTTCCCTTTTTTATCAATTCCGGAGCTTGATACAATAGAGTCCCACAATTCTTAGTCATTAATCCGTCCTCAATTCGATTGACAGATGCTGATAATCCGAAATCTATGAGAGTCACACTCAACTCTTCTCCATTTCCCCCAATTAAGATATTCTCTGGCTTTATGTCTCTGTGAACAATATCTTTTTAATGCAAATAACTCAAAGCCTTCAATATTTGCCTAATTATTGGAATAACCTCATGCATCTGTAATTTGGGGATGTATTCTTCCAAAGTCACCCCATCCACTTGATTCATGACTATATAAAACTTTTGCTGTGTCTCAAAAAACTGATGTTAAGTTATAGAATAATTATCATACTCCCAAAATTTATATGATATTTTTATGGAACAGTGTTTAGAGCATGAGTGCTTCCTGACGTACGGCATCCTCCTACTCCTTACTTCTGAACAACTTTTTTTCAACAATCTTGATTGCAACATTAATTCGCTTAACCTTGTCAAAGGCTGAAATAACCGTCGCAAAAGCTCCCTTCCCTAGCATCTGTCTTGGTTCAAACCTACTCAACTCAGGGGAGTAATTACTTTCTTAATTCATTACCTGTTTAAGTAATTAAATATAAGACATTTTAAATTATAATTAAATAGTAAATTAAAATTATCAATTTATATACAGTATGTACTTTTGTTCAATCGTTTAAAGGCTTTTTCTAAATCGGAGGCTTGCTTATTCTTACCCTTTGACTAGCCAGCACATCTTGTTAAATGGGGGTATTCTATCCTCTTGACGCATTGGTGGTCCTCTTCAACTGAATTTATAATGGTTAATTCTTACTTATTGCAAAGGCTTCAAATTATTCAAGGATTGTCTGACGTCTGTGACTCCTGATTTTTGTAGAATTGATGATTGATTCAAAGAATTGTCAGATGTCGTATTAGTAGTGTGATTGGATTTAACACTTCTTTCCAATGATCTATGATAATGAGGGAACAGAAATTTTGAAGATTCCTTTTGCTACTGCAACTTTTACAAGTGATCACATGAATTTCTTTCTCTTCTTTGAGTGATGGTTTAGATTTTGAACTAGGAAATTCTATTTGATCCAACTGAACCAGTATCAACATTAGATCCTTAGAGCACTTCCTATTTCAATTGTCTAAACTTCTCATTGGTTTGAGAAATAGATTATTATTTGACCTTCGGAATCTTTATTGTCCTAATTGGTGTTTTGGCCACTGGAGTTGATTAATGTTTGAATTGATCGACATTTGGACATAAGACTTTGAGTTATTGGAGAAACTGGATCGCTTGGATTAAGGACTTGATCTTTTGAAAATTGCTGTGACTCCTAAGGATTTCTATGAAGGTAAAAGGCTCAGCAGAGTTTTCTTTACCGGTAATCCAAGGATGTTCTAAACATTAAGTGATGTTCAAACGATTTTCAGGCAGGAAAGCCACTGTCCTAATCAAGAAATTAATTGAATTGTTATTCATCCCTATCTGCCAATTCCATTTCATTTACTAAATCTTTTCACAATAAGATTCTTTGTCATCTAAATGCTAGTAAAATGGATGCTTGCCTTGAGTTAAGAGATTGTATACCACAATACCCATTGCCCATATATCCACACTCTTGCTATATAAGGGAATGATCATACTCTGTTATATTTCTTTTTCTATATCAACTCCGGAGCCATATACAAAAAGGTCCCGCAATTGTCACTCATTAGTCCAGATCCTTCCAGATAGGTCAATTAAGCTGAGAGTCCAAAATCAATTAAGGTTAGTTTGACATCTTCACCCACCTGGGAAATCATGATATTCTCTAAAATAAAATTTATTCCACATACCTGGCTTAATGTCTCTATGAATAATATCCATGGAGTGCAAATAGTTGATTGCCTGTAACAGTTGTGTCACTATGCTGTGCACAATCTAATCGTCTAATTTGTTTTATTAAAATTGTTCCAATGTAACTCCTGTGATGAGATCCATCATTATATATAATTTACTTTTGGTTTCTTTACTCTACAATAACACAAAGCAATCATACAAATGTAACTCTTACAATATTTTAATGATTCAATTGATTTAACAACTGAACCTCCTTTTTTAACATTTCCAATTGCAAAATATTGAAATGCGATTTCTCAATAATCTTTAGTGCACCCTTCTTATTTGTCATCAAATTCTGTATCTCCACCACTGTAGAAAACGCCCCTTTCCCAAGAATTCTCAGAGGCTTGCAATATTACGTAATGAAGTTTGGTTATTTCTCTTCTGTATCAATTAAAAGCTCACTTAGTTTGTTCATTTATAATAATATGATTCATTTATTTGGTTTAATATACTATTTGGAATAAGTTCATTCTGTTTTACTCTGAGGGCTAAGTATCGAACTATCCAACATGAAATTTATGGTAATTAATATCGATATACGATTAAAGCTGCTTTTAAGTGAAAAAATCTAACTGTCTTCATGTGACTATTCTTCAACAAGCATTACTCACTATTATAAAGATAATATACATTTCTTAGACAATCCATGTATCATTTTACACTTGATTAATAAGTTCACTCATCCTTTTTATGATTTAAATGCAAATGAAATGGTCAATCTCAAATTTCATCCCCTGTTTGCTCATTAAATTATGAACTATTCTATCAGGTAATTTAACTTCATTATAATTTTAATAGGTTTCGATTAATTTGAATAAAATACCCTAGGTTATATCTACATATAGTTTAATATTGTATAAAACGTACTGGCTTTAAATAGATCTAAAAAAATTGACTAATGAAAAATCTATAGATCAGTTAGAATTAGCCTACTAAAATGCATACAACTAAATTCCATTTTTAGTCTTAACAATATTAAAAACAACCGAAATGAATAATTTCTGCCCTCTAACAATTAGTATCAACACTTTCCTCTCCCACTTACAATACCCTTTTTAATTAGTATTATTTACTATTTACTATGTATTACCGAATTATATCGCCATCTAGAACAATGTGAAGGATATTGTAATGAAATCTTCTTCTTTGTTCTCCTAGTTGAAAGAATACTTTAATACTTAAATTATGATTGGAAAGATTTGCGAGCTATATAGGTTCAATAGGAAATTTTATTCAGAAGAATTTCGATCTAAACTAACAAATGAAATACAATTGAAAATTATTTATAGAGATGTTAAAATTAAATAGAATTGAATAAAAATAGGTATTGAATTATTGTTCAAAAATTCATAAGATCAATCTGAAAACATTTTAGAGCTTCATGTTTTATAATATTTATCAAATATTCATAAATAAGCCAGCTTTTTAAAATAAGAGACTTATAATTTTTGTATTTTGCAATAAGTAATTCAATTGAGATTTTTGATATAAATGATGAATCTGAATTGCATAGTTAATAGAAAGAACCTAGACATAATAAAATTGAATTTTATATATAATTATAATTGATATCTATTCCACTCTGATTTTTAAATATGCTATTGAACAATATTAAACTGACGAGCCATTCCCATTTAAATAAATATTACTAACGTTTCTCCTAGAGAGTCTTTAGTGTGTGTTTCTTCTTTGAGTAGTATCCTTTGGAGATTATTTAAAAATATTTATTAATATTAAATACCATATTAGATTTCGTATAATTATATCACAAAAAGTACAAAAAACTTATGAGGATTAGTTATAGATGCCTGCAATTTGATTGTCTGATTTATAATAGAGAATTTAACAGTAAAATTTCCATGTTACTTATTAAACTATTTATAAGACTAATACTCTTTGTAGAAGTAAGGGTATTCACTTACATTAATTATATATATATATATTACTATGTAGAAAATATTATTGTTTAATGTACGAATTTCTGAAAATATCATCCATAGATTTTAATTGGTTTACCCATGGAGGTCTTGATGTGGAGCGTGCCAACATTCTACCATCCCTTTTTCAAGAGGGAAACCAAGAAGTTGATGGTTGTACTCAAGTTTTATCTGAGTTAATCTTCGGACATCTCATCAGTACCGAAGGCTGTACCAAGGGACAATGTGTTTTTCAATTGGAATCTGAATTGATTGGTATAAAAAGGTACTTGACTGAAGACTTGACTTCGTTAACTTTGCTGCTGACTGATTCGGTTTCAGGGATGGCAATTGGGAATTTACCGATCTTGGTGAAGACATTACCAACAAGTCTTGGGATAACTTTCATGAGGGATTCTGAGGCAATGAGGATGTCAAAAGGTTTGCACCACTTTTTGATTGGCTTCTTCTCTTTGTTGAACTTCTTCAGGCCATCTTAATCGATCGCGGTGAGACCGAGGGCCTTGGCCTGATCTGAATCGATGAGAGGTAAATCGTACCGCAATGAGTTAAATTACCGATAACACCGATTTTGATGTTAGGGTAAGGGGCATGTAACAAACGTGTTGAGCCTTAGAAACGCTTGTCCTTCTAGACATCGTAATCTCTCAATTAGATTTACAACTCTGTGGTCTCTTTAAAGTTTCTCTTCTTTCTCTCTGTCAACATTTCATGGATGTATTTCTTCAATTATTCACCTTGGATCTTGCTAAAGAAGGTTTAAGAGAGATTTAATACCTCATTGCTAATTTTTTAAAAAAAATTTAAATAAAATAAAATCCATCTAATCAACTCTTTAATTCATCATTCTCATTATAATTTATATTAATCATTAAATTCCCATTAATATTTGAATTCTCAACGGGGTATTCTCCACCTACTCTTGCTTCTTCTCATCAAATTATACGAAGTAAGCAAGAGTAAGTATTTCTTCATAATGAATACGATAAAACACTTATAAATTATTACTCCAGATTCTTTTTCATGAGAATTCATAAAATAAGCAGAATTCCTCTACAAAAATAGATGATTTGAGCTTGTCTGAATTAATCGTAATTTGTTGTAATAAAATAAAAATATCTTTAAGTAATATTATGGTCCTTAGTGCGAATTTGCCATTTCTCCATAGAATTTTAGTAGAGAGTACCTTATAAACCAAGAAATTTGCAATAAGTCAATAAATATTCACAATTATTTCAATATTAATCGTAATACAAAATAAGAATATAATTTATATTAATTAAATATATGTCTGATTCTGATGATAGTGTTACGGAATTACAAGAGGAATCTGATAAAGCAGAAGTCATCCAATACTTTAGTACTAATTATGGCAAAGTTGTTTCGAATTTTCAATAGTACTGCGAGACAAGAAATCAAATGTCCTCACTAGTAATGAAAGTGAATGCATTCGAGAATAAAATAGATGTAATTACTATTAATGCATTCAGAAAGTCAAGAAAAGCAACCTCTACGATATACGAGAAATTAGCAACAAAACAAACCTCATTATTAATCTTACCAAGTTGTAGAACATGTTACTATAAATGAAAAACAATGTCATCCATGGATAGAAAGCTATAATGAACATCAAATAGGATAAGCACACAGCTGCTATAAGGGCCATTCAGAAATTAGACTCCAAAAATTTACCAGATTTTGTATCCAATCTCTAATAGTTGATAACTAATAAAGTTTAAGTTGAAGCTAATACCAAAATACAACAATGGGTAGAATTAAGCAAACAACAACAAATTGATATGGGTTAGAGTGTGATTTAAAATTGTGAGCAACTCCTAATGGTTAATTCGCAATTTGCAAGAATTTCCTTATTTTAACCAGACTTGCGATCAAGCATAGTTATGAGATAATCGGCAGTCGGGAGAGTATCTATGGTAAGGCAATCGATTGTTAGATAATCTGTGGCTCCAAGTCAGAGTAGAATATCATTTTTTTAGTAATTCAAATAGTAGTAAACATCAAATTTGTAAGTATCGCGAACATCATAATTGAATTAGTCTGTGTTGGATCAATCTTAATAAATGCTTCATGAATCTTTGATTGAACCAAGTGCATGGGAATTTTCGATAGATTATTCCTAATTAAAAATGCCTTAACTGATTTATGAGAATTTGAATTAAAGACTGAGTTTCTATTAGTAATTGAAATAGAGTAGAATTAAGTTTTTATAGTATGTATGCGGTACGGAAATAAGATAAAATTTAAATGATTTCAAGAATTATTTGGCTTGCATTTTGGGATTTGTGTTGATGGATTTGGAACTGAATAAGTCATTTAAGGATTACGAGGAAATGAATTAAGTCGTATTAGAGAATGTTAAATTGATAGAGAAATAAATCAAGAACTCATTTATTAATTTTGATCTAAGGGATTTGCTATAAATAAAGAAGGAGATTTAGTTGTTCAGTGTGGCTCTAGCCAAATTGCATCAATATCAATTGTCCAATTAAATCAATAAGTGTTTGAATGATCAGTTTCTAGTCTATTCTAATAGAAGAATTGAAGAGATCAAGAAGACCCTAATTAAATCCATCTAAACTGATAGTGGAGTGTTTTTGACTTTGTAAAATAAGGAATAATTTGATTAATTATGCACAATTCTAAAATGTCCTCAAAATAAAAAAATGGAATTGCCCATTTCTTAGTTTGCATAAGATGCTGTCTACTAAATTAATCTCTTTATTGAAGGATCCATCACTTACTTATAATCATTAAATGAATATTTCGATTAGAATGTAATATTTTACATGGACACTCTCTTTATGGCAATTTGTGATATCATTAAGAGTCATGTTTAGCAGTGTGATAATTTCATGTTATTGGCACAGTCCACATTAAATTTCAATCACATAGAATTATCCATTTAGTATTATAAGAAGAACATAGAGAGCTTGTTGTAAGTGACTCAAACAAAGGAAATGGAATGCTAGAGTCATTTCAAAAATACAAGGTATTTCTGTGAGGAGGCACTGCAAAATGCAATAAATCAAAAGGTAGTACTTCCCTAGATAGATTGGGCTCCCTCAGCTCCGAATAAAGGACCTAATGATTATTTTATAATGTTAAATGGATATTATGAAGTAGCAATTCTATAATTAACTTTAGAGTATTATTGGCACATTGCAATTAATGGTCCCATAATTCGTAGACTCCTCCATCTATCTTACATTTAAATATTTAAACAAGTTGATTTGGAAATAGTTATTAGAAGCAAAGGCGTTCAATATAATAGGTCTATCTAATTTGGAAGTTGATTTACAGAGTTTTCTTAAGGTGTGCAATTAATAGATGTTTCCTGAAAGTGTAAAGGAGATAATCTAATTTTTGAATCTGTTTCTGGTGGATGTTCCAGCTTCATATTTGGACAGTCAGAAGAGATAGACCAATTACTCTTATTTGGAAGTGCCAAAATTACTGAAAATATTCCCAAAATATAAGGTAAAATATCTATTTGGATTAATTAGAAAGTGATTTATGCAAAATTACCAGTGGTGAGAAAGAGAGAGGTGGATGCTGTAATTAAAAAAATACAAGAAAATTTATAAGCATTTTGATCAATCAAATGATTTACATTATTATTAATAATTCTTCAGCAACTTTGATAGCATAGCGGAATGTTTGGCAATGGATGGTTAGTTCTTTCGAATTTAGGTCAACATCTACATAAGCAAATCTATCCCTTATTTCATGCACTACTCAGTCAAATTCCCATTTTGATTTGCATGGCCAAAGGTCACTTTAGTACATTTTTAGATCTCATTCACATCTGTGGGGATCTTGTTTCTGTTAGTCATGATGCTACAAAGTTAACTTACTTGTCAATAAGTGCAACAATAATTGTTGTGACAACCTTTTTAGAACGGTTCCTCTTTGCTTTCTTCTAAATTCTTCCTTCCTTTAGATAAACTGATTTTACTGCTTTTACGGTGGATAGTGGAATTTAAAATAGTTGAGCCACCTAAATATAGTGTTTTAGCATTACTTCTTTGATTTTCATCTTTTCCTTAAATATTTTTTCCACTATTTGCTCTCTTTTTTGGTCATCCACAACGTTATATTTCGATGGTCTCATTTTTCTGCTTTAAGTCATTTTTTTCATACCTATAAAAATTTATTAAAATAAATAATGTTCTAGAAATTAAATTTTGTTGGTTTAAGTTGAACAAATATTTTATTAAATTAATAAAATCCCATATAAACATTTGTGAATAATATTAATTTTATATATATTTATATATATAATTTACTCCACACTTCATTATTATTATTATGATACTTATTACGTCTATTATGTAGATTAGAATTAGCTAATCTGATTGTTTTGCCATTCCAAATTAGGATCATTTGTATAAAATGGATTTGTTGTCTATGATAAATATTTACAATACTTTTGCAGTTGTATATTCCTCTAAGAATTCTAATTCATTTGATTCCAATTATTACACATTGAAAGGTTTGTTCTATAAAATGTGTTCACAATGTGATTCTATTTGAATATTACATTATTAACATACTTATCGCTTTATCTAGATTGGACTTGATCTCAACACTCTTCCAAAAGTCAGCATCAAATTTACTCAAATCTTATTAGTACTCCTGTACATATTAAAGTTGGGGTCCCTTATATGCGTTTACTATTCAGAATAAATAATAATTAGTTACAATACTAAATGAGCATAAGTTGATACTTATGATTCACAATACGATTTGATTCTGTTTGATTGTTTCTGAGCTTGTTCAATAATTTAACACTCAAAAGAGGTCTGTTCTATTGAATATAGAAAGAAACCAATTGTTTGAATGCTTAGAAGTTAACTTCCTTATTGTGATAATTGGTGTGAATCAAGACCTAAGCAAATTGATTTTACAATTTAATTATGTCTTATTCAGTCTTCAATTATGACAATAGATATTCTCCTGAAAGATCGAATTTCTTTTATAATTCAATGCTGTAAATGTGTCCTTCTATTGAAAACTATTCTCTCAAATGCTTCTCCTCCTCCTACTTTTATTATAGCTTTTGCAACTGTTTCTTCTCCTTTGGTGTCAATTTCTTCTACTCTACCTTTCCTTAATCCTATTACTTGAGTTTTAATCTATTCAAACCTTCAATCATTAGACCTGCTGTTTCAATAAAGTATTTAGCACTATATCTAGTATCCATAGCATCAAACATCTATAATAATGATCTTAGTGTGTATTTCCTTATTGAAAATTAATAGAAATCCAATTGATCATCATACATCTCTTAATAATGTTTGAAAATCAAATAAAATTGAGCCAATGCTGGTCCAAGATAATTCAATCTTAATAATGTTCTTCCAACTCCCAATTCGAACCAAATCATTTGCAATTCATAAGGATTTGATCCATCTCTCAAAAACATTCTCAATAATTCTTATGACAAATAAACCATATTTGCTCTTAAGGCATACTTGATTGTCTTATTGTTCAAATATCTATCAGCCAAATCCAGTTATCTAGCTCTATCTGCTGCCTCATAGGCCTCCTTGAATTTTTCTTATTTATGCAATGCCTTTGCCTTAATCAAATACAATTCATGTAAAGTGGGTGTGTGGGCAATGGCCTCTTCAACCAATTCCAATGACTTTGCAAATTACTTAACTTAATAGTAATGTTAAGATAAAAGCATCAATGCCCAGAGCTTTTGGATTGGGCCTGCATTTAAATATGATTCGAATGCCTCTCTAATGACGTCCAATTTCTCTTTCTATTTATATAAATGTTTGATTTCTCTGAACAAAGAAGGAAGAGACTTCTAAAAGAATGGATCAATAAATTTCAAAAAATTGGTTTTGAATGTGTCTCCACTCTATTCAGCTAATAATTGACCCTAAACCAAAGTGTTATCATATATCGACAGATCGAATTATGGATCTGCCTTCTTCAACAATTAATAGTATTTCCAATTTTATGGCTACAATTAGAGGAGGTGTTTTGCTGCTTCTACTGCTTCTTAAGTCGATCCTAATTTGACATACAAATCATATTGGAGTTCATAATAGGCCACCATATCTGTGATGTCACTTTGGATAATATAGAATATTGTACTTTTTGAATGCGCTTATATTTTATTTGGCCTTTTAATAATCTTTGGCGTCGATGGCGAGTTAGATTTAATACAATTTGAATTCGTTCATTTCAACCTTCTTAATTGGATTCTACTAATCCTTTTAGATCAACTATTCAGCCGAACTGATGGCTTTGAAGGCTATTTCATAGTTTCCGATTAGATGTTAGGCAAATATGAATGCAATCCAATTCACTATCATGTTTGACTTTTTGGTCAATATCTTATGTCTAAGTTAAGCATTCCCTTCGAAATCCCTGGTATGAATTTATAGATTAGCAGTGTCTCTCTCCAATTGGATGTTTTCTTCTCCTTTTTTAATTGCCTGTAGGAAACATTTTACAGCCTCAATATAATTTTTTTAGGCCTTATAAATTAAACCATAAATGTGCCAACAAAAGTCTGATCCCAAATTCTTAAACACTGCTTGCTTGGCTAATTCTAATCCCTTCTGTTGTTCATCATTGTAATACATAAAGATGGCCTTGAGAGACACCACCTCCCAATTATCAGGCACTTACTCCAACAATTTTTCGGCATTTCTAAGACCCTTTTTATAATCTTTAGCATCAAGCAATTTCTATTTTAAGCGATAATTCATACCACTAAAGCTTTGAATTCGCCACTCTGTTTAGCATTTAATGAATTTTAAGCAGGTTTCATATCTTACCAAATTAAATAAATTAAATTATTTTATGTATTATGCCTTCTACATTCGAAATATATTTTCACTTCAAATCCCTCAAAGAAAGATATGATTAGTCAACTAAAGAAAATTGATAATAAGACAATCGAGTTTCCATCATACAATATATCAAATAACTATTTGAAGGATATAATATCTCATAATCATTCATCTTAATTTTATTAAATCAAAATTTCAAGAACTGGTATTAACCACTTATTAATATCCTCGCTATTATGCAGTTTAATGCTTTCCAAATTACCATCTCCATCTTCATACGTAGCTTTCAATGAAAAATCATCACTAATACTAATGAGTATGAGATTCCCTAGATTCAATCTTAAAGATTTTACTTTTATGAATGCATTCCATACTCATAGGATCAATGAATTGGATTTCATTATCCAAAGGATTGAATATCAAATTATAGTCTTTAAATTAATGATTGTCTTAGACCTTGGCTAGTACGCTCATAAGTTATTTATTCTTATTGTTGTGCTCTATGGTCTCTGAATTTCTTGATCTGTGTTTCTATTTGTTCATTTATACAGATTAAATTTTATTGAGGATTTTCTCCTTTATCCTGATAACTTTCAACTCCAAAGCCTCTAATTCATCAGCTCTTACTAAATCTATGCAATTCTCCACTACCTTAAGACTAAAATAAACACATACGCTTAAACAAGGAATCAGGATGTATCTCATTAATTTTGTAAAGTAAATGAAAAAGTTGTTTGTATATTCATCCATTTCCAAGTTTTGGATGAATTTATAAACGATATTATGCCATCTTGAGTGAGGTAAGATTATATATCCTTTGATGATAAATGGAACTATAAAACCAAAGGGGATCAATTCTAATAATAAAGTAAACATCCATTCTAATTCGATGAAGGAGTAAAGGAGCACCCTGAATAATCTCTACAACATTACCATTTGATTAATAAAGTATCCTCGAATTCTGAATTCGAATTTTTGAAAGCTTATTAGGTCTTCCAAGTGATTTGGAACACACAATAAAGGCTAGAATTAGTAAATAATATCTACTTCATTAACTTTGTACCATAAACTATGAGTGACATTTTTAATGATAATAATAATTCTTTAGATGAATATATTAGTATTATTCACAACTACATTAATATTAAATTCTAGAAATTGTAATTCATTCACTTTTCACACCAATTACACTTTAAACTAGTTTTATTGGGCTTCTAATTGTGGCTTAAACTTTATATTTAAAAATATTAAGTAATTAACAAAAATACACACCCATTTAGTAATCAATTTGTGTACATAGAAGAAATAACCTTTGGCATAGATTTTAATATATTTTAAGTCGAAATGAAAACTATGGCTTTTTGTTCGTGATTAAAGTTGCCATTATTTTAAATTTGCCGCATTTTTTTTCATAGTAAATATAAAAAAATTTAAATTTACAATAAAAAAACCACAAGCATCTCTTTAATTCAGCTTGATAGATGTATCGTATTGTCTATACTGTTTTCGACTGTTTCCAACAAAGTTCTATAAACTAATAAATGCTTTTTAATGTGCTAAGAAAATTTAATTAGGATAAATTAATTTAAAATTAATTATCTAAAGAACATTCTTAATGAATGAATTTTCTACTAATTAAAATAACTTTAAGCTTTTGTATTAAAAATGGATATCTTTCTCAAAAACTTATTGATGAGTTCCCTAGTAACTAAGGCAGACTCTGAGTTGCTAATGTTAAAATAAAATGAATTTAAGGAAATTAATGACGATTGTCCAACGATGGGGCTTTATTGCAGAAAGAAAATAAAAAGAGATTAGGTTGATAATAGTCAATGCTGCTTAGAAGGGACTTAGAAGGTTAAGTAAGTAGCAGAAGAATAAAAAGAACAAGAAGCTGGAATCAATAAATATATATATGATATGTAATAAAAAAATAATTATGATTAGGAAAAAAATGTTAAAGGAGTAGTAGGAAGAGTTGATACTAGAACATCGAGTAGAGAATAACATTCAGTACATAAGTGGTGATACATTAGTATTTTCTAACATTATTCTTTAGGTTAAAGCAATGAAATAATCTGATCTAATTATTTACGATTGTCGATACCAATATGAATTTGAAGGTGGACACATTATGGGGGCTGTCCATTTGAGTCATTCGACAAATTTATTCGATGAATTATTCAGTTAAAGCGAATAGTCAAAGAAAATTGTGGTGTTATATTGTGAATTCTCAATAAAAAGAAGTCTCGAAAAGTAAAAATAAAAATTTAATTTAGATATTTTGAGATTCGAAAATTAGACAGGAGTATTAATTAATATCCAAAATTAACTTATAACAACTTATACCTATTGTGTGATGGGTACTCAAAGTTCTACTAGAATTTCTCTCACTTGTGTAATGGATTTTATATTTCAATGAATGATCCTGCCTATGAGTAACAATTGGACAAAGAATAATAAAGAAGGATTATTGTGAAACAAAAGAATAATTATAGAAAATAACTTGTTGTTTGAATATGAATTGAATTGCGCTTTATTTATATTATTATAAATTTAGAGAAATAAAAATGTTATTTAAATAGAATTAATGTAAGGATTTGAGATAATTAATTTATTCTTAATTCATTTTGTTTTTGAGTTGAAGTTGAAATTGAAATTGCTAATGCAAATTTGGCTAATTTTGATTTATGGTTTTGAATATATGTAATGAAGAATCTTATTATATTTTGTTGACAGTTACAGGTTGAATCATTTGGTTTTTGAACCGAAGGGAATGTACTGTTATAAATTAAATAATTTTATCAATAATATATAATATGGATTGTCGTTAGATATAATAAGTGTTCAAATCTTCACTTTTTTATATCCACATCTTTGAAATTGATTCTCTTGAAGTGAATAGTAATGGGAAATGCAATTCCGTTGCTTGGTCTTTTTATCATTAGTATTGAATTAGATGGAATTTTACTGTGGTTAATAATTGTAATAAATATTAAAGTTGATGAGTTGCTCTTCTTCGGTCGAGTTCGACAAGTGTTCAACTTGCAAAGCTACCTCTGTCTTCAACCCCTTTGAGTTTAGATTTAGTAATACCTCTGGATATAGATGAGAATATAAATAATAATCTTGGGTCTATTCTGGATGAGCTAATGGCTTGGCAAATTCCATTATATTTTTGTAATATTCTTAATTTGTACTTCCGTACTTGAGAGAGATCCTGGAAAGAATTGAAATGAAATAATTACTCTGGAATTCCATACTTCAGACACGAATCAATGAATGACAATATATTGTAGCCAAGTTCTTCGATGAGTTTGATGTCATACTAGACTTGGGAGATAAATAGCTGGTCGAGATCTTTGATGTATTTGTATTGATAGAGTCCTGAGGCTCTGTAGTTAGGTACAGGATTCTAATTATGTGTTATGATTTTAAACATACTTCGAATGACCCTTACACTTGTTGAAGCCCGTCTTTAAGAGATTCATTGTATTTTTAAATGTATCGACTCAGTTAATGAATATCTGCGTCGCCATAACTATCCAACTTTTTTACAACATATTCCCATGGAGTTATCGAAAAATCTAATTGGGTGTACTAAATGACCAGTCTTCCTCTGTCGATCAAAACCTTAGAGACCTTTTTGTATGGATTTTGGCTGCTAACTCCCAATTTAAGATTATTATTGAAGACAATATTTTTGGCATCAGAATAGAGATGAAAATCCTAGTTAATTAGTTAAAAAAGGAATATTACTCCATTCATTCTAAAGGTTGTAAGGGGATTAAGAAACCTTTTGGGGAACACAACAAGTTAGACTTATTTCAAGTTGTTGTTTTCTTCATCTTCATCACTACAAGAAGTGGTTAGTAAATGCTAATCCATCTCAATTTTTAATCAAATTAATTAAACTATATCCATTTTTAATTTTAAGCATAAATAAGGCATTAATGATTAATTTGAAAGGAGAAAATATTATAATAATAATATCATTTCATATTTTATCAAAAAAATTAATTAAATTAACTTAAATCAATATATGCACCTATGCATTTATTGATTTGTAAATGCTAATTAATTATAATTAAATTATAACCAAGTTGAAAATATGAGTAAAGTGACCCTATTTTTTATTCTTGCTAATCCTTTCAAGAGGACACAAAAACAACCTAAAAATAGCAAAATAATACTCATTAAAAAAGTGTATTTAATAAAATAATCTAAGTTCATAAATATATAAATATATTTTAAATTATTCATTAATGATTTTCAGAATCTCCAGGTCCTGCTTTTCGAGTATTTCTGTCAAATTAGTACAATAGAATTTATAAAGCCTAGCCTCCTTTCAAAGTGCATCATTTGGAACTCGATTAACTCCCCCAAACAGCCACCACAACATCGGCTGAATTGCTCGCTTATTATAAGAGTATGTAATTGCAAAGACGTATGGAAATTGCTTGTGACAATCTCTACAAACAGAGATTGATTAGAGGTACATCATATCTAAATGCTATCTAGGTTTCTTGCATCTGGCCGACGGTCAAGAATCAATTTACGAAGGATTACATGCAGGATTAACATTTGATGACTGCGTTATCACAGCATACAGAGATCATTGCATAGCATTACTCAGAGGTGATACTCCTCATCAGATTATTGCTGAAATGATGGCAAAGCAAACTGGTAGTACAAAGGGTAAGGGAGGATCAATGCATTACTACAAAAAAGCCACCAATTTTTATGGTGGTCATGGAATTGTGGGTGCCCAAATTCCATTGGGAACAGGATTGGCATTTGCTTAAAAATATCTCAAAAAGCCAAATGTGACTTTGATCATGTTTGGAGATGGAGCAGCCAATCAAGGATAATTGTATGAAGCTGCCAATATGGCTCAACTTTGGCATTTACCAGCTATCTATTTCATCGAAAACAACTTGTTCGGTATGGGAACATCAATTGACAGAGCCAGTGCCAATACCAAATTCTACACCAGAGGAGATGTCATTCCAGGAATACAAGTATATATATTAGCGATTTATTAGATTGATGGAAACAATGTATTCTAAGTTAGAGAGACACTCAAATTCGCCAAGAAACACTGTCTTGAAAAGGGACCAATCTTCATTGAAGCCATGACTTATAGATATCATGGTCATTCCATGAGTGATCCAGGTGTCACCTACAGAACAAGAGAGGAAGTTCAATAATAGAGAAAGACCAGAGATTGTATCAACTATGTTAAAAACATTATTCTTGAAAACAAAGTGGCTGATGAACATTAATTGGAAGTATTTGATGACTTTATTCAAAATAGGAAATCGATAACACTGCTTAAAATGAAATTGATATTGCTGTTGAATAAGCCAAAGTTGACCCAGTTCCACCAAGCACTGAATTGGCAACTGATGTTTATGTTGACAACTAAAATCATTTCATTAGAGGAATCTTATATAAGGATAGCATTCTACCAAAGAGTTAATGAAAATTACCATTTAGAAAAAATAATATATATACAGCTAATGTATTTATTGAAATTCTTAATCTCAAAAAGAATCAAATATCTAAAATATCATGTTCTTCTATACTGAAGACCTGGCTGAAGAAGAAATGCTTAGATGTTGATTTCGGAAGTATTCTTAGGATACTTTCAATGTCCTTCCTGAATCCTAAGTCTGTAGTTTGACTAAACTCCTAAAACACCACACTCTCCAAGAATATTGGGTTCAGGTACTTTTGTTGAATCACATAATATAAGCGATCTGCAGTTCCTATCACAATCTATGCTTCCTTTAAGTACTTTCGATCTTAAACAATAGAATTCTTTTTTGATACTTGATACACATTGTTGTAGTAGATATTTAGATGATCAAGCATGACTTTGATAGCAATAGCACTTTGATCATCTGGAGAAACAATCATGACTTGAGGATACAAACAATCTTATTTGATAAATGCTATTGATGTTAATGCAATAACTGCATCTTTCTCCCATTTATCCTAATATTGCAACAATGATTTATATTCAAACAACAAGTGAACAATAGACATCTACATGAATTTATTGATTTCTTGATATCCAAATTTCATGAATATTTTGATCATGTCTTTTGGGATGTTCAGTTAATGTATATTACTATACTTAGAGTATTTCTTCTTCATGTTCTCTAAGTTTAATTCAAACAACTCATTCAAGATCTCTGGATCAGCTATCCTTATGTACCCAGTTCTGACAATATACTGCTTTTTCATTTGTTCTAATTGCTTCTGAAATATTGATCTTCCCATACTTAGTGTGGATGCCAATTTGACATTGGAGAACTGCTAAGTGAGAGGGTTGTTGATGCAAGAATCGTATTGATGCGGTTTGATGGTTCTCTTAGGATTCTTGATAGAGTCGATATTTGTTTAGCAAGACTGCTGGAATTAAAGTTGATTTCGTAACATATATAAATTTATTATTAACTTCAGATTTTTTTAACAATTTAAACAATATCTTCATCTAATAATTAATGATCCTTTCCTACTTTCTGTGGATTGTATTTCACACTAGCTCCCCATACTAGTGCATATCTGAAGTCCTTAATCATGCTTTTATGTAACTTATTACAAAAGTCAGTGATGGTTGAAAACTTTCTTTGCAAAATAACAGGAGCATTGTAATCTATTCAAATCTATGATTATATATACCTGGTTCTAATCCTTTTGGTTTGGTGTAAATACGAATCAGATCTAAGTAATCCCAAATTCTTTCCACTAATTCATCCAAATTCCATTCCAAAAAGGCAGAGATGGGCACGTAATGTGGAATCTTGTCCAAAACATTGAGTTCTTCCAAAGTGATATCGTCGATCTTATTCATTACGTAAAGGCATGGGATGTACTTACGATTGCCTTCAATAATATCAATCAAGTCTTCATCGGTAGCATCACATTTAAGATTGATGTCACAATTGTTGATCTTGTATTCACGTAAGATGGCCTATTTGATATTAATAACAAGGTAAATACTTTTATTGTTTCATCATCTAATCTTGGAGCATCATGTGTTCTAGAAATGGTAATACCTCCTTTGTCTCGTTTCTTGAATTCTATTTATGGTGGTTATTTATTCAATCTGATGCCAAATCCTTCAAGTTCTCTTTCAATGATTTTTTTATGAACCATAGGTCTTGTGGCATCCAACACAATCAAAATTAAATTGCAAGTACGAGCCACAGCAATAACCTGTTTACCTCGACCTTTGCCATCCTTAGCACCCTCGATAATTCCTGGCAAATCAAGCAATTAGATTTTGGCACCCTTGTGTTGTAACACCTATTAAAATATTGAATAATCTCTACTCCAGGTATGCATGTCAGAGTTGTAAATTCATAAGCTGCAATTTTAGAAAACACTCCTGTCAGTTTAGTAAGCAGCGTACTCTTGCCCACCGAGGGAAATCCTATCATACCAATACGAGAATCTCCACTCTTAGAAACTTCAAATCCTTCTTAAGTGCCACCACCCTTTTTAGAGGAGGAATCAATCATTTCTCTCTTGAGTTTAGCCAATTTAGCCTTCAACAATCCTAAATGGTATGATGTGGCCTTGTTTTTTTGGGTCCTCATCATTTCGGCCTCAATTTCGGCAATCTTTTATGCTGTGGTCATTTTTAATTAAAATATGATTGTACAAAAACAAACATCAGGTTCAGGTGGATTCAAGATGCCAGCTGAAATAGCACGAGGCAAGAAATATTAGCAATAGCATATCAATAATGACCTTCCAACCAAGGATGAGCTCTTTAGTTAGCTGGGAATAATGCCTGACGATGACTCTGTTAGAGCAAATGATCATAGAGGGGATCATCTGAGAGTTTCCAAGCAAATGATCTAAGATAAAGTAAGAGACTATTGTGTATCCCTGTAGCAAGAGCAATTGAATTATTTGCCCCCGAAACCCCCAACTCCTTTGGTGATTAAATAGAAAGTAAGTACCTAGAGACTGACTTCTTAAGAATTAGAGAAAATGCTAGAGGAGCATAGATAATCAATGCGTCCCATAGCTGAGCAATACGAGTAAATGAGATTGAGTGACGTAAGAAGTAAAAGTTACAATCCAAAAAGTTAACGATCCAAGAGTCCCAAAGTTAAAGTGACTTATCATGAAGAACCAGTTAATATTGATAAATTGAGAGTAATTTAAATTGTAATTATCTTCTTAGCGCTCTCAGAAGGATATTGAAGGCCCACATGGTGATTTTTTAAAAGGAGTGTTACCTAAACAAAAATTACAAAAATTCAAATCTGAATCTAAGTTGATATCTGACGATGATTTCTAAAAGAAATTCAAAAATTATTTGAGAAATAAAAGAAAGCAAGATTTGAGTAGAAATAGTTCTCAAGAGAAATTAGAATTCGACTTGTACCAGAGTACAAGTCCAAATAGAGGAAGATGGAATAAAAAACACATTAACAAAGCAGTATTTAAAGATAGAAGTGTTCTAGGAAATGATTCCTCACTCAGTAAAAGCAAGAGTATAAGTAAAAGTAAGAGCAAAAAGGATAAGAAAAGGGATTAATCAATGTCAGAATAACAATTATGTGAACAGATATTCAAACAAATAGATAATGTAAATACATCTTAATTCATAATAGAAACAAGTAGGTCTCATTGATAAAATCCAAACTATTAAATACTTGATTTCTAATCCAGAAATTATGGAAGCTTTCAATATAAATCCTAAGGATTTAAATCAACAAGTCAACAAATTCCCAACAAAACAATAAGGCGTTTTCACATAAAGTGAGTTTACAAAGTTTTTGTAAAAGTACAAGAGTCAATATGATCATGAAGCATTTGGTGGATTGAGTCATGTGTCTCAATAATAGTAAGTTTCAAGCTGTTTATTGAATGAAGACTAAATCTAGATCTTAAAGAATATATTTGATCAATTGCAGAATGATATGATTGCCTCGAGAAAGGAACTAATCTAGGCATTTCGTAATGACATATAAGTAGTGAGAATGTTGCATGTTTAAGCAGCCTACGTTGCAGCAATCGATAAAATTCTTAATTTAGAATCTATCCTATCATAATTAGAGGCTTAGGCTTTTGAATTCCCGTACATATCATGGAAACAATTCATGGATGCATTTGAATATGACACTATGGTGAGCAAATAGCAGTTATCGTTTGCAAATCTAAAGGAGTCTCAAAAATAGGTGGATGATCAGGATAGAATTGATGCACCTGAAGAATTGCAATAGTTGATCAAAGATTAATTCAATAAGATTGTAATGGATGATTATGTTACATCCTTTGATCTCATTGAATGTATAAGAAGAGCGCCACTCTATTCATAACTAAGAAAGCAAATCGTTAGAAAATAATCTAAGAAAAGCGATATCAAAGAGGAAACCTTGGAGTAAGTATTAAAAAGAATTGAAGAAACGGCGGAGGAGTATTTGACATTTCAAGAGTTTATGAGTTACTTTACAAGAAGAGGACAGCCTAAATTCAATGAAGAAGTTGCAAGTCTGGCTAAAAGTGTAAATGTGACTGAAGCATTATAAAATGATGAAAATAGAATTGATGGATATGATTCAGATCCAGAATTACACACCTATTAGGATAAGATGTTACCTAGAGAAAGATTAATAAAAAAACATCCAAGTTAATAAGCATTATTGACATATTCTCATCGTAAAAAATCATTAACATCAAAAACACCTATAACTAAAGAGGATTTCTTGTCGGCCATTCAACCTAAACCATAATATGGTGCACATTCAAAACCAAGTGATTATCAATTTAAAGTAACTCAACCATAACCATTCAATTTTGATAAGAGAGAAAAAGAACGTTCCATTTCAATCAGAGAGAAGAAGTTATAAGAAATGTTGGAAGAAAAGAAGAGAAGCAATTCATTCAAGAGTTTCAAGGCCAAAGAAGTCCCCTAAATTGTAAAATAAGATGGTTTGTATGAAAAAATCATCAATGATAATGAAAAACGTAGAGAAGAAGTCAAGAAGAATAGTGTTTAATTGACTCTTAAAAATGAAAGACCATTTTCATTTTATAAAAGAGATAAGAATTCATCAAAAAAACCACGCAGAAAGTATTGGGAGGAAAGAGAAAGGTTTGTTTTTAAAGCCAAAGCAATACCTTGGCATGTTCATGTAGAATTACTTAGACAAATGGAACAAGATGAAGAAACCAAGAGAAAAGAACGAATTGCTAAACATGCTTAAGAATTAGCTATGAGTTCAAGGATGCCTCCTAGAATGGAGATGCACGAAAGATAGAAATAAGGGTAGCCATAATCACCCAAATATATGAAAACTCAATTATCTTACAAAGCTAAACCCATCCCAGATTTTGAGAAATTACACTCATCCTTTTAGGATCAATTAAATCGCAAAAAACTATAAATGAGAACCACTGAACCTGAGCCTTTTAATTTCCAACAATCTCACAAAGGTGTAGATAGACCCTATCTTGATAGAGAGAATGAAACTAAAATCAATCCAGTAAAGGAGGATAAAATTGAAGAAGCAAGAAAAAAAATGAGTATAAAACCTGCCAGATAACCGCCTTCTACTAAGAAATGGGAAAGCAATTGTGAGTTCTTGAAAAAAGAGAGAATCAAGAAAGCTGAGAAGTAAGAACAACTCAAAAAAGAAGAATAAGAAAGACTGGCCAGAAAAGAAAAAGTATTTTTTATTCTTATTTCCTAGTTCAAATAAAGAGTTTAATAATCGGAAGCAATTTAAGATAATTCCAAGAAACTTGAACAATAGAGAAAAGATAGAATTGCTCAATTAAAGAAGGAATCCAAAGAATAGGAGATGAAACAAAAACAAATCATTGAAAATTGTAAAAGGAAGGCTACTGAATAGCCTTTGCTTGTTGAGAGACGTAATATCAAATAAAAACTATATTAGCCACCAAAAGAGACGTAGAATTAGAGAAAATGAAATAACTGAACAAAATTGATAAAATGCTGAAGTAAAACGGAGTCATGAATAGAGACGAGTATTTCAATAAAGAAGAGAAGGCTATGCTTGACGATATACATTATTTAAAGAAACATGGATATGAAGATGATTTTGAAAAAGAATGACCAGGATTTTGGATCAGAATGAATAAATATATTTTATAATTTAATACTAATAAAATGTTTGAGTAAGATTATTACAAAAGAATAATCAATAAGTAAACCCCTCCAAACAGAGGCATGATTAATACAGCCAAGCCTTGGTTTCCTGAACTCAAACATCGCTTGGCTGTTAAAGGTACAATGCTTCAACCAAATAGATTATGATTATCAATTTTTTGCTCTGCCTCCTAATAAGATGGTATCTTTGATGAAGAAAGAAAAGATCAGCATTCCAACCGATAACCAAATTAGGGAATTCTTAAGAAATCATTCCCTTAAACATTTGGTTCATTACAATGCAGACGATTATAAAAATGTAGAAGCCATTTAACCATTTCAATGTCTATCCTAAAAAAACATTAACCAAAACCATCGTAAATTTATTAAATAACCATAACAAAATATTAACGGATTTTTCTTTGACTAAAAACCAAAAACTGCTTAATAAAATTTAGAAACTTAAACATCTTTGTAATATTCAAAAATAAGGGAGTTAAAATCATAAAATCTTTAAAATAGATCAAAAAAAGAGATGCACTTATAAGACATCTGCTTAGAAAAATCTAATTTGAAATTTCATGAATTATCAGTTAAATCTACTTTAAAATTAAATCCCACAATTTCAAGATGTTTTCCAAGTGTAAACAAAATGAAAAATTACAGAAAAGTCAACTTATTGATGCGCTCTTTAAAGAAAATTAAATTGCTTAATCTCACTATACCTGAGATAATCAAATAATAGATATTTCAGCGAACAGCATTTGCATCCTAGAATTCAAAGGAATTTATTTTTGCTGCAAAATAGAACAATATCAAATAAGTTTAAAATTTGTTAGAGACAAACCCATTTTTAGTGTTTCAATATGATTTTTACAATATGACAGCCCTTCATTGGGCATGTAAAAATGGACATTTGGAGATAGTTAAAATCTTATTATAACATCATGCTGACTTTGATGCTCTTGATGTCATGAATAGAACTCCATTAAGTATTGCCGTATAAGAAAATTAACAAGAAATAGTTAAATTGTTATTGACATATGGTGCCAATCCTTGGAGTACTGTACTAACTGATTTGAAGATACTTCTTTAGCGAAATCCTGAAATGAAGAAAATTGTAAGCGAAGCTAGAAAAATCTAAATTTTGAATAAATGGAGTCGACTCCCTTAGTCTATGTTTAATATTTTCTGGTGAATATATCGTCTATATATAATATTTAGTTGACTAATATTTAAAAGCAAATTAATTCATTTTTTAACATAAAATATCTTTATGTATCAAAAGTTTAATCTCTTTAACAAAATAATGAAAAGCTGAATTACTGATTAGTTTTTGGCATTCTTGTAATTACTTAAACTAACTAAGAATTCTATGAAGACAATAGAAGCAATCCTATGATTACTATCTATTTTAGAGGCTTAAAATAAGTGATTCAAATAGATATAGTTTATGTAAATGCAAATAATGCGTGAATTCTGTTGTAAAATAGAATTTATGGAGGAAAGTTTTGTTATATTTTATATGATATCACTTTTAATTTCCAAGAATATGCCTTTGATATATCATGTAGTTTTTAAATTAAATTAAGAACGTTTGCTCTATTTTATGAATATTATGAGCTCTAAAATTTCTTGATTGTTGGTGTATTCTATTATGGTTGATATTAATTCTTTGGCTCTTTGGTTCTATATTTTTGAGATCAGTATTTGAAAAAATCTTTGAGTTTTATGCAATAGTCTTTGAAAATCTAGCGTTTATGTGGATTTTGATTAACCAAATAATTTAAAAAGAGAAAAATGAGAAAAATGATTGAATAATGAATTTTAGTAAAAATAAAGAGCAATTTAAGTTCAAAAGCAGCTAAAGAGATTGTAACTGCAGTTAATAATAGGAAAAACTTTATTGATACCGATGTCCCATTTGAAAAATATTAACTAATTCTATTAAAATAGTTAGTACTCTAAATTTCTATTACTTATAATTCAAAAAATCATGTAAATTAAAAAGAATATAATAAATGGATCTAAATTTATTTCTATGGTCTTCTCAGGTTGATTATATCAGAAATGAAAAGAATTAGAATTCCATATAGAAGTAATTAAATAGATTCCTTCAGATCAATGGCTTATTTAATTTGCAAATATAATATATTTTTATTAATTTTATAAATGTCAGAAAAAATCATAGTTTTCAAGAAAGATTAGGGATTTTTTGAGGAGTCTTTTAATCTTCATGAAAGGGTGTATGACTCATTAAAAAAAAAATTTAAAGGAGATAATGATATTTTGATTCTTTGTTAAAATTAAGTATGTTATTTTGATGAAACTTTTTCCGAATTAAAGTATAGGGTTTCAAGGCATAATGATCTAATTATTTGTGTGCAATCCCTTTCTGAAATTGTGCAATATTACTAATATTTTGAAAAATAATAAATGGAACAAATCATGTAAATACCAGAATAATAAACGTAAAATATCTAATAGAGTGTCATTTAATCGAAAATTAATTCATAAATTTTAGAATAAAAACTCTAAATTAAAACAAATGAAAAATTATTAGGAATAGTAACTGGAATAAAGAAATCATATTTTGTTTCGTAAAAAAATCTATGTGAGTCAGTAATTCAATATGGTTCAGATAATAATTCTTAGATAGAATCAATTGTAGACACGTGCTTTTTATGCAATACTTAAGCTCAAACAACAATATAGCTGGAATGCTTTCATAAATATCATGAAGAATGTTTGGAATCGTTGTTCTACAGTTAATTACAAAATTAAAGTAAAGTTTTACATTGTGCATGTTCAAAATATCAAAAGGCTTCAGCTCTAAAGCTTATTAATGACGAAGGAAGTTAAACACTATTAAAACATAAATTATTATAAAACTAATTGAATGGATTTATTCAAAATAATAAACTCGAAAAATGTTAAAACCCAACTTGCTATTTCTATTATCTAAGGGATAATAAAGTATAGCTGGAAACCTCTTTTTGTCCCTTATGTTTAAATTGATTGAACATAAATTTATATTTAGAATTTATATAATGCTCTTGCTTATCTATCTGAGTTATCAAAAAGTCAAACAATACTTTATTTGATTTAAAAATTACACCTCTCTCTAAGAATCTAAGATCAGTATAAATTTTCAATTAGAATGTAAGATCAATAACAATTTATACCTCATTCAATCAGGTGACTCCTTCAATTAGTGTACTTCATAAGACCTAGAGATAGTCATCTTCTACCAGACTCATAGCTGATTGAGGGATAGAATGTCTAATATAATGCTTATTAGACAGCAAGTGGATGAGATGGAGTATTAGCAATGATGCCAAGACATATGAGGAGAAGTATCATAAAGAAATGAGTAGATTAGTACTGATGCTATGAAAGCGTTGTTTACTATTGTTATGAAATAATTTAATTAATCGAAGAATTATATTTATATTATGGGAAACAGTATAATTCTTAAAATATTCAGATATATGTGGATTGGATGAAGAAAAGAAACATGTTTTATAGCCAGAATCCAAAATTATCACAACCAGAACCATCAAATAAACTACAATCTCAATTATCCAGGCGGACATAGCTGAAGATTTGTCAGATGTTGTTGGTACAAATAGCAATTCATTTTAGTGAATGCATCTCATGAACCAGCATGGTCTTATATAGCAAAGAGGTATTAGTTTGGCTATTCGAATTTATAGGGACAAGAACAACAATGCTAATGAACTCACACAACAAAGTAAATTTAAATCTGATAAGCGATAGTGAAAATAGGGGAATTGATTAAAACTAAAAGTGAGAATGTTAATTCGCTGGAAATCTATCATGTGCGTTTACCCTATTACTAAGTAAGATCAAATATCAATCTCTCAAGGACACTAGAGATCTATAATAAATATTTTAGAGCTACTTAGCATGTCTGAGACAAAAGGGATCCCATTCCATCTCATTTACTGAGTAGAATTCCCCTAACTTTTCAATTCCAAAGCAATTTCACGCGGAAGTGCTTATAAGAGCTATTTTATAGTAATACAATCTTCAATTTCCCTTAGATCGATAACAGATGAAGAAATAGCTTTTGAATAGATAAAATTTGTTAGTTTAGATTAGATTACTCTGAAGTACTTCGCATATGAACTAATGAAATTACTAGATGAGTTCAGAATACCAGACTTGTATAAATTTCGATAATAGTAATTTCTAAATTACCTATGTATTCATCTGCAATAATTAGAAAATACCGAAGAGTTAAAACAAGAAGTATACTTATTAAGTACTGGAATCACTACAGAAATAGAATAGCCTGATGGATAATAATGAGTAGTTTGTAATCATAATTATTATTTAACATATAATATATTTCTTTAAATTAGGTTAAATATTCTAAGGATAAATCTATATTATTAATCCTACCAAATTATCAACCATTCTTAAATTATTCAGTACCTATTTGTCATTAAGACTTAAGCAATTGCAATCAATCTATTTCAAGTGTGTAAAATTCTATAAATGGAGAATGAACGTTTCAAAAGATCAATATCTAAAGAACAGCAACGATAGTTTGATTAATAAGATAAATGAATTGCTTTAATGAATTTAGATTTAAATCATTTTCCACGTTAATCAAAAATACATTTAAAAATATAAGTTCAACTAACATTTAATCAAGTAGACCATTGCTGATTTAATTATATATATCATAAGTTTTCGGTTAATAATAATTTTATTGATAATCAAATTCAATATAAAAGATGTTCTTAGTATTTTTCAATACTTTATTTTATTCAATATTTTAAAGTCTAACTCTAAAGTAGTACTAATTAAGATTATGAATTTCTGTGTTATTTACATCAAATTATATAATTTTAGATATCGGCATCAACACATTTTTACATGGACTAAATTAATATTACTTGTACGATTACTAACAGCAGTTATTCTATTTTTCTTATTGATAATTTCAGGAATAAAGCATTAATAATAATAATTGAGTTAAAATGAGATTAAATAATTTACCGGATGTTCTTTTTCCAAATCCAATTCAACACCCGAATTACAAAATCTCATTTTTGGAGAAGGTTAAGGAAGAAATTCTGAATGTATGCACATGAAAATGATAATAGAATCAATTCGTCAATGAACCAATGCGTAGGAGCAGATAAAATATGACAATACGTTCATTTTAGAGAGGATCAATCAGAATTATCAGTGCGTCAATTGCAACTTCTCAAAACAACACACAAACTAATTTTAGATCTGGGTCTTCGAAATTCAGGATGATTAAGGAACAGTCTCTGATGGAAGAAATGGACGAAACATTTTCTCGAACAAGGACACCATCTCATTTAGCAAGAAGATTAAAAAAAGGATTAACAATGTTTGAAAAATAGTTTTGATTAGAGATTTTTTAAAAGCATCTTTTATCAGTTCACCAAAAATGCAGAAGATTTGTCGAATTGCTTAAACCACTCATACTCTTATTCATCTTGAAAGAATTACTAGAGTGGTTTATAGATATCCGTTGGTTCTTTATTCAATCTTCGTTATCTCGTACTGGAAGTGCGTTGTTGTGTATTTATTGCATTTGTCTATGATATCAATACAATAAATCAGTACCTTAATAACATAATTGATGAGGAATGAATTGAATTTGCTTTTGAACGATTTTTTTGAATAATTTCGTTTTAAGATATTTTTTCGACATTCCACTATGTTATCTACTAATTCAATGCATTATTAGTCATGCCATTTTTAGGCGTGTACATTGAAATGATTGTCAACCTACTCAGTCTTAAAAATAGGTAAATGATTTTTGAGCATGTATTGTAAATGAGTTTGATCTAATTTCATTTGCATAATCAATGTGCATATGCTTTGATCTTCATGATGAAATTGTAACCAATTCAGAATACTCCTTACATTTCCTTTCATTTACAAAGTTATCATGCTAATTTCTGACAGGTCAAACTTAATATTTAACTCTTTAGTTGTAATTGTTGGTTTGATTAAGTAGAAATTATTATAAAAATCAACCAATTTGGCTCTGTCTTTCAAATTTTCATAAATGACCTTCTTTTTGAATTCACTGTTAATAGAGTCCAATTAATCCCTATAATTGTATTCAATTAAGAGGATCAAATAGAAATACTTCACAATATCATCATGCTAATATTGGAGTAACTCAAAACCATCAAACAGTTCATGATTCTGACATGAATCTATAATTAGTAGAATAAGAATACCTGTGATCCAAATGAAGGGCACTCTTTGGATTTATAAGAACCTAGAATTGAGAAATTTGGGCAAAGCTCCTCTGTGTATAATGATTTTCTTCTTAATTCCAAATTCAGTGATTTATTGTTCTGGTTTGAATTTGATGTGTTGACTGGCGAACATCTCTTCGAATTCCTTCTTTTCTGTGTATTCATAGGTGAGTATGACTTCAATATTGTATGTTCTAGCAATTGCAACAATGGTGCTCATTTTACCACTAGAGCCATAAATGTTGAGCATTTAATAGTTCCAATTTTGATTGCCGACCGAATTGGATTGGGAATCCCATGAATCAGAATCCTCTACTTGATCCTGTCTCAGTATTGAGAATGAACTCTTGAGCCAATGTTTTAATATTTATGTATTGTGTTGACTGAGTAACTAATTTAGATAGTCATTTACATCATCCACATGATCTGGAGTGTAGATGTCACTCCAATAATCTGAGACTCGAGTGACATTCAAATACAAAATGGAATTTAACATTCCTCCTATGGAGTCCAATTTCGATACCTCACTTATTTACTTTACCAGATCTCCATAAGCAAACTCCTTCATTATCTCCTCTCTGTATTATGACAATACTCTTCGCAATTGAGATCCAACCTATCCCAGTTGCGGACACTTCTTAAATTGTTTTTGCATCTCTTTTATTTCCTTCTTTTATTTCTTGGTTCGATTACCGAAGAATTCCTTTATGCAATGGCTATTATGAGTATTTCTCCTGGGTGGCATTTTTTTCCTGGTTGCCCGCTAATTTGCAATTTTAATATATAATTAACGTAACATGGAAGTAATTGAATCACTAAATAAACAAGCTCTTGCATAAACAGATTCTCACTAAGCTCTTGAACTCCTGGAACGAGCTCTCAGTCTTCTGTAATACTACGCCGATTGCGGCAAAATCATAGATCGCAATCTCATAGTCACCATAATCTACAACCTTGCTGGTGTCAATTAAGCGTACACATGCATCAATATATTTTCAGATTATGCAATCTAGACAAGGCTGCTCAGTACTTGGAAGGAACCGTTTTCAATTTGCAGGAGATGATTCAGCAAGAAAACAATCAAGTCTTTCTCATCAAACGAATGCATCTCCTAGCTGTTGTCCAATTATAATATTGTGGGATATTATCATAATTGAATTAACATCAAGTGGCTTCTAATATTGCTCACTCTACCATCCTATTACTCAATAGACTTTTTGATATCAGTTACTAATATTAAAGCAGTTAGTAGACAACCAATAAAAATGTACAAAAATATTAAAAGGGACAATACATCTTTGAAGAGTACGATTTTAAGAATCTCCTACTCAAGAGATCTGATGAATTACTCAAGTTCATTAAACAATTCATCACTAGTTAATTAATAGAATAAGAAGAGCAACCAAAATTACAAGATATTGCAAATCATATCCTGACTTGGAAATTGAACTCCTTAAACAACGATAAACTGCCTAAACAATCCTTCTCTAAACTCTACCAAAGATCGATGATAGGTTTGCTAAATGAAAACGAGTGGCTAGTATCATTCAATGTCAGCAACATCATGTTCATACGCTTGCTCTCCTATGAAGAGGTCTGTCTCAAAGGAGAAATTCTATACGAATTTAGTTAAAAAGTCTTAATTGAGAAACTAATCCTATTATCAATGGCTTACTTTTCTCTTGCTTCTGAAACTAGGAATTTAAAGAATGAACAAAAGTCTTAATTCTACCATCTAAAGTCCATCTATATTGTTAGCAGTGTCTTACACGACAACTCTCCCTATTTGGATCACCTCATCCAATCATTCTGCACTCATTATCAACAACGATTGGAGACTATTGTAAATTATCCGATTGTATATTGTAGGTTGAAGAGCAATCGTTTGTTGATCAGAGCACTAAGGTGAGTCTTAGGAGGAAAGAAAGCACGTTGGCGAACAAGGAGAATTGTAATGATCATCTTAAACAGTTGATTGAAAGTCTCTCTAAGGACAAAAAGAAGAAGTAAGAATCAATTCAGAAGACCTTGAATCAATTATAAAATTTAAAAGACAGTACTACTTTCATTAATCATCTTAGAGTTGAGCAAATCACGTTCTGAAACGATTTTGAAAAGATTTAAAACTGAGCCAAGTCTACATTTTGATAAAAGTGAGAAAAATTGTAAATAAATACTATAATAATTAATGAAATAATGATTGTTTTATGTCATTACTCAATCAAATGATTATTGTATTTTTTGTTTTTGAATTGTTCTTTGTTTCAGTTAGTTTAGTGTAAAATTTAAATTTGGAAACTGCTACTCTAATTCAGTCAAGATTTACAATTATAAGTTAAAGTCCCCTTGTTTTGGGAATCCCTCATTAAGCACACTAAATTAGCAACATAATATTGTACATCAAGATTTTATGCTGATCCAGACAAGCACACAAGGTTTTGATATTTGAATAATAGATCTATAAATATTGGTCATAAATTAGAGAGTATTGGTTATTGATTCCCTTCAATATATACTCCATTTGGTTGTATTCAGCTGTGTTCTCAAGTAAGGAAAGGAAATACAATTGGATCTCCTCCCAAGTGTAAGCCGCAGCATTTTATCGAATCACAAAGTTTGGATTGTAAGGTTTGAGGGTGTTCCAAAATTATTCGTAGGATAAGAGATGCTCCTAATTCAAATAGTGTTTTTTCAAGAACAAACAATCAAGGAACTTTCCTAACAAAGACAAACTTCGATGTTGAGCTCCAGCCATCATCAAAATTTCATAGATCTTGTGGATGTGCTCTTTGTCAAAGGCGAAATTTCCAATCTAACTTAATATAAGTTGCTTCAATTCATTATTAGATGCTCTAAGTAGGTCGAGTTTTTCAAAGATGATGGGACCAAACTTAAGTTATTGTTCCACACTCAAATAGGCAAAGAGGATGTCCAGCTTTTCAATCATAAAGTTCAAAACCTAAGAGTTTATGGGAATGACAAAATACTTCCGCATCGATATCTGGGACCATGGACGGCAACAAAAATTCTATAAAGTATTGAACCTTAAATGTTCCCAGAATGTAGGTCATTTAAAAGATGTTATTGAGTATTGAAACTTTGATTAGATTTGATAAGTTCAACTTGTTGAAGTTAGTAAGCACAAAACTCAAGGATTTATCATCCAAGGTTGAAATGCAATAAGCATCATCAGTGAAGTTTAGAATGGCAGCAGAATAGTCTTTTGAGTCGCACAAATAATGTGTGTCTTTATTCATCATTATTGATCTTTCCTCCATTTGATTGTCTTCCTTGATCAATAGGACATTCATCAGATGTTGCCGAATAGCATTTCCACTGATTGAACTTTGCTTTAAGATTTTTTATTAGTCTTAGGAGATAATTTCCACGACATTAATTCCATTCTACTAAATGAATTCTTGTTTCCATCGTTGAATGTCAACAGCCTTGGAGTGATAATGAATTAGATCAAAAAGATCATTGGTGGTGGCATTTGCCCATTTAAATTTATCCAAATATTGTGTGACAATTTCAATGAACTTATCGAAGCCTATCAATGTTACCAAAGATGAAAGCACAGCTGAACCCTTGTTATAAGTAATGGAATCAAAGGCTTACAACCCCTGGTTTGCATCTTCGATCTTCATTTCAATTGGATGTGAATTAGTATTAATATCTAAGTTGACTCCGTTCTATTTGTAAAGGAGATAATGTATTTTTGGGTCATAGAACTTATAGGAATTGAAGGGTTCCTTCTTAGATACAGATTGTAATGCTTGGTATGAGATATATACAGCAAAGGCTTCATTGAGCCATAGGTCATTCCACCATTTCATAGTAACTAAATTGCCAAACCACATGTGTGAGAGTTCGTGTAACAAGAGGAGGAAAAATCTTGTCAATAAGGTGGAGTCGAATTTGTTCTGGAGCATATTTCTGGTAATCAGGACAGCTCCAGGGTGTTCCATTCCTGAGAAGTAGAAGGAACAGAATATCAGATCATATTTTTCAAATGGGAAGGGGATGCCAAACAAGGATTCGTAATATTGGAAGCCTTCCTCTATGCATCTTTTGATCAGAGCGTTGGAACTAAAATAATGGGGGGAGATGTGTTACTTCATGCAGGCCGTGTATTTTTCTTATTCTGAGTAGAGATTCATTTGGAGACCTGAGTGCAACTCGTTGGAGATCTTTTTCCATTGACCCATGTTGATGCTGAAGAGGTAGAGGCTGATTTTGGGAGTGGTTGCGAAGTTCCATTGGTTTTGTGTTTCGGAGCATTGTTCAATCAAAATTGGATTCATGTTTGAAACAGCCAGCCATTCTTTGGGACATGTCAATTATAATTTGATCTTAGCCTTAATGTCTGGTTAATCAAAGCAGGGGAAGCACTTATGATTAAAATGGTGATACCGAATGACAATAATTGGGACAAAACAAAGAGATGATATACGTAGCCTAATTTTAGGTGTATTTAATTAGTCCAAATTCGCTCTCTGAAAATGCAACACTGAAAGTTATCATAATGCAATTTTCACCTTTGATGGTATTGATGGATAATTAATGTTTCCTCCAATTCTGAGCAATTTCCTCCGAAGTCCATTCATTATTATTCACCTTGACACTCATGAGTTACTGCCCGCAAAAGTCAATCAGAATTTGATTACTCGAACAAGTGAAGTTTATCAAAATCATCCCCATTATTATGTCATTCTACACTGCCAAGTCCAAAGAATATTGACAATTATCCACGTCTTACCTTCTCTGTTCAGCCTGATCTTTACTAAGCAAGGCATATTTGATCTGTTTTTCATCATTCCGTATGCCATCCTACTCCAATTACATTTAGTAATAAATTTATATTTAAATATCCTCTTCGATTATAATATTGCCCCCAAACTCATTATATCATACAACCATTTACTCTCATTATATTTTATATATTCAATATATTTCTGCAATGCAGGATCAGTCGAGCATGCTTTCAGCCTACAGTAACCCTTGGAATAGGTATAATACCACCAAGGAAAAAGGATATCTCTTGGCCAAATCAATTGATCAACACCCAGAATTCAAGACAGAAATCATGGATGCTCTCAAGCAAAATTAAACCAAAAACATCTTCAAGGATCCGATAAGTATGCAATTGTGCAAATATGACTCAACCATTGGTCCAAAATTAGAGAACAATAAAATTGTTATCCGATCTATTGTAGGTAAACCAGACATTTTCAAAAGGAAATTGAGTTTGTTGACTGGATAGGATCCGAAATCAAGTAGCAGAAGAACATTCGCTAAGGGAAACACCACCAACACTTTTAGAAACAACAACAACACAATTAAAACATAGCATGTCTTTACAGGTGAAGAGTTATTGGCTAAAGTTAATTTGATCGAGAAACACTTATTCGAATCCAGATTGAAAGAAGATCAGGAAATCATGAATATGCCCTTCCAAAAAAAATAGATTTTGTTCAAGGAAACTAGAGCCCTCGAAGAATACTTAAAATTGGAAAAGGAATAAAGCAATTTGTTGATGGGAGTGACTAAGTAAGCCAACAAAGATCCGAGCAAATCTGTGATGATAGATTGCTATAGGTTTCGTAGAAAAAAAGAATACTCCATTACAAATGACTCTTTAAATAGAAATAATGATGATAAGACTTTGAAGATATTGTAATTAACAAACTTTAATTAGGGAAATAGATGACGATAGTGGCTATCCCTTATTTATGATGTCACAGAACGATTAAGTAATACGTAAACCCAGTATCATCAATCAAGATGAAACTACCCAATCCATATTGAAGCAAATGAATGACGAACCAGTCTATCGAAGTTTCTCAAGCAAAGATTACTTGAAATCTCAATCCAATAGGTACACTAAGATAGCATCTGATAAAATCAACATCAATATTGATAATTTGCTTGTTTAAGGATAAAGCAAATTGGATCAAGAAGTCAAGTTCGATATCAATGGGAAATATTTACTCCAGCCTATTGATAAAGGAAATGAAGAGGAAACCATTACTGAAAACTATTCAGGTTGTTATAGAGTAAATTATAAATGATTCTGTTCAAACATATCATATTTTTAAATATATTAAATTAGATTGAAATTAAGTTAATTTTATAAAAAATCAATAAAACCATGCACAATTCTTTTTTGACTTTCCACAATTTTCTCATTCGATCTTAAATCGTTCCCATACCTCCAATTCGAATGTCTCCTTGCTTCCACCAATTAAGAATTAGTGCTCCAATACTTAATCAATGGTCATTCTCTTTGCAGGATCTGGCTCCAACATCCCTTAGAGAAGTGAGCGGAATTCAGCATCGCATCTGTTATTTTTATCGATTGACAACCAATATTTAGCCCATTAGTTGCTGGTTATCAGTCTCCAATAGGGACAAGCTTTAGTGCTTGATCTGAAGGGAGGATGGGCAAAGGCCAATAAGAAGAGACACACTCCCAATGAGAACACTTCTGTGATAGGCAATGCCTCAGCGTTTATCAATCCTGGATTTTACAACTCTGGTGCCAAATATCCCAAAGTACCGGAGGATCTTTAAACAAATCCTCCTTTGATTGACTCAGCAAATCCAAAGTCACAAATCTTGATTTACAATTGTTTATCCAACAGTACGTTTTCTAATTTGATGTCTCTGTGCACAAAACCCAATTTATGAATATATTGGATTGCAGCGGTTAATTTATAAATAATGTATTTAATTGAAACAACTTAGAAGGGTTTCTATCCTTTGGCCAAAATGTCGAAGAGGTCCATTTTCTCTAGAAGTTCAGTTACCATGAACCTTTATTCAGGATTTCCATCCACCATGTTGACAATGTTGTTATGCTTGATTTAAGAAAGTATATGAATTTCTTTTTCGATTTGTTGAGTGGAGCACTATTTGTTGAACAATTTGATAGCGTATTCCTGATCCTTGATCTATACCTTTCTAACTTCACAAGTTAATCCAAAACCTAAGATTTCTTTTGAGATGTTCATCACTTAAATTTATAGTATAAGTTTAGCAATTTTAAATTTTTAAATAAAATCCAATTTGCTTTCATCAGCAATTATTAAATTCTTTTATAAATCCTATCAGAAATTATATTTTATCAGATAAATTTAATAGAATTCATAACAATCAATGCATAAAAAATGCGCAAAAGTCTAAATTTCTAGTAACGTCGCCGCCTCTCCTAATCACGGCATCTGCCGTCTCCTTGTGTGTATTTCCTGCATCTCTTTTATGTACTCCATTTCATTTACGTTCTCAATGCTATTAAGAACTTCATCCAAGGTCAATCTCTTCTTTGGGTCGATTTGGATCATACCTTGGATTAATTCCATACAAAAAGGAGGTACCTTCTTTTCCTTGTTCCTTTATGAATAGTACCAAAACTCGCCCCATTTGTTTTACTATATCAATCTGTAATAAGGGCATGACTTGTCAGTAGTCTTGAAGGGAAATACTCCAAAAAGTAAAATGTAATACACAACACCCAATGAAAAGATATCACATTCTTACAAATTTAATGCGTCTATTGAACCTATAGAATTAAGTTCAGGTGCCATGTAGACGTCTGTTCCGATCATCTTTGAAACCTTCCCCTCATCCAAACTTTAACTTGCATTAAAGTCACAGATTTTGACTTGGAAATTCAATTCATCAACCAACACATTTTCCAATTTAATATCTCTATGAGCAATTCTTAATTGATGCATATACTTCAAAGCACCTGCCAATTATCTTAAGATGCAATTTGAAGCATTCACTGACATTGATCCTGCAGTTTTAACAAATTCAAACAAGTCAAAGGGGATCATTAGTTCTGTCACAATGAATTTTTCATTTCCAACAATAAACTTCACTATGTTTGGATGGTTTAACATTGCATGAATTAAATGTTCTTTTTATGCACACATCTTCTTGTATTGCTTTAAGGCAAACATACTTTCTCCAATTTTGATTTACTTAACTACTGAAACTGCTCCCTCACCTAATTTTATATCCAAAACTTCCATTTAAATTATATATATTATTTATCAATATATTACTCCGTATAAATAATAAAGCAAAATTCTTTCACAAAAATTTATCGGTTTCATTATTTTATTATAACATTTAATTTTAAATATGAAGCCTTCAATTATTAAATCATTAATTTTCCTCCGATTCTTAGGCATACTCCTAGACTATCCCCTCTTCGTCCTCCTAATACACAACCTATGGCTGCTCCACTGGATGTTGCTACTTCAACTGATTTCTAACGAGCATCCCCTTGGCGCTTGCTTATATTTTAATTATTTTCTCCATGTCCTTCTCATCCTATTAAAGATATCACTACATTCTTTACAAAGTGAGGCTAGAAAAATGCATTGTTAGCTTCGATCTTTCCTGTCTCGATTTCTTCTATGTCTTATTCCACTTTTTAATAAAGTTCGTTAATATAATCCTTTGCTGCCCTCTTCTCTTCAGGATGACTAGCCTATGAGCCAACTGACTATTGTCTCGTCCTATGAGATGAGCCAGAAGCCTGCTTCTATGGAGCTGAAGCCTTCCTTTCACTCTCATTCCTCTAATTCGATGTCTCAACAACTTTCTTAGCTTGTTCAATTGAATTGTTTGGCTTAGGAGGTAGATGTGACCTTCCTGGAGCCTATCCTTTTGCAATATTGAATTTGCTCTCAAATTTAAATTCCTTTCCATCTCTCATACATTCGAAATAATCTACACCATATTTTACTATGTCTTCTGGTTAATCCCTCAAGACCTTTATTAAGTGATCAACTCTACTTCTCTTGTAAAATCATGTAAAATTTAGTTGAATCCCTCGGGAACTGGATACTTTTGTAAATATTTAGAAGCCATTTCTTCTATTGCTTATAAGACTTTTCTTAAAAATATTTTATTTTATTATTAATCATCTCATCTCCTCTATCATTCAAAGAATTGATGCTATTGGGTGCATCAAACCATCAAATACTTATACCCTCAAATTTTTGTTGATCAAGATTTGACCTATAGATTTTATATTAATACTACAATAGATAATGATGTATATTAAAATTAACTATTTGTACCTAGGAATTTAGCAATATTCATAACAATAATAGAATTATACAATATAATACATAAATAAGATATTTGGTACTCAAGGCCAAAAATACATTTAGTATATCTTATTGATATCTTATTATTAATATTGATAGATTACACTTCCTTTTATGATTTCTTACTTAAATCCACTAGCTTAATTACTCTCCAAATTTCCTAGTCATTACTCGTTATATTCATTTTGATACTCTTGATTTATATTATTTAATATAAAATCATTTATAAAGTAAAATTTATAATGAATTTTTGAAAGTTAAGCTTTCTATTTCATACTTCATTGATTTATTAGAACAAAATAAAATTGAGAAATTATGACATGCTTCTAAATTAACTTTTTTCCATTACTTATACTTAATTTGTAATTGTATTTGTTAGAATTGTAGTTATATTTGTTCAAATAATAATAAATTTGAATTATATCTCAAAATTTCTATATTTATTTAGACTTGGCAATTTAGTTTAGGTCTGATTAAATTTGCTACATAGTTTATTTGATATGTTTTACTCTCTTGTAATTTTGTGTTTAAATAGCATATCCATTCTAAATGTAGGGAACTTTTCGGACTCAAACATTCATAAAATTATTCGATAATTATAATAACTTAATAATGGGTGATTATTATTTAGAATTTCTGCAACAATATCTTCACAATGTGAATTTAAGGAAAAAGGTATTATGTGTGTTTCTAGATAGGTGAAAGAACTATTGAAAGAAAAGGGTGAGATCTAATAAAAATTGGAGATGCTGGAAGTAATTTTAAACGAGATTAAAATAGAAAGAGGGTAACAACCATTCCTTTGAGGAAAGAAAGAAGAGATTGAGGAGTTTGGCAAGTGAAATCTAACGCAATTTTGAATGTCCATTAACAAAGTGTAGTAAGAAATATGGGTATGATACATTTCCATTTGTGAATTAGAAGTGAAGGTTCCTTGAATTAGCATATCAAACTAAAACACCCTGAACTAGTTAATAAGAGTTGATAATTAATATAATATATTAATGAATTAATAATTCTTGGTTGTAGAGGCTAGTCTAATCAACCTTTTATTTAAGAAAGCTGAAATTTTGGGTAGGGGTAAGGATTTGATTCATGGAATAAGTTCGATCATATATAGATTGATAAAAAATAACACCAATAAATTGTTTGATTCATCTGATAAATGGGGGAGTCATGCGCTATAAATATACGAAAATATTACTCGGGAAGTTTTCGAGGCTAAAGTACTTCAATTATAAAAGGCCATGACTCTTCATTTGAATCCTTATTCAAGTAGAATTATTTTAATTGCAAAGGAATAACTAAATCACACATAATTTAATCTGCATGTTGTTTACGAACTTCAACACATGGATCTAGACTCGAAGAGTATTAGAGAATAAAGAGAGGGCCTTAATCATAATGATGCAAAAGAATTTTTGAGTTTTTTATGTCAAAATTATGTTTTGGGAGCTTAATTTACAAATGAATTTTTAGATATCAGTCCACAAAATATCTTTAGAAATGGAAAATCTTATATTGTTTCTAATTTCGGATTCAATTTTGCTGGAACAAAATTTCATAGAATTTATTTGCCTACAACTGATCCAATCTATCAGGAGAAAGTGCCAAGCTAAAAAAATATTTTGTATTCGTATGCCTTTAGGGCAGCCTTAGTGACTTTGTGTCTTATGACTTAGATAGATCCTATGGATTTATTTTATTAAGATGGATAATTTAAATAAGAGTTATTGTATCTTATAACAAAAAAGGATAGAAAAGAGAAAAAGAAAGACAAAAGATTTATTGATTCAATTGATAAATTTTTTAATGAGAAATTGATTCACACAAAAGAACAAGATTACAATGAATAATTAAGGAAATGCTTTGGAACATCTTTTGTATATGTAAGATCTGATAGATTTCTTAAATACAAATACAATAAAGAATTTCTCGATTATCTCAGGAAATTGCTTGATGTTACAAACATATAATCTAGAGCAATTTTTCCACTTTTAGTTTCACAACCTGAAAATATTTTAGGCGTCAATAATTCGTATGATGAAAAATTTTATTATCTAAACAACTATATGAATGGCACATTCGATAATAAAGTATTGGATGGATGTGGAATTGTATCATCTGACCAAGAGGAGTTTAGTAAAAATAAGGGAAGGATTATTACTCAAAAATGTGGATAGTTTTCGAAGGGAAAAGTTTCTGGGGAGTATAATATAATCAAAATACACAAGAAATACGAATGCACATTGTACAATTTGTAATGTGGCTTAACATTTCATTATGTCAATTAGAAAATGCTGTATTTGACTGACAATGTGGTAGCTCCCATAAATCCAATAGGCAAATCACCAAAGGAATCAATTTATATTTTCAATGGTGAAATAGAAAACGGAAATTTGAAGAAAGGATTCTCATATTAATTAGATAACACAGTATTCAAAGGAGAGTATCTAAATAATTAACCATATTAAGGCAAAATGATTTACCCAAACTCAGATGTCTTTGAAGGGAAAATGGATGGCTTTAATAAAAAGAATGGATAGCTTATAACTAAAGATTTTATTTTTGAAGGGGATTTTCAGAATGATTAATTTTTCTATGGTTTGATGGAATATAAGGATGGGGGAAGTTTTTATGGGTATTTTAACAATGGATTAAGAGGTAAATCTTCTATATGATTATAATAGTTAAAGTTGGAGTCTATAATTATCCCTTTTCCTAAATTTAATATTAAGGATAGTATGCTAATGATAAAAGACATGGCAAGGGATTATTTATTGATAAATCTTAAGAAAACTGTATCCAAGAAGTTGTATACAAAAATGGGAAGTGTGAATCCAAGCTTAATGAACATTTTTCAACAGTCTTGAAAAAAATGAGAAGAACGAACTTAAAAACAATACAATGAGGCTTGATTTTAATCTTTATTATTCGCATATATTTTGTATTAATGTTTTAATAATACGATTCATTAGTAGTCGATGCAAGTTTCATTCACAAGAATTACACTTAAGTTAGTGTAATTGGAAAAGGGCATGATTTTTACTTAGGTATTAATTCAATCAGCTACTTGATGCATCATACAAAAGAAAATGGCAGATACATCTTACAAGTTTATGAAAATCTAGGATATGATCTTTTCAGAACCAAGGTTTTGCATTTGCAGAAGGCCATGATAGAGTGTGTTAACGATGTCAACACGAGGATTATCTTATTAGCTGAAAAGTAATTAAATGACAAATAGTCTGATCTGTATGTACTTTATAGGTTGGATGAATTAACTGAGAGATTGGATCAATAGAAATAATTGACACCAGAATAAGCTAACGATCTTTTGATTACTTTCTGCAAAAACCTCCTCATCACAGGTTCGATTTCTTCATTTATTCTTAGGTCGTGTAACTTATGAATTTTTGGACATTGCCCCTTAGAATGTCTATGTTCATGATAATCGATTTATTATATCTAATATGGGAATTTCCTATAAAGGCTCTAAATTTCATAGACCATACACTGCAATCACAGATAGTTTCTATAAAGAGAAAACACTAACAAATATGATCTATACATATTCATTTTAAGCTGGCTTAGTCGTTCTATGCGCTATTACTAAGATTAATTCAGCAGAATTCTTTTTCGAAGATGGCTAATTGAAAACTAACTTATTATAAGATGTTTTAAGAGCATTCAAAGAAAAGTTGCCAGAGCCATAAAAAGAAAAACTGAAGAAGAAGTTTCCTTCATTAGCTAAAATAGAGAAACCATTCGATGCTGATATATCAAAAATCTTACCCTTTCTGGTCTTAATATTATCAATGGATCAATAGAAAAGATCCATATTTCCATTGTTGATATGTCATCCCGAAAATCCACTTAAAGTGGAGAATCCATTCTTCCAACAATCACTTGATATTGAATAACAATACGTTGGATTTGGAAAATTGGATGGAACGGAAATTATCCCTGAAGGATATGGATATGGAATGTTCGGGAATGAATATCATTATGGTATGTTCAAAAATGGTACTTTAACAGATGATGGTACTGTTGAGATTAAGAAAAATAATAGAATTATATATTTGCTCAAAAATTTAGTGATTTCGGAGAAATACTAATAGGCAATAGCTGAGGTTAATAAGTATATATATTGGGGGGAATTTGATAATTAATAATATAAACCAAATGGAGATGGCATTTTGGTTAGTGTTTATACGACATAAAAGTACATACCAAAAAAGAAACAGTCTGTTTGTTTTATAGGAAATCTTAAAATGGGAATTAAGGACAATGGTCAAGAATTTTATAGAAATAAAACTGAATTTGATGGAGATTTCAAAAACAATGAGCCTATCAAAGGTACAATATCTTATGGTCCAAAGCACAAATTTGAAGGAATCATTAAGGATTACCAAAGGATAAAAGGTATATTGGTTTACAATAATAAAATCTTTGAGGGAGAGTTTGAAAATGATAGAGTGAAGGCAGGAAAGTTAAATTACCCAAATGGAAGTTCATATGAGGGTTAATTTAAGAATGGATTAAAATGTATGAATTATAAATAGACTAGGTTGTTAGGATGGTAAGTTCATATTTTAAACTATCAAATTAGAGTATTCTGGAGGATTTCTTGATGATAAGTTTCATGGAAAGGGTATATTGACTATAATGGATACAAATGAATAATTGGAAGTTGAATATTTTAAGGGGAAATGTTTAACAGAACTTCCAGAGGCTTTCAAGTCGCTAATGGTGAAGAAATAGCCGTTGGAATAGAAAAAATAGGATGAAAATAAGACAAAGAAGGACAAGTAGAAACAAAATGATGATGAAGAAGTAGAAGAGGATATCTAGGACGATCTTGGAGATGAAGGAAATGAATTTGATGATGAAGGTTGAATTTATAAGATTTAATTTTAATGATAAATAAGTAAACAGAATAAATATTCTCATAATTGTAAGGAGCATTTGGGCAGGTGGAGAGGAGGAAGGAGAAGAAGCCAATGAAATTAGAATATATAAATTAAGGAATTGCGTTATAAATGATTAATAATAAGAGTAAAGGGGGTCTAGAAGGCACTTAAGTTTTTATCAGGATCAAATAAGATGGAAGTAAGAGAATTGGCTATAATTTTATGACAATAAGTAAAGTAAACAGAATTTAATAAAGAAGACTAAACAAATTATAGCACATTTGAAATAGTCTCCAAGCTATAAGCAAGTTTACTTGGATTTGGATTTCGAGTAATATGTGAAAGAAGGTTGATAGTTATAAATAAATTAAATGTAAAAAACAAATATAAAATCTGTTACGGCTCGAAATGAGTAAGCGAAAGCTAAACTCACGAAGTATGAATGAATTTGAATCATTAGAGAATAATTTCTTACTCTAGCTAAAATGTGTTAGAGTACGAGCACGCAATAATTGCTGAGTAAGAAATTGCCATCCTAATAAAAACCTGTTTTGGCAAGTTAGTTGAATATCACTCCAAGAAACAATACTCCCAAAAGTTGTAGAACTGCATAGGAAGTACAATCATTGGTTTAAATGATAGATGAAATATTTTCTTTATCAAAAGAATCTAGTTAAGGACCCAATTAATAAGCCACAGAATCATTCTTAATTGCTTCCTAAGACTAAGAATAGTTTGCATCGAAATTTCTCTTAATTGGAAAAATCCTCAAACAGCCAACAAAACAACGGATAATCGACCGCACCAAACACAGTGAAAAAAAAATACAATTTGCTTTCAACTGACTCTGCAAATAAATCGGATCAACGGTTCTCTTCTGTTCAATTTGCATAATAAATAGCCCAACAATTAAAGAGGAAGTATGAACCACTATAACCATAACAAAAGAAGGAAAATTTGCATGTGAGCTTAGATGATTTCGTCACATAAATCAATAGACCTTAGTCCATCATTTCCCCCTTCAAATAAACTAAGTCGCTATCCCCTTCGACAAGAGTCAACATTGCTCCTTCCAAAAGTATTCATCCATTTTACACTTAAGAATCCCTCTATTATGTTTCATCCTTAGTCGAATCCTTCAGACACATTTTACCTTAAAATCAAGAACAATAACTATTTCGGGATCACGCTGTCTAGACATTCAATTGCATTTCGTTCTGTGTGAAATTGCAAGAACCAACAAAAATGATTTTGGAACAAAAACGAATGGAAATTCCGATGAAACCACATTACAGATGTATAATCAATTCTCTACACATATAGTCAAGAAAACCGTTGTATTCGATCTAGATGAAACCCTCATACATTGCAATGAGAATCAAAATCTTAAGGCAGATGTCTATTTGCCAATCACATTTCCCTCTGGAGACACAGCCCAAGCTGGCATCAACATTCGTCCATTTGCAAAATGGATCTTGCAAGAATTGAGCCAACTTTGCGAAGTCATAGTTTTCACAGCCTCTCACCAATGCTATGCAAGTCAGGTGATTAAATACCTGGATCCACATTCCACGCTCCTATAGGGTTAATTGTTTAGGGATCGATGTGTGTTGTCCCCAGATGGAGTGCATATCAAGGACTTGAGAGTTTTGAACAGAGATCTCAAGGACATAGTTTTGATTGACAATGCTGCTTATAGCTTTGGAGTTCATTTGGAGAACGGAATCCCAATAATTCCATATTATGATAACAAGGAGGACAAAGAATTGAAGATGCTGTATGAGTTCTTGGTTGACCAGGTGTTGCCAGCACCAGACTGTAGAATAGTGTTGTAGTCTGTGTTCAGATTAAGGGAGTATTACAACTACGGAGAACCAAAATAAGCAATAGAGAAATTATATTGATTTTATATATAGTTTGATGCTTTACATTTAACAGGGAATTTGCAATTTGCGAATATCTGATCATTTGGTATATAATATTGGGAAATTAAATAATTATTAATTTTTACCACAATTAATGACTCTTTCTATAACTATTTCTCAACAGATCAAGGCTTACAATTTGGCAGCGTGTCCAACCTTGCCTGAATTCTTGGAAACAGCTTATAAAACTCAGAAGTCTTTGAAAAAGAATGAGCAATTTCGCAAGCGTATTGAAGTTATTCAAGGCTTCGAATTCAACACAGCCTCAACTCAAATCGAGGAGAGCAATGATCAACAGTACATTGTTGCTGCAGGACTCTATGCTCCATCCCTGAAGATTTTCGAAACCTCACAATTATCAATGAAATGTAGTCGAGGTCTTGATTCAGAAATAGTAAAATTTTGCATATTGGGAGATGATTACAAAAAAATTGCAATGGTTTGCGAGGATCGTAATATTGAGTTGCATGCCCAATATGGAAAGCATTTTAAACTGAGAGTTCCAAAATAGCCAACCGATATGGTATTAGTTATAGTTCTAATTTAGATTTACAACCCTTACAATTGCAACTTGTTGGTGTCATCTTAAAATGAAGATATCACTCGCTTGAATCTAGAACTTGGGTCATTTGTAGAATCTTATACTCTTTAACAAGAGACGGGTGTGAACTGCTTAAGTATGCATGAGTAATTGCAATTGGGACTTGTGGGAGGCAACAAATAACTAAGTGTCATAGATTTTAGAAGTGATTAGGTTGTCTAACAATTGGGAGTGAGTGATGTCACTAGTATAGCAACTCAGAATCTTTAGGTTGCTTTGGGAACAAAGGAAGGATAAATTAAATTATTTGATTTGCGAAAGCATATTCCAATTCACGTCTATCAACATCAATATCGCTTACCTATCAAGAAGATTGTTATGAATGAGGATATGATTGTATCATGTGATGCAAAGATATTAAAATTTTGGCAGGGGAATCGTTTATTCACTAACATAGAACCATAAAGTGAAATTAATTCGTTTACTTGGGTCAAGAATTCAGGCATGTTTTTATTGGCATTGGAATAGCCAAGGATGGGTATTTATTTCATTCCATAATTGAATGCTGCTCCTAAATGGTGTCCATTTTTGGATAATTTGACTGAAGAGATGGAGGAGGAGGAGCAACAAACGGTGTATGATGAATATAAGTTTTTATCATATGAAGAATTGGAGAAATTGGATGCATTGCATTTATTGGAAACTGCTATGTTAAAGCCTTATTCGCATGGATATCTTATTCATTTGAAATTGTATTTGAAACTCAGATAGCAAAAGGGTCTCGATTTTGAAGATTACAAATAGAAGAGGATTTAGTAAAATTATGAGAAATAATTGGAGGCTGAGAGGATCAGCAAAGGTTATGTGATACCTGAAGAGCCGGAAATTGAGTAGCCTGTAAGAAAGGTTGATCCGAGATTTGAGAAGATGCTTAAGGATAATGATTACACAGTGGACAAGAAGTCTGAGGCTTGGAAGAGAGCCCATCCTAGTGAAGTAAAAGTTAAGAAATAGATAAATAAAAACAAGAGATGAATTTTTGATGTAATTCTAACTTTTAGTTTGTTTATATAATTAATTTACATAATGTATAAATTAATTAAATTTTTAAAATCGCGCCATGATAATTGAAGAAGTGTAAGGAAATAAAAAGAATAAAAATATTCCTTGGATTGAGAAATACAGACCGTCTACATTGGATGAAGTGATTTCTCATGAGGAAATAGTAGCAACAAGTAAGGAATTGATCAAACCTAATCTTAGTTAAAAAGTTCAATGAAAAAAATCGATTACCGAATCTATTACTCTATGGCCCTCCTGGGACAGGTAAAACATCTACTATAATTGCATTGGCTAAATAGATATATTAGAATAAGTATAATTAGATGGTCTTAGAGGTAATAATTTATTTATATGAATAGCTTAATGCATCAGATGAGAGGGGTATCAATACTGTGAGAGAGACCATCAAGGGATTTGCAGAATCTCAGTCATTCACCTTCACAAAGGATAAGAACACATCGATAAAATTGGTGATTTTGGACGAAGCTGATGCCATGACAGCGGCAGCCTAATTTGCATTGCGTCGAAGTAATTATCAATTAAAAGTTCAAAGTCATTGAAAAATATGCAAAGACCACTAGATTCTGTTTTATTTGCAATCACATATCTTAAATCATTCCAGCCATTCAAAGTAGATGCACACGATTTAAGTTCAAATAAATCAGTTTAGACGTGGCTAGTTCAAGAATCAAATACATTTGTGAGAACGAGAATATCCCATTGGATGATTAGGCTATTAAGTCTGTGTTTGGGTTATGTTCAGGGGATATGAGACGAGTTGTAAACATGTTGTAATCGTTGTCTTTGTCTACATCGAATTCTAATTTGGAAGTCATCAACTCTTAGTATGTCTATCAGTTTACAGGGATGGCACATCCTGATTTAATCAAATAGATTATGGAATATCTGATGAACCAATCTGAAATTCAGAAAACATACTTGAAAATAAAGGCGATTTTGAATGAACAGGGAATATCCTTACAATTGTTGCTTACGGAATTAAGTACATAATTATTAGGATTAAATGTGTTGAATGACAAATAGAAATGTAATGTTATTGAGAGAATGGCTGAACTTGAGTACCGACTTTCCATTTGTTGCAATGATTAGGTTTAATTACTTTCTTTGATTGGTATTTTCCATGAAGTTCTTTTGTGATCAAAATTTTATTTTAAATTAAAATAAATCCTATTTAAATATGGCAGAAGAACAAGTTGTCACTGTGAAATTTGCCAACTAACCAAAACTTTTCGGAAAGTGGGACTACGATGAAGTCTTGGTGACAGACCCCTGTTTCAAAGATTACATAGCAGTCCAAACTTCAAAGTCGAGAGTCTTCGTTCCACACACAGCTGGAAGGTACGGTTTCTGAATTCTATCTATTAAGATATTAACGCAAGAAGTTTAGAAAGGCCCAATGTCCAATTGTGGAGAGATTGGCTGGTGCTCTTATGTTCCATGGTCGTAACACTGGTAAGAAGGTCAAGGCTGTGGCCATCATCAGACATGCCTTTGAAATTGTTCATTTGCTCACAGGCAAGAATCCTCTTGCAGTCTTGTCTTTGGCTGTTCAAAGAGGAGGAGCAAGAGAGGATTTCACCAAAGTTGGCACAGGAGGTGTTGCTAAACAATAGGCTGTCGATGTGGCTCCAATCAGAAGAGTCAATGAAGTACTCAGACATAATAATTTAAGGCTGTTCACAATTTGGCCAAGGGAGTCAGAGACTCAGTCTTCAAGAAGATGAAGACCATTGCAGAAGCACTTGCTGACGAGCTAATTGCAGCTGCCAATGAAGATGGACAAAAATCATACACAATCAAGAAGAGAGATGAACTTGAAAAAGTAGCAAAAACAAATCGTTGATTTACATTTAGTATAATATATAATCTTATTATTGTAAATTATTTGCATGATAATAAGACGATTTATATATAGAACAATTAAGTTAGAAACATCAACTCCACATTCAATCCAGCATTTTTAGTTCCATCTCTGTACTATTTTGTGAAATAACATATTTTTGATTGTTAAAGTATTTTGAATCCCTATAATATAACAAATAATTCATTGACGCTCCCAAAAATGTGATTAAAAGTAGAATGCCCAGCATATTTGAATAAGAACCTTATGTTTCCTCTTAAACTACTTTCCCAATAAAAATAGAGGCAAAAGAAACCCCAAAACTGACACTAGAATAAACTACTCCAAAGGCAGTTCCCGACAATTAATTGGAAACCACCATCTAAATGCATGGCCACAAGGTTACAACATAAGCAGCAAAAAATATTCCATTCAATAGTTGACTTATGGCTGGGATGATCAAGCAGGTAGTCTCGCAACTAGGCATGAGATAAACCAAAGTAAAAACACTCAATTAGATCACACTTGTTATTTGTAATCCTTGCATTCTATATCCATGTTTATCAACTAGATGACCTAAATAAGGAGCTATAAATATAGCCATGTAGCAAGGAAGTCCGTAGAGAGTGGCTGCAGAATAAGATGATAAATGATACCTAAATATGAATAATTTAATTTTGTACATAGCTTTAAACATTTCTGCATTATTGTATGAGTATATGTAATAACTTGTGTAACAAAAAATAGAACTCAAAGCAATAATGTAGAAGTCAATGTTGAATTGAGTTAGTAAGGCGAATGAAAAGTGAGGAATGGTCTCTTGTTTGGTTTCGACTGAATAGATTTTATCAATGGTAGTCACAGCATTAAGGCCGATAAAAGAAACTATGCACAACATTAGACAAGCCAGAAGAGCCGTTTCTAGACTGTAATTGTTGACTAAGTAGGGCAATAGAATCGTCGAGGCAATAGTACCACCGCAAATGAAAGCTGTGTCAATGCTTATTATAGGGTTATTCTTACCTATAAGCAAACGAAGCCTCTTTAAACCATTTCGATAAAATTTTGTATATCCCTACATAGCAGCATTCCAAAAATAAGCCCATAAAAAATCTGCCGATGAGCATTAGCGTGAAATTATTCAGTACAATTGACAAGTAACAAAGAACTAATATAAATTTTTTTCTTAACATGTTCCAAAGATTATGAAGAGCATAAATCCGAATAGCCCTCTTCTTGTTCCATATCTATCCAATAACATCCCTCCTACGAAAGGCATAATAATGTTGGGGAAGGATCTAAATGAAAACAGTAAGTTTATTTAGAATTGATCCACAATGAAGTGATTCTTTATTTCAGTAGCCAATAAAGATGGGTAATCCACAAAGACTCGAAATGAGAATTAAGACAAGCTAGTTAGTAAGAGAATGACCCATTTAGTTGATGGTATCATATATTAATTAATTAGTTTTAATACTACATATACACAATGCCAAATTAGAATTGCGTTTTCCAACAAAATCATTTGCGACTTTCATCACATCATGATTTCCTGGGATTCCCAACTCTCTCCATTCAATTCAAAACTCTCTTAAATAAGATTATACTCTATAATATGAAGTAAAAACAAACTCATTTGCACCGAATAGAGTAGATATCCATTATAGTCCTATTACCATTAGGCTTAAGTATATATTTATAGCGAGTAAGTTAAATATATTAATATTTTGAAATAGCATAATTTTATCACTTTAATTTTTTTTATATTGATTTCAGATATTTTATTCTCCCGCCCCAAAATTGCGAATTCCATTAAAATAATTCGACGCCTATCCGCCGTAAGTAGTGAACAGGAAATGTATTAAATTCTAAAATTTAATTCTCTATTCTACTATAGTTTGTGTTTAACATGATTGCCATTCCCGAAATATTAGATAACTCGAAGATAAATTATATTAAATGTTAAAAAGTTAATCAACAGAACTATTTGTCAGTCCTGAAGAATTATAAAGAATCACTTTCTTCGCTTCTCAGAATCAAAGGAACAGTCATAAACCAAACATCTCAACTGTGAAATAGGAGGAATACACCTTCAAGCCTTCAGTAAGAAATACTCCGATAATTAATCGTAGATCAATAAGAAATCTGCCAATATCCAAAGAACAGTTGATGATCTCTTAAGATGGAATGAAAGGAAATCATAAAGATTGCAACAGTGCTATGAAGATGCTGTAAGTGTGCATTTCCAATTAGAAAGACATAAGAATTGCAATAAAATGCCAACCGCTTAACACATGAAGTTGACACCAATTAGCCTAGTGTTTTCGAAAGATTGTATGTAGTAAGGAAAAGCAATGAAACTATTTAATGTAATTGTTCCCTTGCAATTCATTTATAAATAGAAACCACCAAGCGAAATACATCTGACTCGCATCCATACTTTACTAAGAATATGTCCAACACACTCTATTCTGAATATAAAAAACAAGTGAGTGGCACTCCAGAATAATAAGAGAGCGAACATCAACAAGTCCTAGAATAAGAAGAGCCAACTCCTTAAAAAGTATGTCTACCCAACAGATTCTATTTTGAGCAATCAGAACATCAACAAAATACTGAACCCGAAGTATCATTTGATATGCCATTCTCTAGCCCAAAGTCACTATACCATAGCATATGTTTGTAGACTTTAGATAACAAATCAAATAGATCAACGAAGAGCCTGAACCAGTTCCTTCCAAAAAGCCTTTGAATAAGAAGGAGATAGATCTGATGGTAGAGAGGTAAAGTATACTTAATTCTCATAATTAGAATGAATAATTGGCTATAAAAAAGAAATTATAAAATCTAAGAACAATAGGATAGGCAAATGCAAAATGAATCCAACGAATGTACTTTCTATCCAAAACTTAGCTGCACAAAGCAAACTAAAGCATAGCAATCATTTCAAAATTCTCAAAGAGTTTCATAACAATCTTCATATTCCAATTTATTCAGAAGTAAGAACAACTGATATTTTATTTTATTTCATTATATATATATATCAGTATTATAAACAATCTCTACTTTCTATTATTGCTTAATATAGTGTGTAGTTACTACTTCTTTAGATAGTTCTTTTATTAAATTCTTCTATAAGTTCTTGTTCTTTTTATGGTAAATTTATCATTAATGTTATTTATTATTTTAATTTTCTTAGTCGACATTATCAAGACAGAGGAATAATTCCTAATTATCATCAATACTAATCTTGGAATTCATGATGATTTTGTAAAAACTCATATTGAATTGGATTCAAAAGATATTAAAATCTTTTACGCAGGAATAATTGATCAATATCCTGCCTCCGCTGCTAGATTTGACCATTTGACTTTTCGCGATGAAAATCAATACTAGCTCTATGAACACGAGGTTCGTCAATAGAAACACCAGTTAACATGTTTTGATTCAGAATACAAAAGCACTTAGATAGAGAAAGGAATAAATAGTTATTAAAAAATTTTATCAACAAATGAGAATATGTATTGAGATTCTTGATATCGTAGTACTTTAGTCTTAGATAACTCATAAATTCCATGTAATGGTTTTATTTATGAATCAATTGACCCGTGGATAACTGTGTTAATGCAATTCGGAATAACAAAAACATATTTTTATTTTAAAATATTCTGTAAAATTGATCAATCTAATTAGTAATCATAACAATTTTGTTCTCCTTTATCATACTTACTTCTGCAATCATACTGACTTGGTGGGAAATAAAGAAATTGGAATAGAAGATGAGAAGAAGATCATCATTCCCAAGAATATTATAAAAATTATAAATCAAATGATTATTAATATATTAAAAATACATTGCACAGTAACAAAAATCATTCTAAAATTGTGTTTAACTAATGACCCTAATTCACCATTACAACAAATAAATTAATTGAGATAATGATATACTTTCTAGACCCCATGAAAATGCTATAACTAAGAATCAGATTTTATGAATTAAATCGACTGCAATCGAATATAGATTTATTTACTTTGAATTTTTAAGTCTAATCAAGAGGGTAAGAATTTCGATTCTCAGTTTTAGTAATCTTAAAGAAATAGAAGAGAACGATCTTTGGAAATATGTTCTTAAATCTATTCCATATAAATTAAAAATCTCTTAAATCAGAGAATAGAATTATTCCACTCCAATACCATTTGAACACAAATTATCCACTGAGATAACCCTATATCCCATATTTCAGAAATCCCTTCTAGAAAAATTGCATCCCTCATAACTAAATGATTCGGAATACCAACAAATGAAGAAACTAAAAATATTTGCAGACGAATATTTATGTTTAAGATCGATCATTGTGAATTCTAGTTCAAAATTAGAATTAACCATTATTTTGAATTCTCTGAGTGCTAGTTTAAAGTAGAAATACTAAGATGCAATTCATTCTTTAATTTTGTATTATTTTATCAACTTCCACTTTGAATTTGAGTTCATCTAATTATAGATAGATAAGATGATTCATTTGAGAGAGAACTTGAAACATAAAAGAATTGCAATCATCGGATAAACTTGGAGAAATTACCTACTCTATCAATACTGCAAGTAATTACACTTTCATGTAACTCTTTTCAGAAGTGGAGATGAACCGAAATATTTCTACTCTCCTACTTATTTGCAAAATAAATTGTGTTTAAAAATATTTCCAAAGGAACAAATAGAGTTCCGTGATTATAAACCTCATTATGACTAATCGATGTTCCAGACTTTGGCCAACGTTTTAGAAAATCACAATGAAGAATAAGCCTTCAAAATTATCAATTAAGACATAGCCTTGTTTTTAACATAAAATGCATTAACTGAATTTACAACTGTGAAACAACTTAAATAGCATCTAATCAGTAACTACTTAAATTAACCAATGATCTTTAACAATGAGTTTCAATGGAAAGAATTTGTAAGAGATATTAAATCCATTAAATCAATTAAAGTTAAGAACAAAATACAAGTTAAATGTGACAGCAAACTATTTGAATTTGACTTTCTGGTTTTTGGAGATTCCAATCAGTTTGTAAATTCCTTAATTTCTTCCCAAAGCATCATTAAGGATAACCCTTCATTTGACCCAGAATTCATTCTGAAAATCAAACCCTTATTTTAGGGATTGAAAATGCTGTATATTACTAAAGCCATCTGCAAATTCACAAGTACATTTTGGCCCTAAAATTATGTTAGATAAGTGATGTATGAAAATAGTTTGATGATTATCTATGATTTTTATTAAGATTCCTTACTTATCGAATTATAAAAGCCTTACAAGGAAGTAGTTAAGAAATTTGATTATCATAAAAGAGAGATTATCAAAATCCTTTAAGAAACCTTCAAAGATGAAATTAATCGGGACAACACTCGTTCTATCGAATTATTCCCTTGCGATTACTTCATATAAAGTGATTTTGAGTTCAACAAGATCTTTAAAGAGTCCAATGTCTATTTTAATCTACCAATTATACTTGGAAATGGCATTAACCTCCTAACTTAATCATTTTGGAATGCCCAAATGATAATACAAGATATCTATTTAGACTCAGAGATCCCAGATTATTCTAAATTGAAAGTGCAAGAAGAAAACATCATTTTGGGTACATTTGGATTGAACGTTAATTTAAGTGGCATGATATTACCATATGAATTTAAGAAATACAATTATGTATTGGCTTAGGGAAATAGCAAAAAGATTCATTTTTAATCTTTGGTATTCTTCTAAAGTAAATTAACTGATGAATCGATTCACTATTTATTTACAATTATAGAGGACAATCTATCAAGAAAGATTTATGTTTTAGTTGCAGAAGACGATTAGAAAAATATAATTATGGAAAGATCACTCAATAAATTGTACTATTACTTATGTAATACAGACAATTAATTATAGGAGGAAATTAATTTATACCATTATGTCAATCCAAGGTTTAAGTTTCCCAATATATACCCAGAGCTATTATTGTAAGGAACAATTGATAATTATGCAACGAATGAAATGATACACAAAATGGCAAAGTGTTGTATGGGTTCATTATTTATTGGTTTAGAACATCCATCAATAAAATTATTAACCAGAGCCATGAAATATAAGCAAGCCAAATTCCCTTAATATTTTCTCAATCTCATAAACAAACCAATCATTGCGGGAAAATTTGAATTAAAGGTTCAATTGGATGGTGGTTTAAAGATCACACGAAGGTAATTACAAATTTGATGTTTTTAGATTTTTGAGCACTCAGAAAAATGAATACTAGGTTTATCATATAGAAATCAACTAAAATTATGAAATACTTATTACTGAATTTGATATGATCGAAAAAAATGTTAAAGAAATTTGGGATCACATGTACTATTGCTTTTTGGATAAATATAATATGTAATTTTAATACTCAATATGCAATTAGGAAATAGTTCTATTATGAGATGCTAGAATTCATTGATGGAGAACAAAAGATAATAACTTAGTTTAAAGATTGGAATAAAATAATCCAATCAACCGAATCATAGAGAACCTTCTAACCGCAAAGAATGTAAATTGCACAGTCTGATCTATTATACTCTACAATGAAATAGGATGATACATTTGAAATTGTAAATGGTAAATTATATTTTTGTTAAAATGGGAATCGTCTAATGTAAAAATATCGAGATATATGAAATAATGAATAGAATTTAATTAAATAATGACATTGTGCCATCATTATTGTATTTATAATAAGAATCTTAAACAATCCAATAATATACTAATCTTCATTAATATTCTCTTTCTTATAGACTCTTGTTAGAATGGTACTAAGAGGATAATCATAAAATTCTACCATTTCACTGATTGACTTTTATGATCCCATTGATTTTGTTTACTTTTACATCATTTTGCCTGCTTTATCGTATTGATCGATAAATTCTTAATTCTCATTTTCATCCTCAGTCTCTGGTTCAATTAACTATATTATTTATTAATCACACTCTGTACTTCAGATATATGAATTCTTCTATCAATAAATTCTTCATCTGGCAAGACTTCTTTAAAAATTCTCTTTCTATCTTCTAAATCCATTCCATAGAGATTCTCTGCCTTAACGATATCTTCTGGAGGAACTTGCACTCCGTCTAGATTTCTTAACCCAGGCAATTTATACAAGACTTGCCACCTATAATATCGTCTGTTTTATATTGGATTGTAACAGAGATCAAGTACACTTAGGAAGACCAGATTTTCCAAATAGGATAACTCTTTGATTCTTGAGATTTTATTATTTGCCATTCTCAATTCTCGAACTGAGATAAGATCAATGATTCCATTTAAGCTCTTAATTTAATTTTGAGAGAGTTCCAGTTTTCTCAATTTCGGTAATTAAGTCAAACCATCTAAGATTGTTATTTCATTCCCAAATAAATCCAATTCTGTCAGATTCATGCCATCTAAATTTTCAATATGATCTATATGATTATTAGCCAATTTCAAGACTTATAAGTACTTATTTTTTTGAACTCCTTCAATTTGCCTTATCTTATTGTTAGAGAGATTCATGTAGCGAAGAAAACGATGGCAACTGAGATCTGGAATAAGTTCAATATCATTGTTACTGCAATCCACATCCATTATTTACAATGGAATATGTCTGATTTATACATGTAATCATTACTTTAGGTCTAATAATTTTGTCAATCTATTATTACTCGCCTTCAATGTAATTATGTATTTTAATCCATTCAATGGTTTGAGTGATTTAATAGAGTTATTGCTAACATCAATGTGTTGAAGATGCTTAAATTTCTCAATCCCCTAATCAGAATAGATATGTTCGTCTTACATGTAGACTAGTTAAGTCTAAATTGTTAGCCATGAAACTCAAATATGCATAATGTTATCCTTCAGCAGTTTTACCATATGTGGTGAGTGCCTTCTTTAATACTTCCTCTGAAATAGGTTGTTTGGCTTCTTTTTGCTTTCCTGCCTGTTCTTAAGCAAAGGAAAAAGAGGAAAGAGAAACCTAATATAGCTTTTCCTTGTAAAAGGTGTCCTTAATTAAATGTGTCATTTTATAATAATTGAAAAAATTATAAGAAATAAATAATTTACTTAAAAATAATTCCTATCTAAATTAATTGGAAGTAGATTTGTGTGCAACAATTATTTTATAGCATTTTATTCATAAAATTTAATATTTTATAAACAAAATTGGTTTCATTCTATTCTTTCAGTTGTGTATTTGCTAAGGTTCTTTTTGTATCTATCAGAATGAGAATATGCTCGTTATTAGGCAGTGTTATTTGATTATGATTATGTGTTTAATGAAAATAAGGATTCTTAATTTTAAGCTTGGTTTTATTAAAATAAATTGGGTGTGTTTTAGACTGATTAGGCTGAGAATAGATCCACAACACTTGAATTTTACTGATTATTTCCAAATATATTTGCTGCTTGTTAATTTGGTTATTGAAATAATTGATTTTATGGTTGTGAAGCGAATAAATTGCTTGATGGCTACTATTAGAAGAATGATTATGTTGAAGATTACTATTAAAATAATGGCTATTGTTGAAATAAGTTTTAAGTTGATGATTATTATTAAAACAAAGATTCCGATGATGGTTATTACTAAAATAAGGGTTATTATGATTGCTATTACTAAAATAAAGGCTATTACTAAAATTAAGGCTATTACTAAAATTAAGGCTATTATTAAAATTGGTTAGTTTAACTAAATAGATTGAAACTCTACTGAGGTTATTAATTATTTTAGAATAGATTGGGCTATTGATTGAATAAATTTTGGTTAGAGAAAACATTCTGTGATTATTATTGGTTTTGAAAAGGAAATAAGTTTTGTGATTATTATTACATTGGATTCTAAAATTATAATGGTTGCATTTAAGGTTATTATTAGATCAACGGCTATTGAAATAAATTGAATGAAACTTGATTCTATTATTATGAAATGGGATTATCAAGCCAAGGAGGAGTAAATAGTTGATTCTGAACACTTTATGTGAAAGGGTTCACATCAGGAGTAATCTATACTTAATCTGATATCAAAGGGGCTATTTTTTATTCTACTAAAGGTTCAACTGCTTATGGCTACTTATTTTCTACAACTTCATTTTTCTGAATTTCAGTTACAGGGTTTGTTGGATACTCTTATGGAGCCTATATTTCTGGTAGTTTTTCTTAGATATCATATTTTTAAACTGTTGGTTTTTTTGATGTTTAAATATCATCAGCATTTTGAGTTTCTTTTTTTCCAGATATCTGTTTTGGATCCTTATTCATAATCAATTCTTAAGGGGGAGGATTAAGTTTTCTAAATTTGGGTTCTGACTTTTTGTTAATAATAACTATAGAATCTGATTCACTTTAATTGTCATCTTCCTGGGCCTTTTATTTATTGGATTTGAGAATATTTTCGACAGTTTGTTTTTCCTTTTCAAAGTTGTATTCAGCATATGAATCTGAATTTCTCAATGAAACCTATGATTTTTTGGCTGTTTGTTTGTTTTGACTTGGCTGTGGATTTTCATCCTTGGTATAAGAAGCATGGAAGAAAAAGCTTTTCCTGTCATCTTCAGGTTTGATGTTGATAATTTCTTGAGAGGATTCTTCCTTCTTCCATCTTGGTTTAGTCGCTAAGTTTTCATGAATTTTAGTCTTGAAATATAATAGTTCAATTGTACTTCTTCTTTATTGAATTTGTAGGAAATTATGGGACACTTCAATAGATCATTTGCTCGCAGCATGGTTAAGTTGTATTCTTTGAGTCTCTCTAAGGCGTATTTATAGGGGTTTAATTTATCTTGCTTCTTCTGAATAATAACAAATTTGTTTTTGAAAATTTAATCCGATGCATGTAATACCTGTTGCGGTTGGCTTTGTCGGGATACTTGAGAAGGCTATTCATTCTAAGGATTGCTTTAAATGCCCAACAAGCTTTAAAGGCTTTTCCTCATTCTGTCAAGAGACATTGAAATCAAATTTTAAATTATTCATTTTTAATATAATTGTTGTCCGTATTCTTATTTATTGAACTTTGATTTTTGTTAATATAAAATTCAATCCCTTTTTTCATTGTGTTAACTCTTGGATTTAAATAATCTGTACCCGGCATACAAGATTGCTGAACCAGCCAAAGCAGCAAATAACCCTTCCTTCGATTTGACTCCATTCTTCATAATAAATTACGAAGCACCAGCAGCCGCAGCCATTGACAACCCTAACATACCCACTTCTTATGGCACTTGCTGAATGATTTTTGATGAAGAGGGTTGACTTTCTGATTGAGACCTATTTAAAAATTACTACTCTGCATCATTTTGTGGCTACAAAGGTTCTGAGTCTTTGACTTGTTGAGTTGGAGATTGAACAAATTGAGCAACCTACTTTTATTATTTTTATTGATTGTTTTTCTAATCTACATGATATCCTTCAATTTTAACAGTATCATTGTGACTGACTTCAACAGGATTAGAGTTTTATTCAGTGTGCAACAGTGGTTTTTGTTCAATGACTTCTCTCTTCTCTACATTGATGATTTCATGGGATGGTTAATTCTCAATATGGGTTTGATCTTCCTATTAAACGTGGACTTTCTCTTCCTCTTGAATCAATTAAGTTTATTACTAATTGGATTCCACCTTCAATTATTACTACGGCTCAGAGTTTACTTAAGTCTAATTAACCTAGACTTCTGTTTAAGGTGCTTAGACAGAAAATAAAGCTTATCCTTTTTATTCAACAGTTGGATTAGGTTAATGTTCTATCGAGTTAAATTATTGAGTTTGTATTGATTAGACATTTGGACTGGGATGTACTTGAGGAATATTATGATTAATCTCAAGATTGACAATAGGATGTTCATGTAGAGATGTAGATTATGCATTGAGTGGGATTTCAATTTGAGGACACTTTTCAATTTGAGTCTCTAAGTTTCTTGATTCCAAATTCATTTGAGGTTGTTACTCGATTGAAACCTCCTGATGATTCTCTAATTGAACAACCGGTATTTATTGTAAGTAAACACCATCATTAGAGTTTTATGTTTACACTTTGGACACCTCTTCAGTCACAATTTCACTTTTATTTTTTTATACTTCTACTTAAACCTAGCCTTATGTTTCTGTTCTCTCTACATTTACTTATTACTACAGCTACGGTTACTTCTCTAATTCTATTTATTAATGAGATTCTGTGTGTGTTTTTGGTTAAATTTCGATATTTGTGTATTCAACTTTGACTTCCATTTTTTGTTCTTAGACTCTCTCCAAAATGACTTAATCATTCTATTTCCTCAATTAGGTTTATGGAGCACCTTCTATCATCACTTAGTCATTTGCTTTCTCTACAAACAGAGGAGCCTAAGCATTTAAAACAACTTCATGTTATTAAATCTAAACGATGGCAACTTCCTCGAGGGATCTCTAGGTTGGAGTTTCTATAGAATGTTCAACCTCATTATCGTGCAATGAAAGTAAGACATTAGGTTTTGAGGATGGGTTGATACTTTCATCATGTGCAGAATCAGATGAAGGTTGATCCAGGAACTATGGTTCTTTGAGTTAGTGGGTCTCTTCATTCTGAGTTTACTCATTCAAAGTTTCTGAGATCTTTTTTGAAGACTCCTTCTAATCAAACTATTAAGATGGCGATTAAATATCATTTTCAACATTTTTGGTGTGTTCTTGTGCATCTGTAACCAAATCCTATTATTTTTGTTTCTGAGCATCACTAAATTATTCAAACTAATCATTCCCTTGGGTGTTTTGTATTTCCTCTATTTGATTCTTTTACTAATCTTTCTACTCATCTTAATCTTACTCCGGCGTTTGATTGTCATTTGGATTTTGCTAATTTTAAGGTACAGCCTACTCTGCAGCAACCTCTTAATTATCTAATTATATAATCAAATCGAGTACTCTATTCATCCTTCAATTCCTGCTCATCTTCTTTTTTATCTATATCTTTTGCAGATTCTATTTGTTCTGCCTACTCGTTTTGATCTTTATTATTGTCTTACTTGTTTTTGGTATTCTATCTTTTATTTTTCCTTGGCATTGATATTAAATTTATTTATAATCACTTTAATCTCATTGTTAAAATTTACATTAATATTTGATATCATTTATGTTATGTTATCGGTACTACATTATAAAGTTAAAGAGTAAATAAAATGGTTTTATTATTATAATAACTATAAATATTTTAAATGCAGCTGAGTAAATTATTATAACTATATTAAATATTATTTATATATATATATTTTAATATATAGATTATAAATATATATATTATGTGAATATGTATTCTAAATGATATTTGTTCACAATTTCGACCACTTTAGAAAATCGATTGGCTCTTTGTCTTATCTTACTCTGCTGATGAATCCTCCTGAACATTCATAGATGGCACCATTCTCTTGACAATCATCACTGCACAAATAGGCAACTAATGGAGCCACATTGTTTGGATTGATGCCTTCAAGCATGTCTTAAGGCAAAATAGTCTCAGTCATTCTTGATGCAGCCACTGGAGATAATATATTGGTTCTTATGTTAAACTCCTCTCCCTCCTTAGCAAGACTAAACGAAAATCCAATGATGGCAGATTTCGCAGTTGCATAATTAGCCTACCCAACCTAACCATACAAACCGGAGCCACTAATTGTGTTGATTATTTTTCCATATCTTTATTTAGCCATATATGGCCATGCAGCCTTACAACATTTATACGTCCCATTTAAATGAACATCAACGACATCCTCATAGTCTTCTTTAGTCATCTTGGCGAAAACATTGTCCTTGATGATGCCAGCATTGTTAATCAAAATGTCGATCCGACCGTAATTATCGATTGCTTATTTGATTATGTGATCCCCATCCAAAATATCATCGTAATTGGCAATTGCAATGCCTCCATTCAAGTTGATATTCCTTACAATCTAAGAATTTATAACTTAATCACCTCATTTACTAATAGATAATTCTCACTATCCTTCTTACATCTATTATTAACAACAACTTTAGCTCCTCTTTCAGCAAAGTAATTACAGTATTCTTTACCTATTCCTCTTGCTGCTCCAGTCACAATAACAACTTTGCCTCTAAAATCTAATGCCATATTAAATTTTTTATCTAAACCATTTGTGAATCCCGTTACATAAAAAGAGTACCAATGATAACAATACAACAATTTTTAATATATTAATGCATTCTCATTCCTATAAAGCCTTTGCTAAAACAACTGTAGAAAATGACACTTCATTGGGATCTCTTTCGAAGAACTTTTGGATGACTTTGGAAACATCAGCCAAAAATGTTTCTGGGGTCGACTTGCCATGATTGATCGGGAATTTCTATTGAATTATTGACCTCAACTTACTTTGCATCCATCCAATTCATAAATATCACCCTCCTTTAAAACAAAAGCAACAAAATGACGATCAACTTCGTCACAACAAGCGCTTTCCCCCTATTCAACAGCCTCCTTGTGAACCTATTTCAATTCCTTAGCCTACTTGAAGGCTTCTCCGATCTATTGAGGAGTCTTCCCTTAAACACTCTTTCTAAACTCTGCCAAATAACTTCCCTCTTGAATTATAGCAGGGTCAACATTCAGAGCAACATGAACCATCGCGATTGTGCCACAAGCATTCTTGGCCAATTATTTCATATAGAACAGATTTGGAGATACGTGTTGACTACATAAGTCTATATCTGATACCCTTTTTCTTGAATTAGATCTGCCTCTTGCTAGACAAATTGATCTGTGTTCTCTTTAATTGGGAAATTAAACACAACACCATAAATAGGCTGGGGTATCATCTCAAAAGCCCAATCTTCGAATCCCAATAAATCATGGAATTATGCTACATCAATATTAATGCCTCAATATAGGAAGTCTATGATACCAAATTTGATTGCTTATTCATTCATAACTTGAGGATTGGATTCGAGAGGCATCCAATTGTCGTCCTATTATTCGATGTCCATTTAAATTGTTAAATTAATTTATTTTATTATTTATTGGATAATCCAATGTAACTATTTGAAATATGTATTCATGTTTGATCAATGTAATTTTTTAAACGAATCTAGTTTTGTTTAACTCTTAGTCTAGTCGATTCTGCCCAAGACCCCAAGAGTAACATAATCTTACTTGTTGGACATCCAGCCTGCAGTCATAATGGACATTTTGTTGATATGTTTCAAGACATTCTTGGCTTTCCCCTAAGAGGAGAAGGAATCTCGCTCATCAACATATTGTTCTTGTGTAGGAGGATTCATAGTAGTCTAATTAGAATTCAAAGGAATTTCAGTTGGACTAGTTTGAATACTGCATATTTGGGATTGCAATTCATCAATTATCATGTTCTATTTGGATAATTTATCTTAATAATCCTGATTAAGGCATTCTATTTCTTAAGCTTTACTCTCTTCAACGTCTATCAATTTTTATTTACATTAGTTAATTTAGATGATCAACTCTTCTTGTTCCTCTCTCAATTGTTTCTTCTCTTCTATTGCCTCATCCAGAACTCTTTTCAATTCTTGGATCTCTTCACTTTGTTTCAACATGAGCGATGTTAACTAATCCTAGATATCTTCATCATTTTCAGATTGTCTATTCAACTCATCAACTTTCCAATGTTCACTCGACAAATTTAAATCTTATTAGCCATTATCTTGTTCAATGTCACTCTCCTTATTAAATATCTGATAAAAGTCATTTAACTATTATTGTAGATCAGCAATAGTACGAGTCTTTGTATCCAGCATCTCATCTCTTAATTGTAATTCTACTTAGAAACAAAGATGTACCTTATTCTAAGAAAGCTATTTGATCATTATTATTAAGTTGGTTATTTTCATCTTTTTGGTTAGCTGACGTCAGACACCTATTTTTTGTTCTGGTATTCTTTGTGCATTAATCTTGCAAAATTATACTTATTTAATTGTTAGGTTAATTAAATTAGCATCCAAAATCATTTTCAGGCGCCAACTTAATTTCTTGATTGTTTTGACAAATTTATTTAATTTACTAATTTTCAATCAATTAATTAAGTTTGATTTCAGTATTAAATTAACATGAAAAGTCTTGTTTGATAGGCTGTCCTGTCTCAAATTAAGCACCCTAATGAATCTGCTTATTCTGAGTATTCAATTGAACACGTTTAGTGTTTAATAATTTGATTTCATCGCCTACAGTGTTGCTAGATTAATTATTATCCTAAACTGATTCATTCACACTTTAAACATCTACCTATTCTTTTTGTGATTCAGTTTAACATTCTTAATTGATAAATGCATTTTGCAACTTGGATTGCTGCAATTATTGCATGTATTGAGATAGTCCCACTCCTATCAATTATTATTCTTTGTCATCGTTTTCTGTGGACTCCCTTGGAAGACTCATCTTACTCGAATAGGCTGTTTGACTATCATTCAATTTTTGCTGCACTTTAATGTTATTTGTATTTTGAATGGATTAAGCAAGGGAACTATTATTTTCTTCTTAAAATTATTTTCTTTCTAAAATCATATACGTTAATACATTAGTACTTTTCCAAATACCGCTCCAACTTGTTTTTGTTAGTGCTGGGATCTAGTTTGCCCTTAATTGCAGAAGGAGGCTTCTTTTGCTTGTGGGAATGCTTTACATTGTGCAGTTGATGACTACTTTACAAGAAGACATCTTGGAGAGTTCCTAAAACATCTTATTTGGAAACATGATGTTGCATAATTGAAATCACAGATAATAAAAATTAATATCAAAATAATTCTTAAGCATATCGAACTTGTATTGAGGTTATTTAAACATGATTCTGTTATAGAATTTAATTCATTATGCAAATTATGATGATTCCAGTATAACTTAATTAAAGATATTTTAATATAATTTATCTCGTGACTCCAAGTTCCTAATCCTCTCACTGAAATTATGAGGGTACATCATTCCTATTCCACATTTTCATAGTAATTTTTAACCTTAATCCGTTCTTTGTAATCTCTTTAAATCATAAATCAAACAAATTCAAAATCAAATATTCTTATTTCAAAATATCATGCTTATTTCCTTCGAAAAACCTATCTATCTTATGTGTGAGTATTGCAGAAAGACTCAGGGTAGTTGCAGAAATGCTGGATTGTTCGAACTTGCTAGCCCAATGATAAATTTATATTTATAAACGACTTTTATAACAAAGAGACGAGAAATATGTAGTTCTAAGAAAGGACAATTATATTTCTATCATTTATAATAATGTTCTTTTAATTCCTAAATCTGTAAGCGCTTTATCATATCCAATTGTTTTTTGATGAAAGCCTGTTTCTAAGTGTTCTTCGAATTGTAAGGTGACTGTAGGAGCTCGAGAAGTTTTTTTGTTTGTAAAGGTTTCAACTTGGAAGGACTTCCTGAACTGTTTTGATTTGTCGCTCTCTTTTGCACTTGAATTCGACCAACTCTTGGACTGCCTGGCCGAGTAGATAGAGGAGTCACATACATAAAACCCTTTTTTACATCCGGCAGCGTGTCTCTGCTGGGCTTGCTTGTCTCCTAGAATGTAGAGATTCCAATTATACTTGAGTCGAACCTGACATAAGTAAAGAAACCTTCTTCTTCTTATCCTCGCCATAAAATTGAAGACTTAATTCCTTATAGAATTGGTCAATTTCATTTTCAATATTCTTTTCTTAATCTGGATCAAAGCTATGAAGAGAAAATTGATCATCGTCTGACATTATTTTATATAAAAATATTAATCACTATGCTAGTTTGTTTACCTAATACAAAACTGCTTTTTCTAAATGGCTTAGAACAGCAGCACTTTCTTATGGAAACTACTGTAATGAATAGAGCATAATGCTTTTGATCTCGTTCAGTAATTACTTTTATCCTTTTAGAGATTTCAATACATCTATCCAAAATTTCATGTGTTCTTCATTATTTTGCACACTCATTTGCAATCTTTCAATAGTGCCCAGCATCGAAGAGTAAGTGCTTCTGCAATCATTTACTAAGTCCCTGTATTCAGCAGCGTAGGTTCTCCAGAATTCAATTTTTTAATCCTGTATGAATTCATACAACCTTTCATCTTGGAGTTCAGAATTTAATTTAGAGATAATTTTAAAAATTTCGTTTAAACTTTTGAGCAACCTTCTTTAATATTCTAGAAAATCGATGCTTAAAAATTAATAAGCATCATTAAGTTTCTCAATCTCCAAGTTGATTTGGTTTTCTTCCTCCTCCAATTTCGTAATGGAGGTTTTGAGGAAATTGGGATCAATCTTCTTGGTGTCGAAGTGCTTCTGAATAAAGGAGTTGGTCTCATAGAGTTGCCATTTTTCTAATTTTTCATTTTATAGTTATAAACAATATTTTTAGTTGTCATATTTGGATGAATTGATTTTGAGTTTCAAAGCCTAGATGTTCGAGTCTCTCTTTTAACCAACCAATAGGTAATTGTTAATGAGTCTCTGAATAACTTAAGTGATGGAGATTACTAATTAAGACCATTGTTTGATATCTGAGAAACTTAATTGAGGGTCCAAGATTTGATTCATGAGCGTAATGAGTGAGATAAACAATTTGTTAAAGATAGGATTGGTTGATTTATAGAAGAGCAAGGTATCCATTAATGTTAGAATGGCATGTTATTTTAAACTTGTATTTTCTAGAACTTGAAATTGTTGAAACAAAAGTAGGCTTTGTTCTTGTATATGATCTAAATTCTAATTGGTTAATTTCAATTGTTCTGACAATTTTGAAGGCACAAAGATAGTGCTTGACAAACTATTTTACATTATTGATTAAATCAATTAATATAGATGTAAATTTATAAAAGTAGTTAACTACATAAATTAAGGATCACAATTTGTCTAAATAGTCATTGAGATCTGGCAATTAGACTTTGATTCCCTTTCTCTTTCTAATACTCAGCACCAACTCATTAAGTTTGGACCCAGCTTCAAAAGGATCACTATTGAGCACAGCCCAATGATCGAACACACATTACGGGAAGGCTTAACCCTGGGTCAGCCCTCTGAGATGGGCTGTGAATCCGAAAGACTCCGAAACAGGCAAATATGATCTAATCTAAAAATATTAAATTGATATGATTACTATTGAAAGAGGGGTTCCTGCAACTTGGTCTTCTTCTATAATTGTTCCTCTTCTCATATTTAAACAGTTATACACACCACCAGCTGAATCAATAGGGACAGTGATTTCTGCTAGAAAGACAGGCTCTTATAATCTTGGCTGTGCAGTCAGTTCGCAAGCATAGAACAGTCTTCTGGCTGCAGGCATTATCTGTCTTGCTCCTCTGTGGACCGAATCAGAATGCAAGACACAATCTAGGATGTTCACTCTAATTCCCCTTTGATTCTCTTCGCAAAGAGCTCCCGCTTTTGTTGCAATCTACCAAGCGGACTCCATTGAATCTCTTATTTCATTCATGTATTAGACTCCTGATGTTTTTTCCAACAGTATGTTTGGACCAACATTGTCTGGTCCAAATGACCATATTTTAAGAGCATCATCCTTATCCCATTCATATTATGCTGTCAGTAATTAAGCTCTTTCTTTGTTGTCATCCTTTGCCGTTATCTCTCCTTTTTCAATTGCATTTTGTAGACCTTCCAGGAGTGGCTCAGCTTAAGCATAGAGTCTATTATGATTATTAGCTGATTTAGCCAGACATACAATCTTTGATGTGGATTGAACGGTCTCCTTATATGATACAATTGGTTCCGATCGTATTATCTCGATATTAGCAAAGTCCTTCTCTAAATCATTTAAACATATTTCAACATGCAGTTCTCCACATCCTGCTACTATATTCTATCCATTTTCCTCCTGTGTGCAGAGTACCAGTGGATCAGATTTGGCCAATCTCTTCAAACCCTCGACTAATTTTGGGAGTTCTGCTGGATTTTTAGGTTGGACAGCCACTCTGACAACAGGTGATACTGAATATTTCATCGATCTGATTAAATGACATTCTGGATGATCTGAGATTGTACCAGTCTTCAACAATACATCATCCACACCAACTAAACCAACAGTATTACCACAAGGGACATCAGCAAGGTATTCGAACTTACTGGCCATCATCAATACTGTTCTTTGAATTGGCTTTTCAAATAAGTCATCTTTTTTTCCAGGCTTATAATTTGGACCCATAATTCTAACCTTTTATCCTGTTCCTATGGTACCTGAGAACACTCTACCAAAGGCAAAGAACCTACTTCTATCAGAAGTTGGCACCATCTTTGATACATACATAATCAAGGGTCCTTTGGGATTGCACTCTCTCATTGATTAAGCTATGATATCATCTTACGGTCCTTCATAAAGATAAGATGTTCTGTATTTCTAGGCCTCTTTAGGTGAAGGCAAATGACAAATAATCATCTCAATCAAAGTGTCAGCAGCATTAATCCACTTGGACATGACAGCCTTTAACAAAACTTTACCACTTAATTTCTACTCCTCCTAAGTAAGTTTCAACCCTAAGACATTAAACATCTTGTTGGCCATTTCCATATTGCCTTCCATGACCGCAGTGGCCAACTTACATATAGGATCCATAATGAAAGCAACGAAAGCTCTCTTCAATTTCTTTCCTGAAGCTCCTTCATTATCCTTCCTCCAACATTTGGTCTCATCATCGAAATAATTGTCACCCCACAATCTTTCTTGCAATTTCTTTGGTTCCACTTTGAATTTTGCAGAATAGATCATGGCGAACTTTGTACATGAAAATGCCCAGCATTCCTTACCTGATCCAAAGGATACTGATCCAAGTTGTGGCTATACTTGTAATTCTCCCATATCTTCTTATTGATAAGTGGAGATGATCACATTCACATTATCAATGACTTTGACAAAGTTCTGATACATAGTTTCACCATCATGTTTTTACTCCAGTATTGCTCTATCAATCTTATTTATCATCACTACTGGTTTGATCTTCTCTTACATGGCTTGTCTGAGTACTGTCTCTGTCTATACACAGACTCCTTCCACACAATCTACTACCACCAAGGCTCCATCAGTTACTCTGAGAGCTGCTGTGACTTCTGAACTAAAATCCACATGTCCTGGAGAGTCAATTAAATTGATCAAAAACTGTTCCTTCGTGTTGTTGTAGTTAATGTCATATTCATAATACAATGATACTCCAGTAGACTTGATTGTAATTCCTCTCAACTGTTCGTCTTATCTGGTGTCAGTCATCCTTTTTTCTCCACTCTCTTTAGCTGACAATATTCCAGCCTTGCAGAGCAAAGAATCAGTGAGTGTAGACTTTCCATGATCAACATGAGCGATGACTGACATGTTTCTGATGTTTTTCTGCTTATTCATAATCTCTCTTATTTAATCTACAGTGAAATTAACCATTATTTGTTATTTTTTATTTTAATTATTGAAAATCAAATGATACTAAAATGCGCTATTTAAGCCAGAAATTTCTGATAAAATCTGGTAAAAAAGTGAATTCTTTATTAAATATATATTATAGACTATTAATGAAAGAATTAAAATATTTAAATTGCAAATTATAATCAACTACATAATTCTGAGATCAATTTATCTAGATTTTCCAAGTTCTCATCTTTCACTCTACTGTTCAGAACTTTGGAATCTTGCAAAATGATCTGAGTATTCACTAAAGTAACTGGCTGGAAATTCTCTCCTCTATCTACAACCAATGCTATTTTGTTTCTCTCAGTCTGCTCTTTCAATTTAGAAGACACCAATGTTTATTCTGGATTCTTAGATGCATTACCAACCAATCCCTAAATTTCCTCCAATAAATCATCGATTTAGAGATCAATCTTATCTTCCTACATCTATTCCTGCCTATTAAACTCAATATGATGGATTGGCTCATATTATTATTCCAATAGTAATGGTTCATTCTTTTATAACTCTCTAGTAAACGAAACCGACGCTGATTAACCTTCAGTCTTATAAGGCTTAGGCTTAATTGATTCCATCTCAGAAACCCTATCTTGACCGGTATGCACTCTTCTATGATAATCCAGATCATTCATTATGTTGATGATGCTCTGGGAGTGCATATTGTTCTCCTCCTGGAAATAGATTTTTGATTCATCTTGCAACCCTTTTGAATTTTTGACTATTACAGTTTAGACAGTAGGTTCCTTCTTCGTTTCGTGCACTTTCGTGGTGGTGTATGGCAGTTCTTATTAAAAATAGTATGAGGATTCTTAATTTAACGATTAGGGCTCATAGCCAGTTAATGCATATTTAGCTGTTTTAAATAATGTGTTGTTCTCCTAAGTTATTTGATAATCGTTAGATGAAGTGAAGTTGCGACTTATTAATTGAATCCTCTTGGATGCCTCTTGTTTTTCTCTCTCCGATTTATTTAACATCAATTGCATCGCATCCAAGTCTCGAGTGAATTAGGCTTAGGATTCCGAATAATATTATTTGAGAATGTCTATTTCTATTCTCTGCTTGGCTGATTTATTGTAATTATTCATAATAAATTAATAATAATGAAGAAGGCAATCAAGCAAAAAGTGAAGATGTTGGGAGCTTTGGAATTGGATCGTCAAATGAAACGGAAATTGGAATCCACTAATTACTCAATACTATAGAATTTTGATGTATTTCAACACCCATATTGCAGTACTTTCGATCTCTTTTAGCAAGACCTCATAAACACTATGCAGATGTTGAGTAATTGAAGAAATTCTTATAGCACATACCATATCTTAAGGAAATAACTGAAGGCATGTCGATGAGATTGGTTGAGAAGATCATTCATTAATTATCATTAAAATTCCTACCAGCTAATAGTTAATGTGATTCTTAATTTCAGATCATGTTGAGTGGAGAAATCCAAATAGGCCAAAGAACCTTTGTGTAGACAGACACCATAAATGAAGTCGGCTAGGTTTTAAGGGATTCTTGGGTTCTCGTTTTAAGTAATGAGGGGTACAATGACCTTATCAGGGAATACCATGAAAATCTCATGGCTCAGAAATTGCACCTTATATAGCAATATTCAGTTTTCAGCAAAATAAGCATTCAAAGACTAAAAAATCAATTGGATTAATTCAAATAAGAATAAGCGACCAACAATACAGTTCTATACCAGGAGAAACAACCAGCCGATTCATTCTACTTAGTAGTGTAGGGGGAAGTCAAATTGGTACAAGAAGAAATTGAATTGTAATTATTGGGACCTAAAAGTGTTTTTGGAGAAATGGAATTGGTGGAAGGATATGAATTTAGATAACACAAAGCTGTGGTTACATAGCATATCTCCTATTACAGGATAGGATATCATCAAGTGAAGATTCTCTTAAATTCCAGTGGTTTATATGAAACTTTTTGTTCGAATTATCACATCAAAGCCTAGTTTTGGAAGGCAAGAAAGTAGCAATGCAAAAAAGAAGTGATCATCCCTATTGATTACTCTGAATTCAAGTATGACATTCCTAAGACATATCACAACTATCTCTCAGCTTCCAAATTGTTGAAATATGCAAAGTAGAACACTTCTAATCCTGAAGATGATTACAAAGAAACTAAAGAGGATAAATTGCTTGAATCATACAAATAATTCAATCACCAAATTAAATTGAATTTTAAGCAAAATCATTTATTGAGGAAGGTGTTGATTTAAGCTAAGCAAACTAATCATGATTTGCCCATCATGAAGGGATTGCAATTAGAAAAGTATCTACCCAAAAATCATTTTACACATAAAAAGTCTTTGAAAATTATCAGTCAATTCAATGAAACTGCCTATCAAAGATTTGTTTCAGATATTGAATCATATCCTTCAACAACCACCTTTGTCAAAGGATCTCGATTATTTAGTGCAGCAAGTAGGTTACAATCAGCTGCAAGTAGATTATAATCAGCAGCTCCAAAATTATTTACAAGCCCTTCAAAATTACAATAATTTAGACCAATAACAGCAATTAAAAGATCTATTAGTAATGGACCTTAATGACTAAGATGTATGTAAAATTTTGTAAATACTTTTTACAAACATCCATATATATACATAATCAGTTTTTTTGTTTTTTTGAATTAACTACCTTTAGAATCTTTTTTTATATTTTTTGACTTAGTCTAACTGGTCTTACTAGTCTTAATTTATTTTTGTGGGTATTCCTTACTTGATTTTAATCTGAAATCTAGAATATTCATAGGCTATTAAATTTACTATTCAATTTTGAATTTTGGAGTCACATCAAATCCAAAAGATTTACACAATCTCATGGGATTCAATTTTAACACATCATAATCATTTTGATCTAATTTGTGTTGATATGTCTAATCTCAATAGAATAATGTACATAGATAAAATCCTTATAAACCTTTTCAGCTAAACAATTAAGATTATAATTGCTAGATACTAATTTCATAACATCTTAAGTTGCAAATTATTCTAATTTATTTTTTCTAATTTGCTTTCTGCACATTTTAGGNATTCAAATAAGAATAAGCGACCAACAATACAGTTCTATACCAGGAGAAACAACCAGCCGATTCATTCTACTTAGTAGTGTAGGGGGAAGTCAAATTGGTACAAGAAGAAATTGAATTGTAATTATTGGGACCTAAAAGTGTTTTTGGAGAAATGGAATTGGTGGAAGGATATGAATTTAGATAACACAAAGCTGTGGTTACATAGCATATCTCCTATTACAGGATAGGATATCATCAAGTGAAGATTCTCTTAAATTCCAGTGGTTTATATGAAACTTTTTGTTCGAATTATCACATCAAAGCCTAGTTTTGGAAGGCAAGAAAGTAGCAATGCAAAAAAGAAGTGATCATCCCTATTGATTACTCTGAATTCAAGTATGACATTCCTAAGACATATCACAACTATCTCTCAGCTTCCAAATTGTTGAAATATGCAAAGTAGAACACTTCTAATCCTGAAGATGATTACAAAGAAACTAAAGAGGATAAATTGCTTGAATCATACAAATAATTCAATCACCAAATTAAATTGAATTTTAAGCAAAATCATTTATTGAGGAAGGTGTTGATTTAAGCTAAGCAAACTAATCATGATTTGCCCATCATGAAGGGATTGCAATTAGAAAAGTATCTACCCAAAAATCATTTTACACATAAAAAGTCTTTGAAAATTATCAGTCAATTCAATGAAACTGCCTATCAAAGATTTGTTTCAGATATTGAATCATATCCTTCAACAACCACCTTTGTCAAAGGATCTCGATTATTTAGTGCAGCAAGTAGGTTACAATCAGCTGCAAGTAGATTATAATCAGCAGCTCCAAAATTATTTACAAGCCCTTCAAAATTACAATAATTTAGACCAATAACAGCAATTAAAAGATCTATTAGTAATGGACCTTAATGACTAAGATGTATGTAAAATTTTGTAAATACTTTTTACAAACATCCATATATATACATAATCAGTTTTTTTGTTTTTTTGAATTAACTACCTTTAGAATCTTTTTTTATATTTTTTGACTTAGTCTAACTGGTCTTACTAGTCTTAATTTATTTTTGTGGGTATTCCTTACTTGATTTTAATCTGAAATCTAGAATATTCATAGGCTATTAAATTTACTATTCAATTTTGAATTTTGGAGTCACATCAAATCCAAAAGATTTACACAATCTCATGGGATTCAATTTTAACACATCATAATCATTTTGATCTAATTTGTGTTGATATGTCTAATCTCAATAGAATAATGTACATAGATAAAATCCTTATAAACCTTTTCAGCTAAACAATTAAGATTATAATTGCTAGATACTAATTTCATAACATCTTAAGTTGCAAATTATTCTAATTTATTTTTTCTAATTTGCTTTCTGCACATTTTAGGTACTATTAATTCAACAATAATATTTATATCTTCTCTTCAGGAAGAACAAATATCAAGCCGCTCTTAACTTCTTACAAAGGAGGATCATAATAAATTTATAATGTTTAATTAGCTGGTTGTTATTATCATTCATCTGACATTTTAGTATTTTAATTGAAATCCCGAAAGGTTTTTAAATAAAATATGATGTGTTTAAATTCTTGGAGTATACTATGTTCTGAAATCTGTTTTTATTCCCATCAAAATAGACAACTCTTGCAAAAACTAAATAGTGGAATATAATTACATTAATTTAATTTTCAGAGAAGACTACAACAGTATTGGATCTAATTCTTTTCACTATGCTTATCAACAATTAAAGTCTTTCATCATGTTCCACTAAAATGTAATTCATAAATTAAATTATAATTAAATGTCTCTTATACTCAGTCAAATCAATAAGGATAATGTAAAAGTGGGCAAAGGCTGTTGTATAGCTTTGGGAGTGCAAATCATATCAGAAATTGGTGAAATCATCATTGGCGATTACACAATCATAGAAGAAGGATGCTTCATTCGAAATAATCACATTAAGAAAATGGTCATTGGATCTTATAATGTTTTCGAAATTGGATGCAAAGTTGAGAATACCAATATTGGAGATTGTAATGTATTTGAAATGAGATGTACAACTTTTCGATAGGCATAATTGAAAGTGACTGTACAATTGAAAATAATTGCAGATTTGGCATCAATTCAAGAATTCCACCTAAACAGAACCTCCCTAATTTCTCTAGAGTATATTACCCATTTAATTGTTTAAAAGTGCCTCCGTATGATTCATCTTAACATAAAGAAGAAATTTCAGAATTATGTGCTGCTCTGTTTTAGATAGGATCAAAGAAGTGATATATTAATACCATGCTTGATTTAATGTAATTTAAACACAAATTAAAACACTGAGCATGTCAATCAATTCAATAAGAATACTTCCATTTCTATTATCAAAGGTGATCCATCCATGATGGACTCGCCCTTCTCTTAAGCAAATTCATAAGCGTACCCAATATTACTTGAACATTGATCAAATGTGGATCCCTATAAACTTAGATCAGGGCCTTAGCCAAATTGTGGTCCCACCAGATGTTTAGAATATAAAGTAAATCTATGATCTCTTATTTGATAAATGTGATTCTTTGTATATGAGAATAGGAATGACTTTTTGGCAACATCAACCATATAATCTCCATAAAGTGATGGGATGTAAGGAGGCAAAGTGAGTGCCCCAACTATTTGATTGTTATGAAATCTGGCAATTAACAAGGTAGAGCCATACTTCTTCAGACTTTACCAGAATGCATTTATCGAAAGTCCGTCTCTTTTACTCTTGTAAATTAATTCAGCTTTAGTGAAATTCAATTACTATCCAATAATTAGGCGATTTATAATGTAATCCATTTCCAGAAGTTCTGATTGCTCATTAAATAAAATTGGCTCCACATTAGGTTTCATATCCAGAGTCAATCTTTATGAGTTCTTAGATATTAAGTCCTAAAGGATATTTTTAGTTTTATTAAATTCTTCATCTGTTTTCTTTTATAATTGTATTACTTTAAGTGCTAATTTAGAATCGTTGTTTATTAAGATTTCCTTGAGATCATTACCACCTTAAAGTGATTCATTAGACTATTTAAGCAGTGTTTCTATTTGTTTATTTTATTCCTTCTATAATTCCTTAACTTACGATATAAACTACTTTTGTAACTCTAAAATAGATAAGGATTGTTAATCTAACTTATTTTGGAGTCTATTATAGATTACACATGTTACTTTAACAGTTAGTTGTCCAGCTGTTGAGTAGTATAAATTAAATATAGCACTGGAATGATGATGATAAGAGTAGTTATTTTTGTAGGAAGGTAATCAGTTTTGGGCATTGTCTTCACTCCTTCTAAATCAGCAATTTTTTTCTATAATTATTGGATTGTCTTCTTCCTGTATTCACTATCACATTTTACTTAATTGTTTGAGAATCCTGTAATTCTATTGAAGCTATATAAGTTTCAATATTCCTCTTGATCTCTTCAAATACTTGTTTCAGGGAATCTTCAAATTTTGTATCATTCGATAAGTACTGCTCTATATGAAATTGAAATTTCTCTTTCTGAAATTGCAATCCTTATCTAATCAATGAGACCAAGCCATTCAATTGTTTTGGGCCTTCCTCAACTTATTATTCAATCTTCTTGAATACTTGATTCTGAAACTCCGAACTCTTGCTAGAAAATGATTCTAATTTAAGTTTGTTAATGTTTACTTAAAGTGCACAACTCTTTGAATTTGTCTTTTTTGAATTGATGCGCATCAATTATCATCTGATTATACAGTTCAAGCTTCTTGTTGCTTCTTCTTATGAGATCATTGACAATAGAATCAAAAGTCACGAATTCCTCATAATGTTTAATGCTATTTTTATCTGTCTTATGTAATTTCACTAAACACTCATGACAATGCAACTGCTTCTTCTTCGATGTATAACATTCCTTATTCAGACAAAGATATTTCTCCTAATTCTAAGTGTCTTAGCATAAGCTAAATTATCTTTATTCCATTTTTAATTCAATTATAAAACACAAGTCTTATTTTGTTAAATTCTTTAAATTTTTCACAACTCCTCTTAAATTAGGCAAGTAACTTTGAAAAATAGATCCAACAAATTGCAAATACACAAGAAATTCCACTGTAAAACACACAAAATCAGAGTATGGCTCTTATTTAAGAGTTGTATATAAAAACATTTCATTATTTTACTTTTATTCTCTCAATAATCACTCTCAAATATTATGTTCAATATTAGTTTTAATGATTAATAAAATTTAAGAGAGTTACTTTTAGACTTTTTTAGAAGAAGAGCCCTCAATCTAAAAAGTCAAATCTATATAGATGTAGGTCAACAAATATACAATTTAAAAGAAAACCAATCAATTTGAATCAGAAAGTCTTGATAGTAGCAAGAGTGTCTTCAATTCAGATTATGATCCCAAACCTATTTTTGAAACACAACCTCGTTACTATACTACCAATTCAATATACAAGAAAAATAAGATGATTGACAGATTATCCAATGCTTAAAATGTCAATTAAAAATTAGCTCAAAGAAAAAGGATTCAGTCATTTCAATTAGATGAAGATGCTTACAGCTTTGAAGAAGAAGAAAGCCTTCCTGATAATTTGATGGACGTCAATCTCTACTTCAGATAAGATGCTATTGTTTCAGTCCAAAAGATTCTTTCAACCTAAAGAAAACTATCATGATTCAACTTTCGTAATTTATTTCTATACAATATTATTCTAATCTAAATTTCAAGAAGAACTGACTTATGAGAAACAAGTCCTATAGAACCTCTGATTTCTTTTTTGTTATTATCGACAATTCTAACTTTCATACTGAACCAATTATTTCATGTTTTTAATCACAGTTCTTTTATCGCATAGTATTCAAAGCAACAGATTTTTATGACTTAGATGAGGATTTTCTACAAAAACCTAATTAATATTAAAAAATATGAAATCTTTAAAAATTGGGCGTCTTATGTTTTATAATTTGTGATTTATAATAAAATTAAAATTGTTATGAAAACAAGTATTTCTTCGATTCCATTAAATTAGTTCTCATTATTATTTGATCGATAAAATAGCAATCTCCTCCTTATTAATCACTTAATTTGAACCTTTATTCGAATTAAAATGAATCATCTAAGATCTGTACTTTTAAATATAATTCATAAATAATTGAAATCAATCAAATTTTATATATGTCCAAGTTCTAATTATCATTTAGTGATATTAATTACATACATTATTGTAATCTAAGTTATGAAAATTATAATAATTTTTGAATACTCTTAAATATATTATGGAGGCATAACGGAGTGTTTATTAGGAAAAATATCTTGATTTATTTTGAAAACCCTATTGTATTCTTAGAGCCTCATACTCGTTTGAATTAATAAATTTTAAGCATTAAATTTGTTTCTAACTTATATAAAGATTTGAAAATTTTGAAATGTTTTTATTCCAATATAGTTTTGAATGTCACTTATTGTTTCGTTTTTGATCAAAATGATTTCTCAATATTTTGAATAAATCGACATTGGTAGCTCAGCATTCAGTATTTATTCCTAAAGTAAACTAAGTGGGTTAATAATTACTTACATCCAGATTTTAAATTTATAGTTGTTTTTCTGTAAATCATTAATCTTAAAAATTTATTTTCCATTCTTAAGCATTTATTCTATCTAACTACGAATTCTTAGATTTCATTTAGAATCCAACATGTATAACTGAAAAAACCATGTTGTTCTTTTTCTGTACATTTATAAGTTTATTTTTTTTATATGAATTGATAATGAATTACATGTAGTTTTCTAAAGAAAATATTGTATTATTTTTTGTAAAACAATAATTGCTTCATTTAACATTTGAACTCAAATTAAATATAAGTTGTGTTTTTAGAATTGAAAGAATAAATATAGATTTTTAAAATGAATTTTTGGTTATTATTAATTTCTCTTTATTTTAAAATAATTCCTTAAAGCGTATTTCAGATTTTGATTGACAACTTTCTTTTCTGATATTTTAATTAAGAAATGCATTTACAAATTCATATGAAAATGAATTTAAACATTATTCAGCTAATAATGACAGATTACTTTGCTTAAAATTAATCTATAGATTTGACCAAATATTATTTCATATACATTTTTATATTAAGCTCTTATCAATAGACTTTTAATTAACTGTTTTAATAGTATTTAATCTAGCTATACAAAAGTTTATTATTAAAATATATTATATTGAGTAGTTATTTAAATAAACTAATATTATGCTTGTGTAGCCTCAAATAAATGCGTAATAGGGTTCTTCCTCAAGATCTATGTCAATTTCAATGGATGATTCAATCTATACTTAAATACAGCCAATAGTTTAAAAAATGACTGTCGTCAATTAACATTAACTTTAAGTGAGAAAGCCATCTGATGCTGCTCAAGAAATGCTCCGATCACCTCCAACAACCAGTGTAACACCGTAGATTGCATCAGACAGACCGCCCTAAAGTGAAATGTAGGATTTGCTTCTAATTAAGGAGGAACCTAGTAACATAGAGTAGTCTGTGCAAATTAGTGACCGTTGTAAGGGGGCACATTAAGCTCAAAATAATAATTTAAGTTAATAAAGCATATTAATTGATGAAAAACCTTAGCATTCTTATAGTGATGTTCAATGGAGTAGGTTAATATCACTAAAAACTGTAAGTACTCATCCATCGTTTCAACTCAACATTTTATGCGATAAGGCCGCTGCTTTTGATCAGAGCAATTCTCTTAAAACTTGTTTCCATCCAAAGAAATAAAATCTCTATTATCATACTAGTAATATTATATATTGTATGTATTTATGTTTCTTTATTACCTAATTGTTGATTAATTTACAAGACAGTTTTAAAGAATAACATATTTATTAGATTTTATTAATTATCTTTTAAGTAATACACGCACTCAATCAAATTATATTTGAATAATATGAAAATGGTGAAATAATTAATAGCATTCAAAAATTAATACAAAATTATTTCAAAAAGTAATCAATTTTTGATATAATCACCTCGATTCCTGTAATTTTAGCATTGTCATCTGACGAGATGCCTTTCATATAGCTTTTGCACATAATCAGACTATGGAAGTTAAGATAGTTGGTGAAAGGTTTCGAATTAATATATGGCTAAATAATCTAATATACATATTATATATTGGAATTTCACTTTGTCTAATTCATAGCACTGACTATTCTTTAATTTAATCATGATAGGTAAGTGAACTTTTATGACGAATTCATTGTGCTGTTCTACAAGTCGAATGAAAGTAATGCAATAACTTACCTTATAAGATTGCTCATTCTAATATATTATTGCTATTGTATTTTTAGATTCACTCTCAAGGAAAGTCTAGATGTGCATAAACTATCATTATCCTATGATACAAAGCAATAAATCAAGGCTTACATTAATAAATTGAACTCTCAATAATCTGAGGATATGAATTTTTTATCTCATTTGCCACAAAAATATGTAGTCGATGTAAAATTTTAGCGTTACTTTCATTTGCTCTAAAAAATGCCTATATTTAAGTCTTCGTTTTCAGAAAGCACTTTGAGATAAATTTGCAGTTTGATTTAAGAGTACACCTACGTACCAAATCAAATAGTGTTGATGTAATAAACATCTAACTAACATTTGTTCATGATCTTGTCAGGGGAAGTGCAAATATCTTAGAAGAAGGAAGGAGCTTCTAATCCAGACTTCAAAATTAAGATAATTGGAAAGGATTCAATCTTTAATAATTAGGCTTTCTTCAAAAATACATACTCCAATATTAATGCAACTTCTATAGGATATTCTTAAATTGCTCAATTAGATTTAGAATTATTTTTAGATTGTATTAAATCTCATTATCAGGAGAGATAAAAATACAAGATGATGGTTGATTAAATAGTGCTTTATGAAATTTATAGTTTATGTTAGTTGTGTTGCTATGTATGTGGTAAATTTCATGATATCGATGAATGTGATCATGTACATTATGTTCCAAAAAAATAGATTTTGGTTTAATACATCTAATCAAATGATTTATAAATTCGGAGAAATTATTTCAGACCTAAAACTAAACAAAAATAAAATCGGTTAAAATCTCATATCCTTAAAATTGAAGAGGCTGCACTTTAATATTAACAATAAAACTTTGAGTCAGATAACACTGATGAAAACAAAAAATACTAAGATGAGGTCATCAGTATCCAATAACCATATTTAGGAGAAATGAGTCATCCATATTCAGAAAGATAACCTTCTCTATAATAATCCTAATAGACTCCAAAGAGAGGATCGTAATATTCAATGCGAGACTCATTGCACTCACTGTAACAACAATAATAACAATAACAATAACATTAATTGATGGATATCCCGAATATTAGTCCAGTTCAGTATATTTAATAACCACCAAGTGGAATATCCCACAGTTCGTATGGTTAATTATTTAAAGACGTTTCAATTAACAGAAAGAATTTTAATGGGTCTTCAGATAAAAATTCTAGTGGCAATGTGTTTTCTTTACCCTACAGCAGCAATGGAAGTAAAAATACTCCTAATAACATGATTTCTAAATAAGAGAAGGATGAATTGATTAGTATTTAAATGAAAAAAAAAGCAAGGCTGCAAGACAGTGTTTATTATCATTAGAAGCGAATACAGAATCAATTGGATAATTGCAGTTAAAATACTCATTCAAAATACTAAAAATATCACACGACTCAACCGTAATAGTAATAGACCAAAACTATTCGTTCTGATAGGAAATCGAATTCTTGCATCTCTGAATCTGAGAAAGGGGAATATCAAGTATAATAGCAATAAGAAGTGCAACCATCCAGATATGGTATTCAATCGTCCAAGTTTACAGGAGAAACAGCTAAATAATTTATGAGAAACCCTTTGGAAATGCCTAATCTTGAATTTTATCAGTCTTTTGAGAAGAGTAATCAATTCAGCGATTACTTTCCTCAGTATAATGTAGATTAAGCAATTGAGAGCTATAAACAATACTAACAATCTAGATCGAGTGCACATAAATGAATATATTTTATATATATAGATGTCTATCTTTATTAATATCTTTTATACAATTCAAAATTGGGAGATCCTGGAAACATATTATTTTATGTAATTATTAAAAATAACAATATAAGGTTTAATTATATTATTATTCTAGTTTTTAATTATATTTGAATAAAACAAAATGAGCGCCCTTAAGGCTAAAGGTAGGAAAGTCTTTGAAATTCCAATTTGTACAATTTGTTTGGATCCGATGATAAAAGACCTTTGCGTTTTTACAGTTTGTGGCCATGTGTTTCACTACAATTGTGGTGTAAATTGCCATTAAAATTCAAGAAAATGCCCTAATTGTCGTATGAGATCCACAGAATTATAGTCATTACATTATGCTGTTGAGGAAATATCAGGAATAGACGAATAAATGAGTTAACTATTAAATGATTTGACCGTCGATTAAAAATAACATATGGCAAAATTATTGGCGGATCACGAAGAATTATTGCATGAGAATTAAAGAATAAAACAAAGAAATAAATTTGTTGAAGAAAAAAATGAATCTATCTAGACTGAAGTTTAGCATATACAAGCAGAACTTAAACGCTGTTTGGAAAAGAATAAGGAATTGGAAGGCAAGGAGAAGCTATAATAGTCAAAACTAAAGACCCTTGAAGTTTGCTTTTAATCATTAGAAGAAGAAAATAGAAAATTAAAGTAAGAAATTGAAAAAAACGACACACTTTTAAAAGGTTATGACTATTTGGAGAGTCTAGCAAAAGTAATCAACAATCCGAATGAGGATATGTACTTGAAATTAATAAGATAAAAAAGTCCTAGTGAATAAGCTAAATAGATTTACGATTTGTATGTCATAAAAATGGGGTAATTCAAGAATGTGCAAAAAGAAGTGGTTCAATTGTAAGAATAAAAGGAATAGCAACAAAAAAAATACGAATAGTTATAATAAAAATATGAAAGAATGAAAGATTTATATGAGGAAATTCAGAAGGAGAATCTATCCATCAAAGAACTTTCAAGAAGTCAGAATCAAAATCCTATATAGAAAATTATAGAGCATTATGAGGATAAATAGGAGAATGAATTCAAACGGAAACCTGTGATGATGCAAAAACCAGTCTCATTCGGATGCTCTTAATTAAGAAAACAACCACTGAGTTAAAGTTTATTGAAAAAATGATATTAATTTATTTATGTCTAAATTACCTGAATTCAAGATTCCCAATGTCGTGGATCCTAAATTGTGGCCAAATCCTCGCACAATGACTCCCCAGTAATTGCAAACATACACATCGTTGGACATGGTCAAGTTGAACTACACATTCAAAACTTTGAAGAAATCAGCCCCATACATCGTAGGTGTCTTGGCTGGATGCTTTTTTACAAAGCTTGTTGTTGATGGTGTTGTGAAAGGATTCATCTTTGGAGAAAATGGTACTATTTTTATGTTACCTTTAGGAAATGGTGGAAAACTCTTGGAAATGAAGACATACAACAGCATTGGTGATTATACTTATAATAGATAATTCTAGAGAATGAGATATCTAACCGAATTGCCAGCAGGTATTCTTTGGTGTTCTATATTTCTATAGGAGATGATCCTCTTGTTAAGACCAGCGATTATTTATTACATGACTTAGGTGTCACAACTCAATAATTTGGTGTTTAACATGGTGTTGTCAAAAAAGTGCCACATGATAAGTATCTATTGTGAGTAATAGGGCAAATATAATATACAATAAATTAATTCAAAATATACTACAATTTATACATGTTTCAGAAGATTTCTCTTTGATTTCATTTGTTATTTCTTTCAAAACATTATTCCTCTGTTGTTCACATAATTCATATGTCTATGATTTGCTTCTAGGAAAATGCTCTATAAATGATTTTGATTTGAAATACTTTCATTTGTTGATGAGTTCCTTGAGTTTTCAAAATTCGTTGATTAGGATTCGAATTCATCATATTAAACGAGTTTTTATTTCAAATTTTCAAGCGCCTCGATAATTTGATTCAAATTTTAAAACTAAACTATATAAGTCTTATTACATATCGAACAATGATGAAGATGTTCTGGTCAAGAAGCATATCTTAATACGATTGATTTAAAATATCCAAGGACTAACTATTTGAATTATTTGGATTTTTTTCAACCCTATTGAAATATTCATTCACATATTCCATCTCACTTTGATAGATTTGTACTAGTCTCATAATATCAAGTTGATTAAATAGGTCATCGTCCTAGTCTTCTATATTTTAATTTTATATCAATTGAAATTTTGGATGCAATTCTTAATGTAACTTGAATCCCTCTCTGATCGATGATTCAATCTTAACTATGGAGGTCTTCAAAAGCTAAAGATCAAGTTGCTTGTCAAAAATGATTCGACTTTTTTTGATCTTGCTCTATTACCTTTTTGGACTGTGAACGACCTCGTCACTGCATAACATGTCGTTAATTATTTAAGAAACAAGTCGAAGCTAGATCTATTGTAATAAACTTACTTCCTTAATCTTTTTTATCAAATAAGCATTATGAACTTAATTTGATTTCAGTTGATCAAATGTTTCAACCAATCCTTGGATGCACTTGATTTTCTCTCCATTATCTAAAATATCGAGCACTGATTCGATTGGCAAATTTGATTACATCTGCAATTTCAACAGTACGATTAATTATAAAATAAAAAAATCTTTGCTTCTGAGAGAAAACAATATTTGAATATAATAGGGAGATTTGAAACAATTAGTTCATTTAAACTAGTGATATATTTTATAATTAAAAATTAAATATGTTTATATGTTGTAAAAGTAACAAAAAGCCAAAAGTTGTGCAAACTTAAACATAAACTCCTCCCTAATAAACTCAACCAAAACAATCTAAATATCAAATAAGAACCTCTAATGATCAAGATCAACACTCCACTAATCTAACCAATATGGAAGGAACTAATGATAAAATCAATCTGAGCCTATAAGAAATAGAAAAGTTCATTTTGCATGACAAGAAAACCTTAGAGCAAGAGCGTGAATTAGTTATAAAATTGATTGAATTGCCTGATAAAACTCATCTCATCGAATTTAACTGGGCCATTGCATACACCAATTATATCAAGGATGCGGGAATACAGCCTGGAGAAATTAAGAACAGAATCTTATATGATAAAATTAAAGCGAAAGAAGAATTGGTGTTAGATAAGGATTACGTATTGGTTAATGATTAAGTCTGGAATGTGCTGGTAAATATCTATAAAGGAGGACCCATGCTCACAATCAATGATTTAGATAGAAAAAGTGAAAATAATCTCCTAGACTAATCGCTAAAGGTATTTGCATCACCCTCTATGAATGATCTTGATAAAAAATAAGCTAAAATTAGAAACTTAAAATAAATGCCAATCAAAGAACTTTAAATAATTGGATTAGAAAATGAAATCTACTTCTGTTACTTAAATAGTGTAATATAATGTCTGATGGGCATCCCTTAGTTAAACTACCATTTCCTCCATTAATACTCAAATGATTGCAGACCTTTTAGTTATGCCTATTCAATTCTGTTAAAAAAGGCATCTAAAGTACACTATAAAGCTCGCTTGGTGGCCAAAGAATTAATCAAAGTTCTGTAAAAGCATTTCTCAATCTATGAAATGCATGATAGCTCTGAATTACTGCTCTTCATACTAGATAAATTTAAAGAAGAAATCTATGTAAATAATGCTCCTTAATTCATTTAACCTGAATAATGTTAGTTTAAGTAATCTCTTACATTCATTGATGAAATATTCTATGGACAACTTACATCATTCATCAAATGCTCAAGTTGTGATAAGATAAGCCAGCATCAAGATCAATTCTATGATTTAAGTCTACCACTTGTGAGTAAGAATTTTATGTAAAGAAAACTGACAATATCGGAATGCCTTAACAACTATTTCAAAGAAGAAATGATTGAAGGAGAGTGGACTTGCTCATTTTGCAATTAAAAGTTAAGAAATATCAAACGGCGTGTTAAAATTACATTCACACCAAACATTTTAGTTCTGTAATTAAAACGATTCCAAAGTTTTCCGTAAAAAAAAAAAATAAAAGAACCTGTCACTGCTAATATGGAATTGAATGTTAAAAGGTAACATCTAATTAATGATATAGTTTCTGCATTCCTGAGGTAGTCGAAACTAAATATGAATTATAAGGTATGATTGTGCATTCAGGATCTATCGATTAAGGTCATTATGTGGCTGTAGTCAAGCGTAATCAGAATGTATGTTTATCTTAATGATTTGTGAAGTTTTATCTTTTCAATGATGATGAAATTGAGCGTCTCTCCCCTAACCAAATCAATCAAATCGATTCTGCTTACCTATTCATGTATCGTAGGAAAAGTGATTGATTAATTAACTTTTTTTATTATATTTTCTGTTGAAATTTGAATGAGTTCAAACACTCTCCTAACTTACCTCTAAAACTAAATCACCTAAATAACTCTCAACATAGAGCATATACAAAAAGACATCTCTCTACTTCACAACTAATTCGAACAGAAAATATTCACTGCAAAACGAGAATGTACTATCATTAACATAAATCATAGTAAATAGTAGAGATGATTCAATATCAATATAGATAGAACAATTCAAATAATAATTTGATTACACGATCAAAGTTTTAGAATAGAAAATGTTGCATATTGATGAAAACAAAATGGATTAAAATGAGGCTTATTAAATGATGGAATCCAACAGAAAAAACATTCAAGAAGATGTGGATTTACTCAAAAATGAAATGGCCTATTAAAAAAAATACTTTGATGATCTACTCAATGAAAAAATTCGACGTTTAGAAATTTCTAATTTGACTGAAACAGTTAACTAATTCAAGGATCAACTCAAGCAATACTACTAAGAAGAATAGAAATAATTAAATGAACACCAAACTCTTACTAAATCCCTACTTAATGCAAATAAAAAAGCTTTTTTTCAAGAATTAGAAAGAATAGTTCAATAAGTAGATTCTATGAAAATAGAAATTAATGATTAACAATAATTATTTGTCAAAAAACCAGAGTTAGAAACTAGGATTAATTAGATTCATTTATTATTAGAATAAAAATCGGATTTAATCGAAGTATAAAATGCATTAAATACCCAATAAATTGATATTGCCTAGCGATTTTAAGAATTCAAAGACGAAGTGCGTACTGTTTTGGAATTATAAGGAAATGAATTTTACTAATTGATTAATAAGAAAGTATACATTTTACCTTAATTCGAAATAGGCAAATCATAGTGAAGTTATGCAGTTATTGTAAGGAAAAATAGATATGGAAACACTTTTATTGCATTCAGAAGACAAAGTTCCTCTCAAAGATTTTCATCAACACATGTCCTTAATTGAAAACATTGCACTTGATTTAGCAAAGAAATAAGATGCAAATACATTTTTAGAATATAAAGATGCCAATAATTTGTAAATTGCTGAAATTTAAAAGGAAGTTCAAAAAAAAATGTCTAAGAGAGAATTTAAAGAAGTACTTGATAAAAAAGCAAATCATGAAGATGTTTCTAAGGCATTCAACGAAATATAATCTATTTTATCATCAAAATTTAATTATGAAGACTTCAATAGGTTCTAATTAAATCAAAACACTCTGAATGAATAACTATGTAGTTAAAATATAATTGGCAGGTGGCTTTATAAAGGCAATTTTCTGAGTCCTGGAAGTTTAATACCATGGAATATATAAGCAATTAATACATTAACTGAAAATTTCTTATGGGATAAAGATAAGCCAAATATCATTGTTGTTGCTCCTGGGATTTATGAAATCACTCTTGGATTCTTTGCTAAAAAGAAACCCAAAATTGATATCATGGTTAATGGAGAAACAATTATCAATGCAGTTAATAATAGTAGGTAGAAAATCTATCCTATATTAGTTATGTCGTTCATCACTCTTCAGGAAAACTAAAGGATACTAAAACATCTGTCACTGGATTGACAATGATTGATTTCATCTCTTTGCCTGCTCGAGCAAGAATTAATATTGCTTATCAAGGAGATTTAGGAGAAGGCTTTTTATGTTTACGAAAAGTATGAATTCAATAATAGCATGATCTTAATCACCTTTATCATCATTTCAATAAATTATAAGAAAATTTTCTTATTTTATTCTTAAACAATAGTAAAAAATAAAACAATTAATAATCAGGATTTTCATTTTTTTGATATTTCGTTTTTCAAGGTCTTATCATAGAGGATATGGATTAATCCAAAAGTAAGAAATACTTCTTTTCAAATCTATTCAAATAAACTATTAGAAAAAAGAAATTAGAGAAATCCCAGAATACATTTGTGTTTTTTTTTCAAAATATTTGATTCATTTCATTTTCAGGCTTAGGTGTTATAATTGATACTGTGAAAAAGCATCTTATGTTGAAGGATAATAAATATTGGCCTCTCATGATTATAATGAAAGGATGAAATTTTTAATTATTTAGATAATATAAAATATACTTATAGTGCACATAATGTAATAAACTAACCAGAATCGTCTACCATTCAATCCTCCTGGAAAGAAACTTGGGGTCTATCGCTTTCATAACGAGATAGGCCGGGGTAATTATGGAGTGGTAAATTTTTAATTCTAATACGATATAGGTGTATTTAGCAAGTGATGATTAAGGAAATAAATATGCAATAAAATCAATAAAGAAAGAAATTTTCAAAGAAAATGGAGGTATTATTGGAGATCTCATTCGAAATGAAAAGAATGCACTGCTCTAAATCAAAAATAACCATGTTGTGAGAATATATGAATATATTGAGTCTGTCAATTAAGCTTATATGATTCTTGAACTTTGCGATGGTAATAAACTAAATTCTATATAGGTGGTAACTTTGAGGGTTACCTAGCGTGCAAGAAATTTTAAATCACAATTTATGAAGCTGTTTAATATATCAAATAAATTATATAAGGAGTTAACGCTTTACATGAAAAAAGGATTATTCATAGAGATTTAAAATTGAGTAATATATTAATGAAAGACAATAACGCTCTATTAAAGATTGCTGATTTAGGATTCTGTCATATACTCTCAGACTATGTATTTTAAATATATTACTTAGGAATCTCTTGCTAAATTAAATTTAGGAACAATTGGAACAAAAGCACCAGAAATTATCCTAAATAAACCCTATGATTGCGCTGTTGATATTTTTTCCATTGGAGTGATGTTCTATTAATTGCTTTGCGGTGGGAACTATCCCTTCAAGCCAACAACTGAGGAAGAATACCTAGAATAAATATTAAAAGGACGTAAATTAATTAAAGTATCATAGCGGATAATATAAATTTTGTATCATAAAATGAATCTCCACCACACGAAATTTAGCAATTAATTAGAAGAATGCTTCATTATAATCCTGAACAAAGATTAAAATGGAGTGAAATGTTTGATTGTTCCATTTTCAAAACAAGTTCATAATTATACTATTTATAAAGCTCTTTAATTGGAAACTCATTTAGGATTTAATTCCAGAGTTTAGAACGTCAAAAAAATTTAGGATTTCTACATTCAAAATTAGGAGAAAATAATTTCAATGGTTTCCCCTAAATTTGCAGATATTGGCCACTTCACTTTCCCTGATGAAGTTGTAAATAAATCCTTAACAGAAAAAGGAAAAAGCTAATAAATTGTTTCTAATGAGACCTAATTTGTAAGTACTGTAAGTTTTCAAGATAAGGATGAAATTCAATAAATTTAATAAGACAGTTGCAGAATAAATGAGCTTTTTGAAAGGTATTTATCCAAACATAGATATTTAACACTGCACTAAATTGTTTATGATCTTATTCACAAGACTAATCACTTGAATGTAAAGTAACTTCTTTTTCCAGTTCTTATCATATCTAAAAAGATATTTAAGCTATAAAAAGAACTAATTAAAATCATTGTTGAAGATGGAAATATATTTAATTCACCTTATTATAATAGCTTAATCAGCACTGATTAATGGAAAGTTTTAATTGAAGAAATGCTAAATAGCAAGGGTTGGATTTATGAATAAATATAACACAACATCAAAACTTTCGATTTAAATATAAATCAAAGACCAGATGATTATAAAAAAAAATATGTATAAAATGAATGGCTTGAGGAAGCATTAGCTTATTTTCCAAAAGAAAACTTTGATAATATTTTTTAATAATGCATAAATCGATATATAGGTTATTTAATTCAAGATATTTACTAAGTAGAGAAGGATTAAATAAAAAAAAAGTCTATCATAGTATATTTAGTAAAGATTTTGACAGTTAATGAAATATATGTAGAGGATATACCTATATATTAATTAGAATCATTGCTTTAAAATAAAAATGTAGATAAAATCTTTTCAGAATCATACTCATTTTATATGTAAAAATAATGATAATATATACATAATATAAATAATAGAATATTTTTTTTTTTTGAATAATTATGAATTAATATAACATATGGATAGTTTAAATCATTAGCCTCCTCTCAATCTTAAAACTAAGTGAAGTGTGGATTCCTTTTGAATGTTATAGTCTGAAAGTGTTCTTCCGTCTTCCAATTATTTACCAGCGAAGATAAGTCTTTGTTAATCGGGTGGGATTCCCTCCTTATCTTGGATTTTAGCCTTGACAGCATCAATTGTGTCAGATGGTTCAACATCAAGAGTGATGGTCTTTCCTGTGAGTGTCTTGACGAAGATTTACATTCCTCCTCTCAATCTCAAGACCAAGTGAAGAGTTGATTCCTTTTAAATGTTATAGTCTGAAAGTGTTCTTCCGTCTTCTAATTACTTTCCAGCGAAGATAAGTCTTTGTTAATCGGGTGGGATTCCTTCCTTGTCTTAGATTTTAGCCTTAACAGCATCAATTGTATCAGATGGTTCAACATCAAGAGTGATTGTCTTTCCTGTAAGTGTCTTGACGAAGATTTACATTCCTCCTCTCAATCTCAAGACTAAGTGAAGGGTTGATTCCTTTTAAATGTTATAGTCTGAAAGTGTTCTTCCGTCTTCTAATTACTTTCCAGCGAAGATAAGTCTTTGTTAATCGGGTGGGATTCCTTCCTTGTCTTAGATTTTAGCCTTAACAGCATCAATTGTATCAGATGGTTCAACATCAAGAGTGATTGTCTTTCCTGTAAGTGTCTTGACGAAGATTTACATTCCTCCTCTCAATCTCAAGACTAAGTGAAGGGTTGATTCCTTTTAAATGTTATAGTCTGAAAGTGTTCTTCCGTCTTCTAATTACTTTCCAGCGAAGATAAGTCTTTGTTAATCGGGTGGGATTCCTTCCTTGTCTTAGATTTTAGCCTTAACAGCATCAATTGTATCAGATGGTTCAACATCAAGAGTGATTGTCTTTCCTGTAAGTGTCTTGACGAAGATTTACATTCCTCCTCTCAATCTCAAGACTAAGTGAAGGGTTGATTCCTTTTAAATGTTATAGTCTGAAAGTGTTCTTCCGTCTTCTAATTACTTTCCAGCGAAGATAAGTCTTTGTTAATCGGGTGGGATTCCTTCCTTGTCTTAGATTTTAGCCTTAACAGCATCAATTGTATCAGATGGTTCAACATCAAGAGTGATTGTCTTTCCTGTAAGTGTCTTGACGAAGATTTACATTCCTCCTCTCAATCTCAAGACTAAGTGAAGGGTTGATTCCTTTTAAATGTTATAGTCTGAAAGTGTTCTTCCGTCTTCCAATTATTTACCAGCGAAGATAAGTCTTTGTTAATCGGGTGGGATTCCTTCCTTGTCTTAAATTTTAGCCTTGACAGCATCAATTGTATCAGATGGTTCAACATCAAGAGTGATTGTCTTTCCTGTGAGTGTCTTTACGAAAATTTACATTGTTTATTAATATTACTTTCTATTAAGACTCAAGCTGTTTTTAAGGAGAAATAATTTTGTTTAATTCTGATTACCTAATGTTGTCGTTCTGATAAATACCATTTCTATTTATAGAATACTTAAGGCATAATTTGTCATTTTTTCTTAATAAAATATAAGCAAATACCTTTCAAATGTTAGGTTTTTTATTATTTTTTATTTTATCATCATCAAAATTCAATTGTTATCGAAATATCCCTACAGATCAAATATTTACTTATTTTCAAATTATATTAAGAATTTAAGAAACATTATAAATATTTTTCCATTTACAACAAATTTTCATTTGTTTAGACCTTTTAAAAACTGAAAATAACAAGTTCGGAAATATTTAGAGCTAAGATAAATTTTTTTTAGAAAATTCTTATTTCTTATATACATTATGATAAAAAATTCAGCATCCAAAATTCTTTAAATCAAACCCAATTATGAAATAAGAATTAATTAATTGGAAATTTTTTCAAATATCGCTTCATTTGATAATTTTCAATTAATTTAAGAAAGGGGATTTAAAAAAAAAATGTTTAAGTTTTATAATAAGTTAAAAAAGAATTAATTCTATAAATTAAAACTTTAAAAAATTTCTGGACCAACTTAATGTTGTAATAAATGATTCGAAAATTTAATATTATGACTATCTTCTTTTAGAGTTATTCATCAAATTCTTAGACGGAATTGCAGATTACCAGAAATAATAAATTAGATGTATTAATTATTCGCTAAAATTTGTTCTTTATACTATATTATTCTTCAGATAGATGAGCTGAATCAAAATGATTTTGAGAGTTTTATGTTGACATATTCTATTATTAACTGAATTCAATCATTTTTATGACCATTAGATTCATCATGTCTGTTTCGAGAATCTTAAGAGAAATGAAAATATTGAATATTAGCCTATCTTTAAATGTTGGTGAATATATGAAAATTATTTTGCTAATTATAATTATATTATGCACTTCATTAAATGAATTAAAATATGTATTTTAATTTCATTTCATATATAAATTATAAAAAATTTTGGAGGAAACCATTTGACAACTTTAAGATATATCTTGATTTTGGATTATTGGTGATCGGTTTGTATTATTGTATAATCTAGAAATACTATTGAAAAATGAAACAATTAAATATTAGATATTTATTATATAAATGAAAAATTCTAAGCTAATAGTAAATAATTCAAGGCTTAATATCTAAATTACAAGTCTTTGAGAAGTTATGGAAATTATTCTGCAAAGATAGTCAAGTTTAAATGGTATTTTAATTGATGATGGAGTTAAACATTGAAAAGTAGGAGTAGATTAATGCTGTGAGTGATTAATTATATAATTTAAATATACTTTTTGGTTAATTCTGATGTCTCAAGTAATGCTAGTCTTAGGCCCAAATAGAGTTGGTAAAAGCAGTTTAATCGATGCTCTCACTTATGGGCAATTCCATAGGGAATTTTATCCATAAGATATACATTTCTAAGTTAAATTAGCAAAAGTAGCATAACACAGAGTTTATGAAGTATAATCAATAGAATGGGATGGAAAACCTTTGGGATTAGTTTAATTCTACTCAAATGTTGCTGATTTAATATTGATAGTTGTTAATATTTGCGGCTGTTACGATTAAATGGACTAAGTTCATGATATATACTAGGCTTTACCAATTACAAATAATAAATAATAAATAGTATTAATCGGTAATTTGAATGGATAAAATACAAGAAATCAAAAGTTGTGTTAGAGCCTGAGTTAGTTTGCAAAATTAAATGATCTTAAACTTTATGAATTAGATAGCACAAATATCTTGAGTGTTTAAATGGAATTTCATTATATCACCGAACCATACTCATTGTTTGATGATATTTGGAGTAGAAATTAAAATTATGTGTCACAATTTGTGTCATAAGTTGTATCCTTATTACATTGATAACTTATAATTTATCCAAAAATATTAAAAACAAGTAAATTTCTATTATTGATTCATTTCCAATGAAAAGAATCAGCATGAATCTTTAATTTTTAATTTCACTTTTTAAATTTAAAACTTTTCTCATAGGTAAATGATGATGAAGATTTTCAGATTCTAATGACAGCAATAGTCATTCTTTAGATTCTAATTCTAATATACAATATAATTATTTTATATTAGAAATAAATTTTCCACGAATTGAATTAATTCAAGTATTTATAATATTTATTCAAATGACGATTTAAATTCTGATTACCCAATAATATTGCTAACTTTACAAAAAGCAAGGAAAACCTTTTAAATGTGCTTCTTAAATTTAAGAAAATTAATAGATAATTTAATTTTTCTTGCAACTTACTATTTATGATAAAATAGAAACTAAGGTATAAATCAATTTATATAATTTGAAGTATTTTATATAGAAACACATAAAGTTTAAATTAGTTAAAGAAAGATCAACTAATCACAGTCAAATTATCAAGTTTAGTTCTTTGTCTTTTCTTATTTCTCGAAATTAACTTGATTTCTTTTTAGGAAACTTGACCATCAATGTCCTTAACCGTAACTACATTGTTGAAATGAACAGATTTTTTTAGATTAAATTCATTTTACAAGTAATCATTCTTTTGACATTTTGATCTCTCAGTATTTAGATTATATAAAAGATCATCAAATTTATCCTTAAACTTTTTTTCTCTTTTTATATGCTCTGTATAGTTTTCTTTTCTTGATGTAGATGCTATGTCAGGAAAAAACCCCCATTGCTTAAGTATTTATTCCCCCATTTTACTTAATTAAGGAGATTTCTCTTTGACTGGACTAAGTTGCTATGGGAGTAATAACGGTAAACTTGGAGTGCGCGAATGATTAACATTCGATTTACAATCAGATTGCTTGATATGAGATTTAAGGTCATAGTGATATCTCATATACATGTTGAATTATTATAATAATAAATGATTAACAAATTACACTTGTTTGTTATATATTAAAATAAGGTAAAAGATATTACATAAAACAAGCAAAAGATGAAAAAAGCAACGATTATAAACTACTTAAAATTTTAATTTACAATATTAGGAAATATTTATTCAATAATTTCTGGATGCATCTACCATTCAGTTTAGGGTACTTTAATACATGGGAATAATTTTGCAAACTAGTATTAGTGTTTTATTTTTGCATTTTTTATAAATATTTATTTTATAATTCTTTGCTTCAAAAGATGAGTGAAAAGAAATTTTAAGATTTAACAGATAAAAGGCAAAGCCTTGAAAATGAACTCAAGATTTTAGAAAAGCAGATTTTTGATTTGGAAACCAAATATTTGGAAGAAACAGCTGCCACAGGAAATGTAATAAAAGGATGGGAAGGTTATACGACGATAAAAAGTGGAAAACTCAATGGGAATGTTCAAAGAAAGTCTAAAGCCAATGCGAATGATCGTATTTTCTCTTAAAGCAGCAAAACATCTCCATTTGTAAAATTTATATTAAAGTGAGTATTAAATTACAGAAACTGTGGCAGAGGAGCCAAAAAGTCCAAAAAGCCCATAATTTAGGCCAAGAAGAATGAAGAAAAAGAAGCATTATGGATATAAAAAGGAGTACTATTAAGAATTATGCTAGTGACGTTGTAGAGAATTCTTAGGGTAGTTCTTCAGAGGATTTTTAATAGGATTAAATAAAAAAAGTCAAAGGATCAAAGAAAATATGAAGTAATATTTATTATTTGTGTTAATTTTACATCATAGATTGCAAATAAATCTAAGTCATACAAAATAATAATGGAGATTATAGTATTAGATAATCGCTACTGTAGATTTAATTAATTTTGATCTGTTTCTTCTAATATACTCATATACTTATCAGCCTAAGAGATTTCCTTTGTTTTCAAGAAATTAAAAACAAAATTAAATATTAAAAATTCTTTGGAATTTTATTATCATGAGTAAAGTAGTATCAATATGGAATATTAGAATCAATAATGATTCGTTTATTGAATAAATTTATGTTTTAGATTGCAATATAAGAAATATTATGTATTAGTTTGTTTTGATTTCAATAATTATTTCATTTACTTTTGCTTGCTCATTGAAATAATTAACATGTGAAGACTTATTAGATAAAATTTCATGTGAATCTGTAGAATTCCACGTGGCAAAATGTAAATGGGATTAAAAAACGAATTAGTGCTAATCATTGAATACAAATTTAAACTAAAACTAGAATTATGGGCAATATAATGAGTGTGGTTGGAATTAAAATTGTGACTAGAAAAAGCTAATGTAAGTTATAAACTTATTTAATAAAAGTGAGGAAGAGATATAGAGTTGTTACAGTATTACTTCTTTTCAGGAGTGCATTAAATTTAATAATAATGGTATAGGATGCACATGGAAACATAATAAATGCTATTAAATATCACAATGTAGTGAGATCAATGATTTTATGTAATGCAGAATATCGAGAATGAAAGAGAAGTAATACTTCTGATATTGTATTAGATGCTAATTAGTTATTAATGGAAAATCATCACGTATGGAAAGACAATATTTTTATTTAGGCGATTTGTTTGATGAATACGAATGCAGAGCAAAAGATTGCAAATTTAATTTATTTTCCGAATGTTAAAATTTTGTGAATGGGAGAAGATGTTTCTAATATTATGGGGAATGCACTTAATGTTCATATTTCACAACATAATAATCTTGTTCAGATACAAATCAATGCACTTGGCAAAATGATGTTTGCAGGAATATATTGTATTTAAAAATGGTAAAAACTTAGATGTTCTGATTTGAAAGGGAAATAGTTCTGCTAAAATAGGCCATTTTGTTAATTTAATGAATAGAATTTGCAATGTGAAACAAAAACTGACGAAAATCTTTATTGCTATGCATATGACATACCATCTGATCCAATAAAATCAAAAAAATAAGTTGAAATTTGATTATTAGATATGTTGTATAAATCTAAAGATGGTTATTATAATTGATAATTTTAATTATAATCTTTATGAAAAATATTTTAAGAATTTAAGTTTAAGAGTTAATAAATATCTTCTATTTGAAATTTAGTTTTTACATATAATGCTTATATCAAATAGCTTTCAGATATTTTGCAATTTATTTATTCAATATTGACACCATTTTGTATAATTTTTGATTTAATAATAATCTTTTGTAAGTTCTCTTATACCATTTATACAAAATGCTTTTCTTAGTTACTTTTTGGATCTAAAATATTTTATACAAAGTAAATATAAGTCTTTAATTATTTCTATGAATTTTCACTAAAGCATTCCATACTTTTTTTGTTGTTAAGGTTGGCTATTTTTTTGCAGTAGAAGATATCTTAAATTCACTAACAGAATATTTTGAAGATTTGAAATTGTTGCTAAAAGTAGGGGAAGAAATTAACGACTAACTCATTTTGTTAGATTTATATTATCTACTCCATTTTGAGAATGTTTTCATTAAGATTTTCAAATTATTATGTTCTTAAATAATCTTCATTTTCTCTGAGTCAATTTAAAGTTTTTGATGAATTTGAGTAAATGCGAATTATAGTAATTGCTATCTTATTTTATGAAAAGCTGCTTCTAATTGAGAGAAATATTCCTTTTTTAGATGACTTCGCCTTTATTCTTTAACTTTGAAATATGATACATGACAGGTTCTTGGAATTTGACGGACAGGTGACTTTGATCTTGAACGAATAATTTGATTAAAATTCATATAAACATATAAATTTTGTTTCTGAACATATGTCATCTTGTCATTCAAAATCGTTATTTTACTCATATTTACAACTTAATATCTACTGAAAACAAACTTCTTCATATTTCCATAGTTTATATAGATTTCCTAATGATCATTAGAAATAATATAGAAAATTAGCAATTTTAAGTTGTAGATTAAAGACAAATTCATAACATGTATATATATAATGTATAAAAATTAATTGAAAAAGAAAACTTCTATTCTTAATTTAATTTTATTTTTTTGTTTAGTTTTAGTTTATTAAAAATAGTATTTTATCATAATTCTAAAATTAACTTAATAAAGGAGATAACTCAATTAAATTATTTATTAAATTAAAATAATATAAGTATTTTATCAGGAATAATATAAATTTATTTGTCTCTTTATGAAAACGTAGTTACTTAAAATTCTTATCTAAATCCATGGATAGAAAATAAATAAATACTCACTTGTAAGAAAATATAATGACTAATGATTCTTTTGACTCAAGTATCGATTAAAATCTAGGTTGAGTAAGAATGAACATATTTTAAAAAGTTGACGAAACTAGAATGGTTGTGTCTCGTTTAAGTGGAATATATCATTTATTTTCAATGTTGATTTGGTAAAGAGCGAATAAAGACATATTCAATTTAAAAACGTAAATTTTTTTGATTTTAATCTCTTATTAATATTATTTTCAATGATGCTTTTCATACCTTTTGTTTTACTAATTCCAAGTTGCATTTGTTTTCGTAGTTTTGGAGGAAATTTTACTAAAGCAAACACCTATTTTAGTTGCCCTGAATATCACTTTTATTAACCAGATTTATTTCCTCATACATGTGTTGGTAAGGCTTATTTTATAAAGTAGGGTATTTGCCTATTTGCTAAGGAGTTACTGAAGTAACTGTAAAAATATTCAATTTTTAAGAAGTGCTTTGCCATCCTAGGTTTTAAGCTTTTAATTTAATGCCCTCTACTACTAATATTTATATTCTTCGATGTATTTCCCCTTATTCAACAACCTACCAATACAATTAAAATGGCGAAGTAGTCTACACATGTGAATGTAAATTAGAATCAATTATTTTTTAGTAACCTATAATGCGTATTGTATTTTAGCTTAAAAATATGGTTCAACGATAAAATGTGAATATTGCTTCGGATATTTAACAAAGACTCCTTGTGATTATATATAAGCAGGTATAATGGTTATAAGTATATCTCCTCCAGTTGTTAAATGTATTAAAAGTTTTAATTTTTAATTAGAATGCCCTTTAAATTGTAAACGTTGTGATGTCACAACATTATATTGCTCAGAATGTTTGGATGGATATACAAAAAGTGATCTGAGTGATACTAAATGCAGTTACAGTAATACTATTATTAAAAATCAGAATGTAAAACTGAAGATATGATTTGTACGTATATACCTTTGACTTCAACCTATGTGACGAATTGGTGCTCGGTTGGATATGAAATGGTATTCCCAAATGGTATTGCTACTTGTTAATGTAAAATAATTATCAATATAATTAGTTTGTGTTGCATATTGCATATTGTGTGCGAATAAAATATGTAGTTTGTGTGACACAGGTTATTAATTAATAAGCGGAAAATGTTTTGGAGATCCAAATTGTGCAGCATCTGTGTATGGAATATATTATTATCATAGAATTCTTTATAATTCAAATAATTCTCCTACTGGATTTAACTGTTTACAGTGTGATTTTGGTTACTTTCAAAACGGTCCGCTATGCCAATGTAATTCATTAAAGTTCGAATAATAGTGTGTTCCTCAATGCCTGGATTAGAGACTTGTTTTTTATGCAACTCAGGAACAGAATGCAAGACATGTTAATCGGGATATTACTTGAATGATCAAAAGATATGTACACCTTTTGATGGATGTGATGGAAGATGCAATACTTGTTTGATAACTGATCCATTCTATTGTACAACTTGTGATTACTTAAATCTTAAAAGAGTTACAGTAAATGGTAAGTGTCTTTGTGCATAAGCATAAAATTATGCTGAAAGATTTGGATCTTGTGTTTTATGCACAGAAGGATTTTGTAAGACTTGTACTCTTGATTTTTTTGAATGCACGTCATGTGACCCAGCAAGGAATAGAGGTCTGGTTGGCACTACTTGTCCATGTTTATAAGGATATTACGAAACTTATTTGGATGATATGAAGTGTTAAAGTAATAAATTTATAATTGATATAGAATGTCACGAAACTTGCTATAATTGTGATAATCCAACAAAGAATGATTGTACTGAATGTGATAGTCTCAAGAATAGATATTTGTTCCAAGGATAATGTATATGCAAAAGAGGATATGTGGAAACCTTATAAGGTGGAGCCTTGCTTTGTTTAGGTTCTTATATCAGTTTAATAGAGATAGCTTGTCATCCTAGATGTGAAAAATGTTCTAAACCAAAAGACGCTACTCCCAATTAATACTGCACTCTTTGTATTGCAGGTCAAAATAGGATGTTGACAAACACATAATCATGTGATTGTATGAACACATACGGAGATTTAAATGGAGTTTAAGATATTTGTTTCTGTAATACTTTTGATATATCATAGAATGCTATTATACTTGCGGTGGTTGTTTAAATGATTAGCCTACTGGTTGCACAATGTGTCTTGCATCATCAAACAGATATTTAACATCGACAAAGGAGTGTGTGTGCAAAGATAATTATTTTGAAGATGGAGTAAATAATAGAGATTGCAAAAGTATGATTTATCTTAGAAAATAGGATGTCATTATTCTTGTTTTAATTGTAATAACAATTCTGCCATTGATCAATGCATCCAATGTCCTGCAACAAGAGTAGCTGATGGAACAGGATCTACTTTTAAGTGTTTATGTTCAGATTCTCATACTTTTGATGATGGCTAAAGTTTACTTTGTGGTTAATGTCATTATTCATGCCAGACTTGTAATGGATATGATTAATCTAATTGTCTGACTTGCAATTTGGATTATAGAGTATTTGTATTTTCAAAATGTGAATGTCCAACTGGATATTATGAAGTGGGGTAACTTTAATGCTAAAGTAATATTTGAATCATTATGAGAATGCCATTTTACTTGCAAAAATTGTTATGATAAGAATTCAGACAATTGCATTACTTGTTCAGCTGAAATGAATCGGATTATGATGGGAAATAAGTGTATATGCAAGAGTGGTACATCAGATTATAATGGTCAGCAAGCATTTTGTGAGAGTAATAATATAAGTTAAAATAAAAGATTGTTCATATCGCTGTGCTAATTGTACTTAACTTGATACCAGCCAATGCACAAGTTGTCCAGAATTTTCGTTTAGAGAACTAGGAGCGAATAGTTCTTGTTCATGTCCATCTAATTTAATTGACATTCCAGTAAATCCAACTTGCCAGGGTAAACATTTACAATATTCGATTAGTTTGTCATTATACTTGTTATTCATGTTCAGGATTTAAATCAACACAATGTACACAATGCAATGATCTACAATTAAGACAATTAAATAGTAAAGGAGAATGTGAATGTAAAAGTCATTATTATGATATTGGAAATGCAGAATGCCAAAGTTTATTCTCTCATTATTTTTAGTTTGTAGTAAATTTTGTTTGGATTGCTATCAAGCATCTACTACTTGTACTTCCTGCCCTTCAGATAGATATTTGGATACGACGAGTACATGTCTTTGTAAGACAAAACTATAAGGACTTTAGATTAGTACATTCTAATTCTCTACTCAAACATCTTGTTCTAAATGTCATTATTCCTGTTTGACCTGCGATGGATTTTCATCCTTAAATTGCATGACATGTTCAGATACTGAAAATAGAATTCAGAGTGGAACTGCTTGTTTATGTAAGCCTAACTTTTTTGATTACGGTTCTTCTTCATGCAAATGTATAGATTGATTAATGACCTCTCATAGAATGCAGTTATAGATGTGAAACCTGTTCTTAAAGAGTGGAGTATTGTCTAAGTTGTCCCCCTTCTAGTCTAAGAGAATATAATTCTTTATTGATGCTATGTAATTGTCCAAATGGTTATTATGATGATGGATCCAATTAATTATGCTAATGTATTTAATTAATCAAAAATAGAATGTCATTACACTTGTTTAAAATGCACTGGCTTAGCAACCAATTGTGAATTATGCTCCGGCATTTCGTAAAGGGTTTTAGATCCAATTTTGTTAACGTGTAATTGTTAGCAAGGATATTATGATGATGGAGTTGAAATTTGTAAATAATGTCATTATACTTGTTTGTCCTGTAATGGAGCTGGATCTAACTCCTGCAATTCATGTCTATCTGTTACTACTACGTATAGAGTATTTTATAATAAAACATGCAATTGTTTATCGGGATACTATGATGATGGATCATCAAGCTATTGTAAGAAATGCTAGAATGAATGTTTAACTTGTCAAACTTATTCATATCAATGTTTACTATGTCCTTCTACAAGACACTTAGACGGAACGAGTTGTGTTTGTGATTTAGGATATTATGATATTGGGGCATAAAAATGCAGTCAATGTGATTCTAATTGCTTAAATTGTTAAACTTCATCCACTAATTGCATTTCATGTGATACTACCAAAAAGAGGATTTTAAATACGACAACAAAAACTTGTGTTTGTCAAAGTGGCACAGTTGAAATCAATGGTATTTGTTAGAATTGTGACACTTAATGTAAAACTTGTTCCAATTCTACTTCATATTGCACATCATGTGAATCCATAAGACTGTTTGTGAATAATTAATGCATCTGTATAGATGGTACATATGAATCCAGCGTTGACCAATAATGCTATTTTTGTCATAAGTCATGTTTAACATGTGTCTATCAAGCTACTTAATGTTTAACATGTTCTGAACCAGATTTTAGAGTTATTAAACCAGGAAATGGTTGTGCATGTTTTGATGGATATTTTGAAAATTAAATAACACTATCCTGTGAAAAATGTGATAGTTCTTGTAGAACATGTGATCTATACGCAACAAATTGTACCTCCTGCTTTGAAGCACTTCATTACAATAAATAATAAAATTAATGTGTGTGTCAATCTGGCTATTTTTACAATGCTACTACTAAACTGTGTGAAGGTATATTTTACATTATTATCTATCATAGTTTGCAATTTCACATGCAAGGAATGTAGCGCTTAGCTTAAATGTACGTAATGTGATTTAAGTACTAGATATTTCGATGATCAAAATTTTAAGTGTCCTTGTCAAGATGGCTATTACGAGGCAAATCTTAGTTAATGCCAAAGTATTTTGATTTCTTATTCATTTTAGTATGCCATGTATCATGCTAAACTTGCACTACTTCTTCTAATAATTGTCTAACATGTGAAACACTCCTATACTACAGAATTTTAAATAATAATTAATGCATTTGCTAGGATGGATATTATGATATTGGAATATCAATGTGTTAAAAATGTCATGATGTTTGTAAAACATGTTAAGTGACAGCTTACAAATGCTATTCGTGCTATCAAAGTGAACACATTCGAACACTTGTTAGTAACTAATGTATCTGTCAAACTGGTTATTATGATAATGGAACTTTAGTTTGTTAGAGTAATAAAATAGATTATGATTAGAATGTTCAAATGAATGTCTTACTTGTAGTGGATCAGAGAATCATTGTACTAGTTGCGATATCAATTAAAAGAGAATCGATTAGTCAGTTATCTATAGATGTCCATGCATAACAGGCTTTTATTCTGATGAAAATAAGATTTGCTAAAGTAATAATTGCTCCTCATTTAGAATGTCATATCAAATGTGCTTCTTGTCTAAATCAAAGTGATCATTGTCTTAGTTGTAAACTAGTAACTGGCAGCAATAGATACACATTGTCATAGAATTGTGATTGTAAGGCTGGCTACTTCGATGATGGTATTCAATTGCAATGCTAACAATGCAATCAGAGGTGTAAAACCTGTGTAAATACCTCCACCAATTGCTTAACATGTTTTGATAGTTTAAGATTCAACCCTCCTAGTTGCAATTGCGTTGATGGTTATTATGAAGATGCGTAAAAGTATTGCTAACGTAATTTAAATTTATTAATCTCCAAGCATGTAATCATGAATGTAGTACATGTATAAATAAACCAGAAAATTGCTTAACTTGTAAACCTGGCAGAATGACATCCTTATGCGTATGTCAAGACGGTTATTTCGAAGCTGGGGTATAGGAATGTTTAAGTAATCTATTCGAATCATTTCTTAGAATGTGATATTTAATGTAACACGTGCATCCAAGCAGCCTCAAACTGCTTATCATGTAAAGGTGATCGTATTGATTCACCAAAGTGTTCTTGTCCATCAGGTTACTTTGACGATCTCATAAATGAGAATTGCCAACTATGTGACTCTTTATGCTAAACATGCGATCACTTTGGTTGCAACACTTGTGCAGGCAATAGAATTATATCCAAAGAATACACTTGTGATCCCCCTAATAATTCTATATGTAATAATATCACTCCCTGGTGTTCAAGTAAACATTGTTGTTCTATTTTTAGCTTGTGATGTCGCAGTATTGAATATTCAAATATCAGATGATTTGAAATCTGTCATTGTAAAATTTGATTTCCCTTTGGATCCCAATAGTTTTTCTAGTTAAGTTTAAAAAAACTTGTGCTATCAAATCTTATCCAATGCCACTTTAAGTAAATTTGGATTCAATCCTCAATGTAAAATTGATGATGTTGATAACAAAATTCTATATCTTAATTTTGGCAACAATCCAACCATAATAGTAGGAGATTCTATTGAATTTCTGCCAAATACTTTATAATAATTAGATTGCAATAGTAAATTATCAGTGTTCGTATTAACTAATGTAAAGGTACCATTAAATCCAGTTACTCCTATTTTAGAATTCAATGTACCTGAAATTTAATTGAATCCTTGTGATAGTAATATTATAAGTGTAAAATCAAAATCAAATGATGGTTTCAGAGGATTAAAAAATATTATATGGACATATGCTGTTTAAGGGTCTTCAGGCAATGGAGATCTCGAAAATTTTATCCAACAGTAGTCAAGTCTTCAGTTACTAGATTTAAACATAGATGCCTTAATATTGCCAATTCAATCTAACATTACACTTACGGTTGTATTTTCCAACTTTATTGGTCAATAATCTTAATAAGTCATTAAGATCTCAACTCATTCAGGAGCTGCTCCTTCAGTTAATTTTAATGTCAAAAAACAGTTTTATTCATTTTCAGTCATCAATATCGTTTTTACAATACAAAAGATCAATTGCTCTACAAAATTGATTGAAAATCCTAATTATCAGATAAGTTTAAAGGAGAAGGCAAAAACATTTGGATCACCTTCAGAAGTTGATTACCAAACAGTTTCAAATCAGATAGAGTTTAAAATAAAAATCCCCTCTTATAAATTAACTCCAAGAGCTTTCTATACATTTGAACTGAATGTCTCTGATTCATCAATAAAATACTTTTCTTCATAGTAAACAACAATTGAAATTCTACCTGCTGGATTCCTATGCAAGTTCTAGGGAGTCCAACAAGTGTAAGATTATAAAAAGGATCTTAGTATGTCAATTGAATGCATAGACTTAGACACTAACTATTTACCTAATCAAGACCCTGATTTAAGTGTCAATGTTAATTGTACTGACTTATCTACAAAAGATTTTTGTTTAGATGTTAAATCTCAAAAGATTAAAGTAAACTAAACGGATTTTACACAAAAAATATTGAAATATCAAGTCTAACCATATACTGTTTAATCATGGAAAGTAACTGCATCTAAAAATGGTTCAAATTAAACTTTTGAATAGATCATTGTATTCTTAGACGATAACTTTAAGGAATTGTAAATGAATTATAGCAAGGGTTATAATATGCGACCAATAAATAGTTACGAAAACCTGAATTTCACTTATGTAATACCCATAATAGATTAACCACTGATTCTAGAATATAGTATTGCAATAATATATGATTATGAGGTGTTGGTTATATTACAACCGAGTTGTTATTCCTATTAATTTAGGTTGTTCGACTATTATCAAAAGTTTACAAAAGGGGATTAAATTAATCTTAAATTTTTGGTCTAATTTACTAATGATATCATGCCAGGATAGCATAATCTAAAAGTAAATTTAAATTAGCCTCCTCAATGCATCAGTTAGGTTGATTCGAACAGCAATAAAGCCTTAAGTGTTGTAAATGTGATCGCCAACTGTCTATTTTCAAATGACACGCCATACAAATATCAACTAAGAGTCTTAATCAATGAACAAGATTATATCGATTACAAATAAAGGAAATCCGATAATTCGTTAATATTATACTCATTTTAGAGTTCAAATAAATTCCAAATTATACTACCCTCCTCGAAAATTTATGTCATTTTATAAATTATGGACGCAGATGGTTCAATAGAAAATAACGATCAATAAATAATAATGAATAAAGTTGACTTAAATTGTACAAATCTTTCCTATTAAAATTCCACTTTCAGATATCAAATTGCATTAGCATTAGAATTGCTTCTCAATAATAACTAAAATTCAGCTTGCTTATAAGTTGCCAACCAAATCTTATCCAACATTAAAAAATTGTCTCCCTCCTATAAATTTGAAGATTAGCAATTAGCCTTTAAATTTATCAAAGTTTATACATATTATTACTTAAATATAAGCTCCTCTATTTCTACTAATAAAACTTAAAGAGTATTACTAGAATCTTTGAGTGATAGATGTTATGATAAAGTTAATTAGAAATTCATTTTTACAAATAATAGTGTATCAAATGAACTTTAATATAACTACACGTATCTAAACACTTATTTCAATAAATTGAAAAATGATGTAGATCAATTAATTAAAAATAGATATGAAATAGAATAAGAATTAAATGAAGACACTCTGGTTTTGCAAGAGTCCCTTTATTAGCAAAGAGAATTAATAATAGATTCATTGCAAAATTAATTACTATTCATTGACGATGCATTTTCCATATTATCGAAAACAAACATACAGATGAATAGTGAAAAATTGCTGCTTTTGAATATTGGAGAAGAACTTCTACAATTAATCAAAATAATTTCTGATTAAATCAATAGTTAAGCCTAAGTTAATGGTAACCAACTAGATATTGAGGGATAATAGATATCATGGAAATTAGTGAGATAATCAAAAAGTGATTTCAATAAGCTAACTAATATTGAATCTGATTTCACTGACAGTTTCGTGGCCTTTGTTGAAAAAGCCTAAATAAGTATCTCTTATAATTTCTATAATTTGTCAACTGACTATTAGACCCAAATGCAATAACAATTGAACTATACCCACCTATACATAGATTCAAATAAGTTGTTAATATTGACTCTCAGAAATTATAGAACTATGTAAAATTATGTCAATTAGGATAATTTGACTTAGAAATATAATGCCATATTACAAGAAATATCATATTGTGAGGAAGCTTATTAATATAATTACAATGATATTTATGAACCCTCTTGTATTTAATATTCAAATAGCAATTTGTTTAATGCTTGTGATCGACTAGATGCTGAAGAGAATTCCTCTGTTAAGGTTATTTGCAGTTGCAATCAATTTGGAAATGTGTTTTTGATTCAAACTCCATTAAATTAGACAAAACCTAATAACGACTCTGGAATTTAAATAGAGTCTTTAGAAACAAATCAGAAAACTTTAATAATTTTTGAATAACCATTCATCTTATTCTAAAGCATACTGACTTGCTTTTCAATTTTAGTTTATTATTAACTGTACACTTTGGAAAATAAACCTGCTGAACAAATAATCTAGTAGTATCAAAATATAGAGAGTTCGGATGATTTAAGTAAATTAGAAAGGAAAGATCAGTTGAAATGTTATCCAGGCGATGTCTTTATTATAAAGGAGAATTATAAAGTATATTTATTTCATCTATTTTAGTACATTCATCAATTTTTTTCGATATTCTACTGCGATGATGTACTTTTAAAAAAGAGTTATAGATTCCTACAATTTTTCACTGAACTTAGTTTTCTGAATCCAATGGCAATTTTCTTATTAACTGCATTTTCAGATTAATTGCTATTAAAAATGGTATTCTTCATCAATTTTTCGGTGATCCTATTAATGAGATTTATATTTAAGTTGCTTTAGGCAATATATAGATTTGGTGGGAAACTTGCTATGCTTATAGTCTGTATTTTGATTTTGTTGCAAATTATTTCTTACATTTTGTTCATTTATACACTTATGATTAAGTAAGTTATAAAAATCATTAATATTTTAGCACCTAGGACTCAGCCTACATTAATTATATGATATGTGTGATAATAGGAGGGACAATAGTTCTGACCTATTTCATATACGATCCATTGATTATTTTTGTCAGAATACAGATTTATAAACTAATAATATAGAGTATTAAAAGCCAACAACTGAATCCACTATTCCATTTTGTCTATTTCTTTATTCAACATTATAAGTTGGATTAAATATTTGACAAATATGTTGTTTTTTGATTTAGAGTTAAATGAATAAAATGATAATATTTGTACTCGTTAACAAATATTAAATTATTATATATAAACAATTCTCACATTAATATTATATATATAATAATATCAAATCAACTTATATTAGGATAATTCACTTTCTAAGTTTTCATGGAATATAAAGAAGTATAGCAAGTGATGCAAAGGATTTAGTTAATTGGATTTTATACTTGGCAGTATCAAATTATACAAAAATATTCTTATATAAGCAATTATTGGCTCTAAAATGACAAAGATTACTATCAAACAACTTAAGAAGACAATAATTATAGTCACTATATCCCATTCTATTTGCTAACTAAAATTGATTTATACATCTTTTTACCTAAAACCAACTATGTATTCAATTGAAGGAGAGAAGAGCAATACCACCTAGACTATTGCACACACAATTTTTATTATTTTTCCAAATCGAGACAATACCCTCAGTATTTTCAAGATTCCTCTAGCCATTTCAAAAAGAATGCAATTTATAAACATAAAAATTACATATATCCAAATCTTTTGAATTTCTAAATTTGAAAACTCAAGCAAAAATAGCAAGAATACAAAGCTGATTAAAGAAAATGTGCTTAATATACCTTTACTTAATTTAGTATGATTGACTTCATGATAAAAAAGAGCTGTTATCTGATGCAAGTACTAAATAGATATTAAGATACAATTACCTTCAATTCTTTCTTAAAAATCTATAAATTTCCAGGGTATAGATGTATAGATTATCTAAACGAGCTGATTTCGCATTACTGCTTGATTATGCCTTATTTCTGAATTTTTAATTCCTGATAAATGTAATAGGAATATGCTATTAAAGTAATAAAACAATAGATATTAATAATAATGAATAGAGGATCACCAGTAAGAAGACCAATTTAATTTTTTGCTTTTTACTTAATTGTTGGAGTATCAATATATTCTATAGCATTATCCATTATGACTGATTTCAATAAGAAAACTTCTCCTAAATAATTACATTGGCAGGCTACTAAAGTCTCATTTAAGGATTCATCGTATTGTTATATGAGTGTGCATTTTTTAATTTCTTTGTTGGTTGTTTTAACTATACAAATCAGATCGAATTCTTCGATAATACTTAAATCACTTTTACAAACTGTGTAATTATTAAAACTAATGATGTAGTTTTCTAGTTAATCGATCAATATGTAGGGTTTCTTTTTGAAATAGTTCTTTAAAGAAACTATTTTCAATGGTTGATCAACAATCTGGATTTCGGAATCATTTGAATGGTCTAATGAATTGAATGAAAAATTGGAGGAAAACAGATAGGGATTAAATACTAAGTTCATTTATTCTAGTTAGCAAAAGGAAACTAAGAAATCAAATGCATTGATATCTAGATTAAGTAATTAATTTAAATGCTTTTTGCTAATTCTTTTTAAGGACAGATTAAATGAAACCCCTTGGAAATCCTAATGTATGCCATCAACTATTGCTTTTTCTTAGATGATTGACACAATTATATTAATTTAATCAAGTAAAATCATGCTTTGGTTTAACATCACTTCATCAGGTTAATTGATTTATGAAATATCTTAAAAGATATCATCGATTAAAATTAAAGAGGACTGCAAGGAGTCTATTGAAAATTCTTTGTTTTATTCTAATTATTAATCCCAGAACAATTAAATACTACTCAATTACAGAAGAATGGATTAGAGTTCAAGTAAGGAGGAAGATATTAAATTTTTGATTAAAACTACATTGTTGATGATATTGTTCTTTATTTGAATTTAGCTTTCATTTTATTGTTAAGGTATTCCATAAACAATAAAATGTTTTTTAACTTTATCAAAGCATTTGTCAGTTCCTTCTTGTTTTTGTTCTTCCAATAATCTAATCTATCCTTTATCCATTTAATTTGAAGTTTAGATTAGTCTAAATAATTTAACTGAGGATAATATTAGTTATTTATCTTGTTTTTTTGCTGTAAATAACATCTATTTTAGGTAATCTAAAATAGTAAGTGTTAAATTCAAACATTCATTATTATAAGCTTCGAAGAGTAAACTGATTTTGATTTGGAGACTTAATGATTAATTAAAATTAAGAGAGCAATTCAACTTATTCTTTTGTACATTAAACTTTTAATAAATATTAGTAATCGATCCACCTGAATGAATAACTTAAACCAAAATATTGATATTTGATGAATTCATTGAGGAGGGGAGTGATAATTCAAATTTATTTGAGGTTTAATACTATTAAAATGTAATGGAGTAATCAGATTAAGACTTCAAGTATTGATGATAATCAGATTCCCTATAGAAGTACTTCAACTAATAGGAGTATGGGAAGTTTTTTGAATAGTCACAAATAGCAGCAATTGAATAGTAGTTCACATTATTTTGCAGATCTATTTAATTAATCTATAATTATTAACATGGAACAGGTTAGTTGAGATTTAGATTTAGATTGTAGAGATTAGGCATAATATTGTCAGTAAATTATGCATTAAACCTTAGATTAATTTAATTGCCTCTATTCATTTGAGTGATATAATCAAAAAGCCTGAATTGAAATGTGGTGAAGGTTGGTGAAAGTATGTCTATAATCTGATAATCATAGACAATCCCAACTGAATAGTCGATCAAATTTAGTTATTAATCTTCAGAAAAAGCAAAGGTGAAATTCAGCAATTCGAAATTGTTGATATCTCTCATTAGATAGCCACTATTAAACTCTACCTTTTGCACTTTAAATTCATTCTCTAAGAACACAATTACCTCTCTAAAATGATATTTAGCTGATTTCTTAGTTACTTTAAGAGACCATTCTTGAATTGTGAGTGGTTCAACACTAAATTTTTTTATGTGTTGTAGTTTCTCTGTTGTGTTTACAAGTATAATATTTTTATGGATGTCAATACATTTTTGATTTCTCGTTAATTCAAAACATACTATTTCTGTAAACATATCTGGATCAGCATTCCAATCGAATTGCGCATCTAAATCTTTGCATTGTATAAGTAAATTCATATCCTTTGCAAATGATTACACATTTAAAATACCATCAAACTAACATAAAATACCTGCTGATATAATTTGGATCTTAAAAGTCTATAATTAATTATGACCTGAAATTTTATTAGTCACATTAATCTAAAATGTATAATTAGAGTTTGGGGATAGTTTATATTCTTGTATTACAATAGAATGATCCTTTTAGATGGAGGTAATATCATAATTGACATTTGATTCTGATGCTTCTTTTGGAGTCTTTTCTACTTGAAATAATTAGACTGCATAGACATAATTCTGAGATGTTGAATTGTTCTTTTTGTAACATTAAATGGTTTCGATATTAAAATTAAGTAGAATTTATTGGAATGTGAAGTATCTCTTCTTTATATTTAATAAAATGGTTGGTGAATCTCCATCATGAGTTGAAATAATAAAATGCTATACTTAAGAGGTAGTCAAAAAGTTCGAGAATTGAACAAAAAAGGTAATATTGGAATTGATTGGTAGAGTACCTGTAGGTATTATTAGATTGAAATCCTTTAGGGTATTTTGATATTCAATGAAGTCATCTAATTGTTTATTGGTGCCACTTGAAGATGCATAATACCAATAAGGATTTATCAGAGCTCTTTTTCCATCATACATGCGATTCATTTGATAGACCTGAGTTTCAACACAAGGATTGATTAAATAATCTGGTACATCAAATTCTAATTAAGGTTATAACAATATTTTGGGGGGTTCAACTTAATTATGAACAAAAACTGATAACGGTTATTCACAAGATAGATGAGAAAGAGACTTAGTATAGAAAATCAATTCATCACCTACATTTATACTAGGATAATCTCCTAATTAAATGAGTAATTCATGGTTGTCGGTTGGACTTATTGAACAAAGAGGGTTCCTTCCTAGTTTATCGATGGAAGTCATCTCAAATATTTACAAGCATTTATTTGACAATGAGTAAGATTGGAACAATTTATCATCCAAAGGAAAATCAAATACTATTATTAGACGATCGAGTTCATCTGAGAAATAAATATTTAACACTGCTACAATGCAATCTAGGTTATAGAGATTTAATATTAATACTAGAACACCATGGAGTGTCTTAATAGCAAACAGAATTTGGTGGAGAATCACAAGTCATTTCTTAAGATAAGATTCTGTTTCCATTGCAAGTTATACATTTATTTGCATCACAGGTATCACATGTGTACTGACATTGTAGACAACTCTCATTTACATAGTCATCATAGAATCCATTTGGGCATTTGCATATTGGTGCTGACAGTCTGTTACCCTTACATGAGGTGCAGTTATTTGAAGCTTGAGTACAAGTTTAACATTGGAATCCGCATTCTAAAAATAATATAAGAGTAATTACACGCACAATTATTTAACCCTGCTTCGAAATAGCCATCTGAACATTCACAAGAAGGGCCAAATCTATCTGGTTTACAAGATAAACAGTTAGCTGGGTTAGAAGTACAAGTACTACATTAATATTCACAAGCTGAAAGTAATAGAATAATTTATACGTTAACATGTTTATTATTCATCCTCAAAATATCCGTCAATGCAATTACAAAGAGGAGGATCTTATCTGAAACTGTTACTGCAAGTTGAGCAATTATTAGAGGCAGTTAAGCACAATTTACATTAATAACTGCATTTCTAGCATTGAATTTATGTTCCATCATCATAATACCCATCCTTACAATTACATTGATATGATAAAGAATGGCGATGGGAGTTGACTTGATAATTGCAGCTAATACAAGTTTCACTGGAATTGATGCAATCATAACATTTAATATGGCATTCTTATTATGTTGAATAAGATACTTTGACAATTTTGGTTTTAGTCTTCAAAGAATCCAGTGATGCAAGGACATTTCTTTTAAATTGATTTGTCAATTCTCTTTTAATTTAAATCACAACTTGTACAAAAATGAGATTGAAATTCACAAGTCTTACAAGAATTTGAGCATTCTTAAATCATAATAAAATCTTACTTTAACAAATTAATGATCCAGAATTGAAATATCCACTTTAACAAGTACATTAATCTCCCTATTAAATTCTATGTTATTCTGAGTCATAGCATGATGTGCATTTAGTGGAGGAACTCTAACAGGTTTTGCATACTTCAGAGCATTTCTAACACATTGACACACCAACATCGTAGTAACCTTAGAGACATTGACATTAATTATTATTAAGAAGTCTAAAGTATAATTGACTGCAATTTTGACAGTTGGTTGAAGAACTCAGACAAGTGGAACAAGAATAATGGCACTCTGAATATATTAAATGGATATACATTGACAAAGTTCAGTATTTGTTTCAAAGTATCCATTCCTGCATATGCATTTCATGGTAACGTTGTCAAATTCTCGAGTAAGTGTATTGCAAGTAGTACATTCATATTGACTCTGACATTGTAAACAACTAAAATGACACTCTAATGGTATAATAATAATCAAAATACATTAACACAGTTTGGTAGTAACATCATAATAATATTTAGACATACACACACATGAATTAGATTGAATGTCATAATGAAGACTGGCATCGCAAGATGTGCAATGATTGGCATTATATTTGCATGTTAAACAAGTCTAATTGCATTGCATACAATTTTGATTGGTTAGATTTTCATAATAGCCATCAATGCATTCACATTTAGATCCCCATTTCAAAATTCTGAAGTCTCCACTTATACAAGATAGACATTGTGTTGCTGTGTAAATACAAGTCAAACATGAGGAATGACAGAGATAACATTGTTTATCATTATAATCTTCATAAAAACCATCATTGCATTTACAAACTGATCCAATTTATAATCTATCGATAGGACAAGATGTACAATTATCCTATTGATCACTACAAGTATAACAAGTCAAATTGCATTATTAACAAACTCCATTCAATTCAAAATATCCAAATTTGCATACACAATTACTCAATTACTTGTTTAACATCCGATTTTATTAAGCATTGCATTCTATACAATAAGTTGGAGATTTAGAACATCTGTAACAATTGGCATCACATTTTGAACATAAAGCATACCCAATGTCATAATAACCATTTAAACAGTCACAATTTTATTGTAGGTTTCTTGTTTATGGACAAGAAGTGCATTAATAAGATTAGGTAATACAAGTTGAACATTAATAATCGCATTTTTAACAACTGGCTGAAAATCCATCATCATAAAATCCAGGTAAGCAGATGCAAGAATTTAAATATAATACTCTTTTTGAAACTGACTAGATAATGCAACTCAAGCAATTCTAAAATGAATTACAACTTAGACAAGAATAATGACATTTTTGACATTCCTACACACCTGAATCGTAGTATCCTTGATAGCAAGAACAGGTTAGGATCAAGTCGTTAAGTTGTCGATGTGATGATGCTCTACACTCACTACACAATGTGCTCATTTTAGAACATGTATAGCAAGAATAATGACATTCTAAAATGAATTAACAATATTACATTGGCATAAACTGTTTTATCCATCATCATAATACCCATCAGGACAAACACACTTCTTTAATATCTAATTTAACACTCTAAGACTATTCTCCTAACATTCCAAACATGTGTCATCCTTCGAGATGCACAATTTACATTATATACTGCATTCTTAAAAGTCATAGATTAATTTAAATTACTCTAACACACTGCTCTTCCCACTTCAAAATATCCATCTTTGCAAGTACAAGTAGATCCAATCTAAACTCTGTTTTCACTATCAAGACATGTTATACATTGATTTGGCGCAGAACTCTTCTAACATGTTAAGCATGTATAATGGCAATCTGGATGATAGACTCTTATATATACTTTAGCATTATATAACTCCCTTCAATTCATAGGTGCTCATCTGATACCCCTAAACTTTTGTCTTACAAAAACATTTATTGCCATCGAGGTATCTATCTTTCGAACAAGCTGTACAATTATCATATTAATCTACACACTCTTAGCAATATGAACTGCATTCTATATTTTTACTATTTATAAATTCTTACTTTAACACTCTTAAACTTCCTTTTCAAAATAGCCCTACATGCAAACACATTCATTATTTATTAGCTTTCTGAAATTATTTTTATTACAAGAGTTACATGATTATTCAGTTGCATCAGTGCAGGATTAGCATTTAAAATGGCACACTATTATATCAATTTTAATTACTTTTGCAAACAGGAATTTAAATTTCATCATAGAACTCTTCAGTGCATGAACATGAATTATCAGATCCTAATTCTCTACCTGAATTAGAAGGACAACTTAGGCAATAATCGCTAGTATCCTTGCAGAGTTAGCATTTATAAGAGCATTCTAAATATTAATTACATATATATCACTTCCACATATAGGTTCTCCAATTATGTCATAATAACCTTCCATGCAAATACATGTGTTTCCAATCTGAAATCTGTATTAGACTTCTTCTGAACATTCTAAACAATTATCATAATTGACATTGTCACAAGATTTACAACTGTAATGACATCCTAAATTGTGAATGGAAATGAAAATTACCTTAGCATTATAAATTACCGATATCATAAGAAGCAATAGGACAATTACATTAAACTGAGTCAAATTCCCTATAATTTGTATCACAACTCAGACAATTATATGTTTCTGGTCCATCGCAAGTTAGACATGAATAATGACAAGGTTGGCACTCCATAGTTCCATCCAAGTCATAGTATCCAATTTCCTAACAAGTGCAAATGAAAGTAGATCCAGCAATAATTGAAATCCTCGATGAAGGACACTGGGTGCACTTGTCAATCCCAGAGTCAACCAGACAATTTTAACAGGAGTAATGACATTCTATTGAATTATTCAATTTAAATTACATTAGCATTCCATATTCACGTTGTCATCATAATACTGATCTTAACATAAACATTCTTTCTTTTATGACAAATACCTATGCGAACTGGCTGAACATTTGAGACAACTAGTAGGCAACACTCCATAGCAAGATGAACACGTATAATAACACTCTTGAAAACATACATATGAGATAAGTTACTATAGCAAATTTCATAGATTCCATTATCACTATAATTCTCTTGACATACACAATCCAAATCATCTGATATTTCTCTGTTTTATCCATCAATACATTTTATACAATATTCTAATGAAGTACCAGGTCGAGATTGAATACACTCAGCACATTTTTTATGACACTCTAATTCATAGATGAATCATATACTAGAGCATGTAAGATCTGGAAGTAATTTGTTCTCTTAAGTGGAGAAAGATAACACATTTCCATACCCCTCAATACAAGCACATTCTCCTTTAACGGTTAAGTAGCGATGATAGATATTCGGATCTCCACAATCTACACAATCAATCATTGTAGTTCCCTTGCATGCATAGCATGTTTTATGGCACCCTTTAATAAAAGAAAATCTAAACTTTTGCATACTAACGGTCTCCCATCCGTTCTAGTTTTGTCATAAAATTCAAAGAACTAAGTTTGACAAACGCATGAATTCCCTACCAATTATCTTCCATAAAAACTATCACAATAAGTACAAGAAAACGGAGTAGGATCACAAAGTTTACAATACAAAGTGGTACAACTTTTACAGGTTCCATAATAATCCCCTTGGCTCCCTTAAATATTGCATTCGCATTCACCAGCACTTGTTAGATATTTACCCATCCCATCATTGCAGACTGTACATATGTTTGGGTCATCTAATTAACAATATAAGCAGTGCTTTTTAACACATGTCAAAACTTCACATTTTGAATTCACCAAAACATATCCAGGACGACAATATAAGCATCCCGATTCGTTGCATATTGGACAACTCTTTCTCTTATTGCAACCTTGTTTCAGCATTTAATCAATTACTTGAGCATTAATTAAACAGAGTATCCCAAAAATAACCAAACAGACATTCTAAACATTTAGTACCTGTGAGAGTTCCAGTTCCATCATATACTAGTTCTTAGTTATAACAATTCTTGTCCCCCAAGCATTAGTTTTTTATTAAGACGTAAGGATAGATGCATACCAAGCATATTTCAGTTTAAGTAGTTGAATCTATATCACATTTCGAACAATATTTTATGTTACAAGCTTAGATTTCATGAATTTTTACAAACGCAGATAGTATCCAATTATAAAGCTCCATCTTCCATGCATGGAAGCTCATAAACAACACTATTTGTAGGATCAATATAGCATGAACTGTAAGGAATACAACCTAAACTACTTAGGACAAATTACTTTGTGAACAAGTTTAATCATAGTCGCTTGTCTTTCCATATCCTGGATAGCAGAGTGCGCAGGTACCATCAGGATTTTACTATTAGCATTCTAAATAATAACTATTTAATTACTTGATGTTAGTTAAGTAGATGTGGAATTGTATTTTTCACAATTCTCCCCATAGTAATTGTCCTGGCAATATAAGCATTTATAAATTCCACTCTTAATTAAAGCGAAATAACAGTGAATTTTATCTTCAGTAGTTTCGTCTAATTTATCATCTTAAAATTATTTTACATTGACATTAAATAAAATATTTCCCTTCTTCATTAAGTGTCATGACCAATTAACCTAAGGGACTGCCACAGCTCATATAATTTAAAAATATAGATATTTATTTTTTAGTTGCTGAGGCTCCAACTTAAACATCTGGGTGACAAAATAAATCGTAATAAAAATTTTTCGATGTTCGCTTTATTGTCGGAGTTGTAACTCCAACGCATTCAGGAGAAGTGCCTCTTGATAAAAAAATACTTTACTTATGCAATAATATGGATAAATTGGAAAAAAGAAATGCTATGCCTAACCTTGATTACAAGTAACTCCATTATAAATATCATCGAATTCAATTTACATTCTGAATGCTACTATGAGATTCATGAATCCTAATATAACACTCCCTTTAATGAATTAGTTAATCATAGATTTTATAATTTAATTAAACATCTTTTATATTCACAATAATATGATTTCTGACTCTCCAATATTTTTGCCCGGTCTCACATATCAATTAATTAATAGAATCATAGACAAAACTTTTATATTCTCTGTAATTAATCAAAATTGTGGTCAAATAATTACTTAACCAATTTTAAAAAGTCCCACCATTTATTCATCAAAATTTATATTTTAAACATTATAATTTTACAGATTTACAATAAATATTTTATATTAATAAAGATAAAAATTTTGTTTATTTAAAATTTAAATTTTAAACACAGTTTTATTTAATAGTAATTATTGCAGATATAGTTTCGAACCTAAATTAAATTTAACATCATTTCCGAACGCCTCAACTTATTCTATAATATCTAAAAATAGTTTTAGATTATATTCTTTACAATGGATATTAATTTATTCACTTGATAGATTTAAATGATCGGATTTTTTAACGAAATCCTATCAAATAGAATTTATTATCATCTTTTCGAGAACCTTAATAGAAATTCCTAGATCCAATAGATATGTTCAATTCAAAGAATTCATTTATAATTTTTGTTATGATGGCCTCACATTTTATAACTAAATTGAAAGTATTTTTAAAGTGGAGGGTAATGTGGCAGAATTGTTGAATTTATGATTGATTATAAATTTTTTTCAAATGCACTTTTAGATAAAAGCGCACAAATGAAGTAGTATTTGTATTTAAATATTAAATTAAGCAAAGAATGCAGGTTGTCAATGTGTCGAATAAACAAATCAAGAACTTTAACTTGGAAACCATTGTAATGAATGTGTGATTATGAATTAGAATGCTGTCTATGATACACACCTAAATTATGCAAAAACTAGATCAATCAATTGCAGTCACAATTTATTGGGATCAACAGATGGGTTTTCTTAATTTCAATGTCTCTACAACTTGGATATGAGTCATAATCGTATTAATTAGTTCTTCCAATTGACTTCATCTTTGGTCGAAATAAATTTGGCTCACAATCTGTTGGGAAGTGTGTTTGAGGATTTTCAGAAATCTCTAAAATCATAAGGTACTCGTTTATACGTAGGGTCATTCTTATCGAATTTGAAGAACCTGAAAATCATTGATCTCAGTTATAATAACATTTCATCAATCAGTTCCAACATATTTGATAACAACACTCAACTTCGTAAAATAAACCTGAGCAACAATCAACTGTCATGTGCCTTGTGGTGTTTTACCAAACTAGAAAATCTGGAGATGTAATATACTAAATATCATAATAGAATTGATGTTGGGCATAATTAATTAAATATTAACGATTTAAAACCATTAGAGAAATTAAGATTGGAGAGTTTGAATCTCAGATTCAATCCATTGGAGAACACGGACAAATGTGAAGAGAAATTGATCAAGCATCTACTCTATACCCGAAGGATCGAATTGTCATACACTCAATTGGAACAACAAATAATTATGAATTCTAAACAGAGTTCCAAGTTGGATCACAGCATCAATAGCAATGATTCTTTGCAATAACAAGCAACTGAGAGATCGACTATGAGTCGTTTAAGTAAAGTCAGCAACAAACTTGCAAGACCCAAAACACCTCAGAATACCAAGAATGACACATATTAAATAAATAGAACTCCAGTCAAGGTGTAGAATCTGTAGGAAGTGAAGAAATCTAAGGGTGAGTTGAAAAAGAATATAAGCATTACTCCAAAGAAAAACAATTAAACACCTAAGTAATAACGATAGGTCTGTATGAAAACAGTGGATCAACACGATGAGTAGATTAAGCAAAGAGATTCATATTAGTAATAGAAATCAACAACTAAAATACCTGCATTGAATTTACAAATGCTAAAAGTGACTCCTTTTTAATTAAGTGAAGTAGGTTCTGAAAGGGAAGACTTTCCTATGTTATTTGAAGAAGATGACGAAAAGTAGCTACTTGAAGAATTGAAATTTTTGGGGGAAATAATGAAGTAGAAGAAATAACATGAAGCTAGTATTGAAAGGCAAATAACTATGAACAAGAATATGATTTCGTTGATGAAAATTATGATCAAAGGAAGTAACTTAATTTGTATATTCATAAGTCTATCTATATGATGTTAATGAGTACAACAAGGGATTCGATGAGATGATGACAGAATTGTAAAAGGAATTAGAATCGAAGAATCCATAATTCTAAGATCTCAAAATTAAATTGATGAGATTCAATAAGGAACATAACGAATTAAATAAAATGTATTATAGTTTAGAGTAATCTGAAAGAGTGGTTGATAATATCAAGCAATAATTAATTTGAATTACTAAAATTATGGTTATTACATCTATCTTGGTTGCTCTTGTTTTAATTATTACTTAAATGACTTTAGAATCTCTTATGTCTTCTCAAACATAACACTTATCAAATCTGATTCACTTGTTTGATTAGTATTTTTGACTTTGCTTTTTTCTAATTGTTTTTTGTGCTGAATATATTTTTGCAATCCTTAGATAAAAGGATTCAAGTACACATAAGCAGAGTCACCTCTCTAGATATCTTTGATCTGCACCCATCTTTAATAATAAGAGTATAATTTACTAGATGGATCCAATTTCATAACGAGTGCTTGTCGTGAACTTATGATCCTCACTCACTCCACAAATGATGTACATCCTTTGAGGTTATCCAGTATCTTCACAAACAAATTCTAAGTAATCCTAATGACTAAATAATTTAAATACTTTGTCGCTAATCTTCTTAGAAATGTCGTAGCCTACTTCTTCCCACACCTCTCTTATTGCGCATTCGACACCTGACTCATTCTTATTAACCTTCCCTTTTGGAAAACTGTACACCGTTTGATTGTAATTCATAACAAGTAACACACAATCCAATGTTTCATTCAGCAATATGGCTCCATATAAGGGAATATGCTTTTGATATTGTTTGAATTGTTTAAGGTAGCTTTTGTTATCTAGATATCTTACTGTTTAAGGTTTCCTCTTATTTCATTATATTCTGATAATGGATTCAAAAGCCAAGAATAAAATTCTGTTTATGACATCTTATCTTCTGGATTCAAGAAATCCAAATAGTACCAATAGGCATTTTGTAAATGGAAAAACAATCTATCCGGCTTCTTTTCCTCTTAATCCAAATTCACTATGAATCTACATAATAAACTCTCTCTGGTTTGATCCATTATTTATATTTATTATTATTTTATTAATGCAATAGTATCAATCGCAACCAGCATTTAATCCTAAACATTTGTTTACGATGAAAAAGTATTTCAATGGGTACGTTCAATAAAACAGATTTTTCCACAAAAAAACTGAAACCAAGTCAGACAATGGAAGTGAGGTATTTAAAGAAATCTAATAACTACCCTAAATCGTATAAAGAATAGATAGAAGAATTGAGAATGTGAATTATAAATATAAAAGTGCTCCCATGATAGAAAAGAAGAAGCAGAACTCACGCAAACTCTCATTCCCAGTACTCAAGTATTCTCCGACCGAGAATAAGTTACAATTGTAGAAGATAAAAGACTTGATTGAATAGCACACCTCACGTGTAATTGTCAAAGATGACATGCTTAAACATATGGTTGGTTATAGCAAGATTTCGTAGATGATTATTTGATTATGAATCATAATACTCTAATACACACTGTTCTCTTTTTATTTCTAGTTGATTTTCATCCATTATTCAATAAGGCAGTCTTTTTTAATTTGAAGTTAGGGCTTTTTATTATTAAGAGATAAGCATATATAATTTTAGTTAAGATTTTTAACTCATAATTCCTATTGATCTTTTAATATCACTAAGTATTATTATTAATCAGGTCTATGGAAATAACCTATGAAAATGGTGACTCTTCTGTTCTTTTTGAATCAAATAATATATTTAGGATTAATATTTTACTAAAAGAGAATTATTAATTAAATAATGGTTAATTTCGATTAACTCTTAGAGGAATCATTAAAAATGGGTTCTTTCTAGAAAAAGTCTCTATTAGTGGTTTCGTTGATAGACTTCTCAGATGGAGTTGAGAAGACAATTATTGGTATTATGTTAACTATATTATCACATGAATGGAAGTTGGATTAAAGTGAAGTGTCCAATTTGGCAAGCATTTATTTTATTGGAATCGTAGGTGGCACTATGTTTTGTGCTTTCAACACCGACACAATTGGAAGATAAAGAACATTAATGTTGAGTAGTATGATTGGTTTTGTTTGTATGTTATGGATGAGCTTAGCATAAACATATTTAGAAATGTTCTTACTGCGTTTAGGATTTGGTTTTATTTTTGGAACAACCATACCTTTGGGTCACATTGTTATAACAGAGATAATCCCTGCAAATATAAGGGGGTCAGTTATGACCTTTGTAGCATCCGTGTTCATAGTAGGCAAGATTTATTGCACATTCTTATGCATGGCTTTATTATAAGGATTTGATGAAGGACATTGGAGAATATTAGTGGCATTAAATTCATTACCTTTGCTAATATGCTGCATAGGATCTGTAATGTACTTGAGAGAGTCACCCAGGTATTATTTGGTTAAATAACAATATCAATAAGCATTTGAAGAAATAGAGTTAATTGCACTATAAAATAATTCTAAAAATTTTTAATTAACAAATAACATGAAAGAAGGCTTGATTGAAAACTCATAATAAATAATAAGGTCAGAAACCAATTTTAAATAACTATTTAGAGGTAAGTATGAAGGATTCACTATTAGAATGTGGGTGGTTTTCATTTTGACTTCCTTCATAGAGTGCTCTCTTTACATTCTAATGCCTTTTTGGTTGCATCAACACAATAAAGGATTTGAAATCATCTTATTTATGATGATATCTGAACTGTTTGCCAATATGTGTATTTACAAAGTTATCGACAGTAAGATCTTTGGGGGTAGATAAAAACTAGTGATATATATAGCATTGATAATTGGTGTGATCTCATTAATCACTTACATATAAGGAGAGGAATTGTTAGTTTTTGGAATGACAACAATCTCATTTTTTTTGAAGATGATGTTCACAACTGAGATGGTTATAATGAATGAGAATTATACAACTTAATTTAGATCAATGGGAGTAGGATTAACTTAAACAGTTGGTAAATTTACAGGAGCAGTAATTCCATTTATTATATTTCCTATATTCAAAATAAACCCATTCTTGCCATTCCTGCTCTATTTCATTTGCATGTTAATCTAAGCTATTTTTGCCTACCAATTTCCATTTGATATGACGCAAGTATAATTGGACTGTGTAAAAGTATTTTCTTGACTAAAATTATTATATATATATAATGTTTTCAGAAATAATACCTTCATTAATGGATTATTCCCAACATCTGGATCGTACCATAAAAGAATTGTAGTAACAGATTTTGTAAATGGAAACTATAACCAATAAAACTAACTCGCATAAAAGACCACTTGAAATGAAATATTTATCTCACAAATCTTCTGTTCCATCTACTCTCCCAGACATTAACAATGATATTGATAAAATCCTATAAACAGCTGAACAATTTTTAACAGATCCCAATAAAACATAAATTGAACCTAAGAAATAAGAAAAGCAAGATTATGAATAACCAAAAAGAAAATTAGAATCATACAAATAGCCAAGCAACAAAAAATAAGTTCTCTCTCGCAAAGTAAGTCAAAAAAAGTTATCACCCTCTAAATTGTCAATGCACAAAAGATCTGGATCTTTATACAAATAAGAAGTGACACCAAAAGTTACTTAGGTTCAACCAAAGTTTTCAATGCAATAAAGAGAATCCACTAAATCATTCAAAGATCAAAGCCGATTAATCAAGCAATCACCCACTAAATCAATTCATGAGAAGAATTCAATCCTTATTGAAGATTAGAGTAAAGCCAAACCACCTATTCCTTCTGTTAACCCAGTTCGAAAATAACCATCATAGCCTTATTTGTAATTGCAACCCATTCCTTAATAATAGTAATAGTAACAAAATTTGAATTCCTCATACACACAAGCACCAACAAATAATAAGATTGAAAACAACTAATAACAATAGTAAAATGCATTGAAGAAGTTTGATTTCAATGGGTACAAAGAATTGAGCAGGTTGAAACGAATGAAGGATGCCATTTTTGTTGAATATCAATAAAGCTATACATATTTTAGAGAAAAAGAATAAAAAGCGAGAGCTAGATTTCTTACTAAATTCCATTAACACATGAATGAGAGAAAGAAGTTGTTATAATAATCTGCTTATGGAGATAGGCAAACCTTCTTCTTCCTTAGTGATCAAATCCATCCATAATTCTTTTCTTTTATTGAAGAACAATTGACCATCGGGTAACCAAAAACTCTTCTGATCCTTAAATATTGTGAATAAGTTCAAAAAACCATTGACTCTATTGAAGTAAGACTATTTTCTATATTCAGTTTGATGATGAACTGCTAAAGAACCTTAAGAGAGCCAATAAATAAAACATTTCCAAGATATCATTATCAGAATTGGTTGAAGTATTTAAATTATGGAGTCAAGTCTAAATCATTCGATAGAATTATCAATAACTCACACAATTTATTTAGCCTATACCAGAATTAACTTATGACTTGATTTAGTGGATTTGTTTAAGACCTAAAATAATTAAGAAGGACAAAGAGCAAGTACAATTAAGCAAAAAAGTCATTCGTTATAATCAATTTGCTTCATCTTAAGAAGAAGCATTTGAAACAAACAAACTCATTATAAAAGAAGAGATTTTTAGATTTCTGTGGGATATTATCCAAAAATTAGTATTCTCATAATAGCAACTTGAAACTTCAATGGCCTTATTCAAATCCATTCTCAAATTCCTCACAAAAAACAATTGTAGTGTATATGTGTATAAGAATTCAGATTTATTTATATGACATTAATATAATAAATGCATAATTAATTACTAACTAATAGATGTAATGTCAAAACTGATCGTATTTCCAAAATCCTATCAGCCTACACTGTGGAAAGTGAAAAACATAACCAACAGAGTTTTCGAATGCTGAGCTAGAAAATCAAGAGTAAAGTACAAATCTCAGATATAAAAAGATAGGAAATTAAATCAGCGATCATCAAACTCTCTACCCTAAACCAGATATCAAAGACTCTAAAATAGAAATCTCTAAATTTTTTAGTGACCATAAAAAAACTCAGATCTAAATCAATGTTAAAGATTTACTATTGCATAAAAGTTAAATGCAAAAATCACAAACCAAAAAACCCAGAGATTCCAATCAACGATAAAATGAAATCATCGAAAAACTGAATAAGACATAAAACGAAATCTACAAGAATTACATTGCCAAAAGAGATTCTAATGGATCAAAAACTTATAGAGACTCAAGTAATTTCAGCCTCTTTACTTAGGGGATTTGGATATCCGTATCAAGTTGAATGATAAAAGTACTTAATCACAATAAGCCTTACTCTAAACACTCATTAATAAGAGCAATGAAAAAAAGTCAGTTGAACCAAGAGATTCCCCAGATCTATGTCACACCCCATCACATAACATGCTTCAATCTACCTTCCAAAATAGCTTGCTTATACGATCAGGAAGCTAAGGCAATGTCGCCAGCACCTCGAAATTAAATAATCAAATCCCAGATTCAAAAATTAATAAAATAAAAAACTATCTTGAATAAGCTAAAACCCATCGACCAATCACTGATTATTATAAACTGAGTCAAGAAATCGATAAAGTCAAACAAAGCAAATTAGTCTAAGTGGAAAGAAATAAACTTCTATCACTCCTAAAAATAGCATATCGAGCTAAATCTAAAATAGATTAATTTAATGAATATTTGAAAAAATAAGAAAAAATTTCAACTGTAATCTAGAGTTTTTTATTAAATGAATGTATATATTTATTTATATATTAGTATTACCTGAAAATAGCGTCGAATCAATCTTATCTTTGGAATGAATTTTCTATTTTATTCATAAATAATAACAACTATTCTATAACATTAATTTCATTGGATTATTTAACTCTAAACAAATCTATGCATTTTCATAATTCTTTTAAATCCTTTTAATTTTTGAAAGACTGGATTAAATAAAAATTTTATTAATGTATTTTATAAACAATTCTTAATAAAATATTAGAAATAAATATATCTGGATAAAAATTTTTGATCCAAACCAAAGTCCTTAAAAAAGAAATATTGAAAGGATTCTTTGAATTATGAAACTAATTATTGCGATTTTTATCAAAAGCTATTACCTCGATATATCTGCTCTTTATCCTAATTGTGGCAAATATTTACGTTAAATAAAAATTAGCATTCTTTCATCTTCATAACAATATTTTTATAATGAATAATAATATTTAAAGTTATACTATCGAAAGAAATTCAAATATTAAGGTGACTAGAAGCAAACAGAAAATAAAATAATATTTAATTATTTCAATTTATTTAACATATCATATGCTAACCACTTTAAATATTCAATTCTTGAAAAGTACTTTTTTCTGATAGAACTTTGTTATTATAATGAATTTCTATGTTATTTTATAATGAAAATTCTGTTTTGCAATGCTAAATTAATTCTCCTACAGTTACACTTTGATTCACTTCAATATTCTATGTATCATTCCATTAAGGGAAATTTAGTATTATCATAATAACTTAATTGCTGTTAACTTCATTTTATTAACTATCAATATTGTTTTTTATAATTTCTAGTATAATAATTATATTTAACGCATCTTCGATTTTTAAAAGGATTCATCACTTTATTACTACTAATTTTAATTGAGATATTCGGATTATTTCACTGCTGGAGTAGGAGTTTACATACTTTATGCAACACCTATTTTAAATATTATGTAAAACTTATCGAAAAATATGATTTAGGCTCTTCAAATTGAATTTACTAAAGTTAATTTTCTGATTAGATTGATAGTTTTCCATTTAAAATCTGATTTATTAATTAGATATCTTATAGAATTTTTTCTCGTTATTATTTTAAACATGTCCTTAAATCTCTTAATGGATCAAGAGATCTTTATAACTCTAAATTAATATTTCTTAACAATTCCTGTTGATTAAATAGCTCCATAAAATCACTTACCTAATTGTCACTTAAATTAACACTCCCTAATTAAAAAGAACTTTAAGATGTTTTTATAAAATTATCTAAAGACTATTTTTTCTGTCCCATTTCAACGATGGCTTGCCCTAATCTATCTTTTTCTTAATTGATGTCATTTAATATTTCCAATTATTATAATGATGTATGTTATATTGTTTCTAAGGATGAACCCAAATTTGCTATTTTGGTATCAAATTCATCAATTATTATAACATCTTTCTTTTGAAGATTTTCTTCATCGAAAAAGCATTTTGTGCACATTTTATTGTTACCTTCAGATCTAATATTCTTACGAATCAATGTAATAAATTAACCATCATGAAATGGACACGGTGTTTGCTATGAATTACTCATTAATTATTGTTTTAATAAATTATAGTTAACAATAAAAAGTGGATTTTAATGATGAATTATTTAGTTTATCATGGTTTTTTGATATAACATACATTATTAACAAGACTCAAGCCTCTATCAACTTGTTTCAATTTACATGTGACTAATTCAGGGGCCAAGAATGAAAGAAGTATATGTGGGCATACATATAATACTCAGCTTTCCCAAACTGAAGATAATTAAGTGCAAAATTTATTGATTAAGTTCTGAGATTATAAATTTAGGAGAGAGATTGAATCTATTCAAAAAAGTTGAAATTAATATATTTTTTTCAACTTCTAGAAGTGAGTATATAATTTTAATAATTTTATCGATTTAACATATTTTAGAAAGATCAGAAGATAATTGATTAACTTTAGTCTAATTAGAATGATAATTAATTCTAATTTTATACTACTTCTTAATAATAGATATTAGGCAAATATTTAAAAAAGGAGGAAACAATAAATAAATTTATGAAAGAATTCATCCAAAAATAGATTTTAAACTAATGTAATTTAGAATATGAAACTATAAAATTAGATATTATTACTACTTGAATCAGTGAATTAAAATGCTTTGCTTCAATAAATTAAGAATTCCTTACTTTACTAATCAATTTATCAATTTAGATTAATTATATCCTAAGATCTTATTATAAATAGTTTGGACTCCAATGGCAATTTTTCCAACATTATTCTCTCCAACTCTTCATTTTACTCAAAACTCATACAAAGAGCATTCGATTTTTGAAGGAAAAAGGATAGAATTACATTCAAGTATGAAAATTTTAGGAAAGAATGAAGACGAGTGATCAAAATAAGTTATCACTAATTATATAAATTTAATGGAATTAAATTAAGAGGTATACGGAGACAGGAATAAATGAGTAACTTTTTTATAACTCTAACTGCTAATCTCACTCATACTCAATATTTATTCAAACATAAGAAATTTATTTGATCCAATAAGAGCTTCGAAAAATTCAACATAATTGACAGTAAAATAATGGTTTCGTCTGTTTCTACTCTATAATGCAATCATCTGATAATAAGTTACTCTCCAACAGAGGAGTTCTATCCTCATGATAAATGCTTTTGGATAATTGATTTTAAGAATGTCTTAAAGTACCAAACTTGCCGGTGTGGTTTTGGGAGATGATATTTTTCTAAGACTTTATAAAGTAAATCACCAATTTGAGTTTAAACTTTTGAAATAAGGATAATGTTTTAAAGATTAGAAAGAAATAACTCTCTCTTTTCAATAATTTTTTATTAAATTTTATAAATGTTTGCTTTAAACTACTGGTTTATG